AGAACGCCGTATATCAACGGTCTCACAGCGCGCCGTTAAGACGTAACCGCTGTCGTTTCGCTAACAAGCAGCTAACGAAATCCTGACGAGAACGAGGTTAGGCTTAACCAGACGTAATCGTCACAGGCAGCTTCGGCAGCTCAGCTGGGCGCGCACGCGCGCGGCACTCGCGCTTAGGCGGCGGGCGGCCGCGGGCTGGGCCCGGTTGTCTGCGCCCGGTGCTTATGTCAGGCGCCACATTCCGGGCTTAAATTGCTTGTGTTATCTAACGGACTTAGCTGAATTCACTGCGCATCGTAGAGCAGGCGAGTATTCCGATGACTAAAATCATAAGAACACTTTAATAACCAATCACAGATCCAGGATTGTCAGTTCCGTTCAATCAACCTTCCGATAGGGGTGTTGGGGGGCGCCCGGACGGTTGCAAAGTGCTCCTGGTGTGCCGAAAACGCCGCCCCAAAAAGACAATCGTTTGCCAAACGACAATTATAGGAGATAACAGTGGATTGTGAGTGCAGGTTGGACTTTCAACGAAGCTGCGAAGAACAGTTGCGGATTGTTAGAGGGGTTGGGCTGGGTGGGAGCTGCACAGCAGGGGATCGGATGAGTTCGGAGCAGACGCGACGCTTTTACGAGGGGGCGCTCGCTAGCTTTGGAAAGATAGCGGAAAAGAGTGTGAATGAGGCCAGTAACAATAGCCGAAAGCGAACGTTCCAGCAATTTCAGGGTTTCTTGGCGCAAAATGCCTTTGGCATCACCGTTGAGACTGCCACGCCTGCAGATGTAGGGGCGTTTATTGTTGGGGATTGGATCCCCAGTCATAGTGCCGGCTGCCGTACTAAGCTGCCGCAAACTGGAGAGTGCATTCCGTCGGTCTCCGCGGTGACTCATGTGGTGAAAGATTTAGCTAAGTCGTACGCTTTGCTCGGCTACGAAGGCCGGAGTAACCCTGCCAAATCCGAAGTGGTTAAATCATTTCGGGTGGGTTACGAAAAGATGCTGCACGAGCAGGGCGTGAAGGTGAAACGGGCGAAAGTGTTTACCGAAGAGAAGTTGGACGCCCTGCTGGCGCACCTTGCGCGACTGATCCAGGCGAGCGGCCCGGGTTTAGAGAGATGCGTGCTGCTCACCGACCAGGCGGCCGTGTTATACCTTTGGGAGTCCCGTGCCCGCGAGAAGGACTGCGGACAGCTGCAGCGACAACAAGTCAAACTGGGGGAGCAGGCGGCCTACCCGGGTTGGAGCAAGACCGTCCGGCAAGAACCGAGCGCGCGCATCCCGCTCGCGGTGCCGGTTCCGGAAGGGCGCCTGGCGTTTGTGGAAGCCGCCGTCCAGCTGCTGCACGGGATGGAGGAAGGGGGCTTTCCCGTTGGCGAGGATGGTTTCCTATTTCGCGCCATGAATCGGAGTCGCACCGGCTTCGTCAATGAGCCGATGAGCAGCGATACGCTGAGGAAGCGGATACAAAAACGGCTTAAGGACGCTGGTCTGTTCGAGGGGGAGACCGTACACAGCTTCCGGCGTTCGGCCGTCCAGCATGCTGCAGTAAATCTGAATTACAACGTGAAGGAGTTAATGGATTTAGGACGTTGGAAAAGCTATGCCGCTTTCCGGTTGTACGTAGAAGAAGTTTGGCGAAAGTGACCTTGATTAGACTGATTGCCTGTGCGCTGACGTTCTTCCGGTTGAGGCCGACCTCAGATTTTAATCAACTCGAACATTGCAACGGCTGTTAATGTTTCATACACAGACCTTTATCCACATGACTCTGCGCTTCTCGCCATAGGCGTGTCTGGCTGTGTCTATCATAAGCGCCCACTAATGACGCATGGGTCCTGCATCTCGTGCTTGCCTTTAATGTTGTATGCACTTGTCACTCAGAAGCACGGCGCTACATCATTAATCCTTTACGGCGCACATAGTGTGAATCCCCGCCTTTTCTAGCCTACCTTACTTCCAATTAATCTTAAACACTCGAAGCTTATATAATGCTGGATTGACCGTTCCAGCCGGCACCCGCCTGCTAGGGATGCACGCATCTGTAGACCGCTCGATGGCCAGAGGCCCTGCCATGACCGCGCCGCTGCCTAAACTCATCAGCTCGACCCACCAGTTTGTGGTGGTCGCTTCCGGAACCACTAGAATTGCGTCCGTCCTGAAGTTTCGCAACGACTGCAACACGCTAGGAATGGCCCTAACTGGCGGGAATATCCACGCCGTTTCGCCTTGCTTAACTAGCGTCCTCCAATCCGTCCGGAGAGCGTCGACTGCAAGGCAGCCTGGCATATAGCGGGGGGTCACAAACCGCCCCGCCACATGCCACGTGTCAGAAGCAAAGAGGTCGACGTCCGGCCGACCGAAGAGCGAGATGACGTCAGCGAAAACCTTGGGGGTTAGGCCCCAGTCCGACGCGTCGGGGACTCGGCTAAGGGCGTCCTGTTCTGCCAGCTCTATCCGTGGTTTCCACTGGGCTAAAACGTCGAAGTCCGCTTCTGAGCAAAGCTTGAAGATCCCTTGCAGAGCGGCGTTGACGTCGGACGCCGAGCTCCTGAAGTTGTTAACGGCCGCCACCGCTCCTTGGTTGTCGCCGACCAACAAAACGGCTGCCCCCGAGAGAAGAGGACGGTGGCGTTGCACTGCTTGCTGTAGAATTCGGAGAAACCCAATCATTTCGCGCGCGGTGCTGGATTGGTGGACCTCCGTCTCGGTTAAGGACCCCGCTAAGTGGAAAGGGGGGCTGCCGGCAATGTAGAAGGATCCCCCGAAGCCGAAGTCCGAGGCGTCCGAAGCTGCCTCGATCCGGATCTGACGTGGAAACCATCGCCGTCCGTTCCAGTCGTCCAGGCGCTCCAGGAAAAGCTTGGCCGCGTCCTTGGCCGCTTGTGGGGTAGCGAAAATCGCGTCCCACGAAATGCGACCTTGCATCGCCTGGAAAAGGGGCCTGCTGTACAAGGAAGCGGGGAGCACCGCGGGTCCTAGCGCGATAATCTTCCCCGCTACTTTGGCAAGAATCCGGGGGCTGACTTCCTTTGCCCCTAGAAGCTCCCCTAAGGCCGCTTTCACCTTAGTCATCTTGGCTGTTGAGACCCGAAACTGCTCCGCCTGCGTGTCTACCACGAACCCGAGCCAGTCGCCCGTTTGGACTGGCCAGAACTGGCACTTTGGCAGACTGAAAACTGCCCCAAGGAGGGTGAGGAAGCGAACAATCGCCACGATGAGCCAAAGGCAGAGGGCGAAGTCCTGGTTGGCCGTCAGGCCATCATCTAGATAACTGGAAACGGGGACACCCCGGGTTCTGAGCTCTTTGGCCGCTTCTTGGGTTATAAGCGTATACGCATAGCAGGCTTCGGACCACCCGAAGCACATCGCGTTGTAGTAGAAGTAGGCGGTGCCGATCTTGAAGCCGAAGTAGGTCCGAAAGCGGGGGTGAATGAGGACGTGGTAGTAGCCGGCTTTGAAGTCCCACGTGGCAAAAAAGCCTTTGGACGAGAGGAAGGTGAGGATGTCGCGGAGCGTTTCGTACTTGAACGGGTGCGCTTTCGAGAAAGCGTTGATGTAGCCGGCATCCAGGACGAGGCGTCCCTTGGGGAGGTTTACTACGCCCAAGGGGTTTACGACTTTTGGTTTTCTTTCACCCGCCGCGCAGAGGTGAACGGAGCCGTTGACGAGCATCTCCCCCACTGTTTCGAGAGCAAACTCCGAATTCTCGTAAAACGAGCGGTGGTTGGGAAATTCCACCGGGTGAGGCACTTCTCCCGAGAGCCACTCCTCAACTCTTGAAACGCCCACCGTTCGCCTGAGCATAAGCCGAACCCGCTCTAACTTTTTAGGGTCGCACTCTGCCGTTCCCACGAAGGACGGCTTGATGCCGTTCCGCAGCCAGGACAACACCGTCTTGGAGGACGGCCTTGTGGAATCCTTCAGAAGCTCTTCCCAAATCGGAAGGTGGCGGCCGAAGCAGCCCGCCACGAAACTCTCTACCGGATTCACTTTGGTTACAACGGATTTGATCCACTCTGTCAGCTCGCCTTCCCGCAGCGGGCTTATCTCAGGCCCCGCTTCGATTTCCATCAGAAGCTCCCTCAATTCCCGGACAAGCTGCTCGTTATTCGGCGTCGGCGGGATCCGAGGAATGAACTGGGCGAAAAATTTAACATCCCACTCCAACAGATCAGAAGCGTTAGCGGGGCTGCCTAACGGATCTGCTTCGAGGTCTATCTCTACAGACGACGGCTCGAACGAGCTAGCAGCGTCTACGTCGAGCCCAACATCCGGGGAAACCTCCGGTAATTCGCTCGCTTGTTCCAGCCTGGCCGGGGGATCCCCTCCGGGCAGCGCGGCCGCCGCCGCCGCCATAGGCGCTGGGGGGCTGTCAGTACAAACGTACGGCTTTTAGCCATGGCAGGGTCCTTCTGTTCATGACAACTCTAACATTCAATTAAAATTGTCCTCTTCTTGCGACGGGTTAGAGAATTCGATGAAAAGCGCTGCGGGGGGATCCCCCGCGCGGCGCGGCCGCCGCGTCGCCATAGGCGATGAGCTGCTCCTGACGTATACTTTATCAGAAGCGACAGTCACGCCTATTCCTCTATCCTCCAGACGCGAACCAGCACGGACTAAGATGGGGCTCAGAAAGACAGAATGATGATGTTTCTTCCGGTGCGTTTAACATTGGGCGCCAGTTCTCGCCTCTAAAAACTGAACGACAAAACGAGACAATCGTGGTCTTCTCGACCTTGTCAGATTGTAAACTTTCAAGTGATTCCAATCTGACGGCAGCGCCGATACATGTTGTCCAGTTCCGAACTCCTACTGTTCTCTACGGGTCCTCGAACGCTTATCTTCTAACTCTGTAACGTATGAGTTCCTTCTCGGTCTTGCCGCTAACCGACTGTAAAGCTAAGCCAACCTCGCTAACAACCGATCTTAACCGAATCTTTACGAACATGTTTACCTGTTCCCTCTATTCTGGCCTGCAGCAGGATCTCCCTGATTCTCTCTATCTCCAAACCTAGGGCGCCCGCCACCTTGGCCGCCTCCAAAATTCTGCCTTCCTCCCGAGTGGGGGGCGTTCCAGCCGCCTTGGTTATTGTTGTTCCTTCTGCAAGCCGGCACACACCAGCATCAGGACACATGCCTGCCTATAATAGGCTTTTCTCACATCTTGAGGGGCGTCTATGCCCGGGCGCGCAGCCCTGTAACGGCACACATGGCCTGGCAACATGCCTTTTGGTCCTTATCGGACGATAACCCTTTACCAGGTAGTGCCCACAGGGCTTTGGCATTCAGCCAGCAGAAGACTTTATTTGCTCACAAGGCAAGCCCTCAGGCCTTGAATTTATGCACTGCAAGCCTCCTCAAGTTCTTGCCCATAGGGCTCAGGCATTCAGCCACGTGGCGGATGTTTCGAAGCGACTGCCACGTCCGTTTAACTCGTCTCTATTGCAGAGCGAGGCCACCGTGCGCCTCCACTTAATTCAACACTACGCAACCTTGCAAACCTTCTTAATCCAAGCCAGAATTTGCTCTACTCGAGCGGCCTGCAGCGTTATTCTCTGAACGACAAGCAACGGTTATCGGAGCCGATGGCCATAGGCCTAAAGATGGGGAACCAACCGACCTGGGTGGCTTGTCCGGATCGAAGAGAGGGCGAACAGTGCCCTTGCCAACCATGGTATCCGCCTTCGCCTTGCTGTTGAAGAATGCGTGGCGGATTTCAGCCTCCAGGGACGCCCTCGTCTCCGGCGTCCACGTGGTGCTGTCCCCCGCTTGCTCGAGCTTCATTTTTCGCTCTGCCACAAATGCGTTGGCGAGCCACTCCAGATCCGGTGAGACATAATTGAGACGAGTCGCGTAGAAGTACACCGCTGCCAGGAGGTGGGCCACCTGAGAGTCCGGCTCCTGGTAAATATCAAAGAGATAGCTAGCCTTTGTGTACCACGCAGCCATCCTCGGGTTAATCTCACGAAGCACTGACGTCAGATGCGTCTCCAGAGTTCCTTTAGAGACCAACTGGCGGATCGTCTTTTCCAGTCTGGCTGATGAAGCAGGGTGGAACGGGTTGTTCAAAACCCCCCTGCAGAATCCTCATGGCCGGCGTTTGCGCACCCAGTGCTGCAGGTGTTTGTTCAGGATTTCCCCCCATGCCGTAAATCGGCTGCGGAATCTGGACCTGAGGAGGTCTGACGTCAGCCTGCCCTTGTCCCCCCTGCGGAAACGCTTGAGCGTTCATGGGGGGAGGCCCCAAAGTGCACTGCAGGACCTTGCGGACGAGCACCTTGCTGGGGTTGGTCCTGCTGAGGGGCCGGAAAGGCTCCGAATCCAGAGACGGCCACAATGTACTTCTCCCATTCTAACTTGTATTCCTTCAGAGCCTCGATTATCGGGTCGTTCAGCAAACGAGTCCCTCTCCCAATTCTCAAGTCCTGAGGCGGGATGGTGCCTGGGTAAAGGTTGCCTTGTTCATCTACTCCCGAGAAGGTGCCATACGGATGGATCAAGTTGAGAGAATGGTCAAAACCTGCCTCCCCTGATACATGACCAGAAAGTCCTTCCCCACCAGCCAGGGGAGCTGCTTAATTGCGATCAGGATCTCTAGCTCGCGCTCCATCCCGGAAATCTCGGGGCCAACGACAAAATGAACGAAGCGCTCAACAGCATCGGAGGAGGCGCCACGGGCGCTTTCCTTCTTCGCAGACCTGAAAGAGTGCAACGTCTTTCTACTTTTGAACAAGACGTCTAGATGCACAGATGAGTCAGCAGGGGCAGCTTCGGCAGCTCAGCTGGGCGCGCGCGCGCGCGGCACTCGCGCTTAGGCGGCGGGCGGCCGCGGGCTGGGCCCGGTTGTCTGCGCCCGGTGCTTATGTCAGGCGCCTCATTCCGGGCTTAAATTGCTTGTGTTATCTAACGGACTTAGCTGAATTCACTGCGCATCGTAGAGCAGGCGAGTATTCCGATGACTAGCTTGCTGGTTTTGTGACATCACTTTTGAGAATCCTCCTCGGTGTCGGCGATCTTGGTCCCACTGAATCTGCCCGTGTCAAGGCGGATTTTGAGGGAAATAATCGGGGTAGTTAACCGGGAAGCTGACCAGGGGTCGGCTCCCACACGAGAAGAGTCGGTTTCCAGAGTGGAAATCAGCCGGGTGGAAACTGGCTCCACGGGGACTCAAGCGGGTCACGTGGTCTGGATCACATGGGGAGCTCTTTTTTGCTGCACCGCAGAGGAAAGCAGTCGCCGGAGCTGTGTCAGCTTGGGAAAGCCTTTGCTAGTGTCAAGAAAGTGTGCCCGGGCAATCTGGGTACTTGTCTAGGCTCAACGGCTGGGTCGGAGTACAAGAGAAATAAGGGTGCTCCCTTGATATACCAAGGTACACCGTACCCCTGCATGGTTCACTATCTGGACTTGACACTCCCTGCTTGAATCTTGCTTCGCAGATATTTGTCGAGCCCCCAACAAGCAGGAGATTGCAGCATTTCTGTCATGCTGAATTGCTGAATTGCAGCGTGTGTTTGTTTTGTGCAAAGGCACCAAGCTGTTTGATTGCGCGCTGCTTTTTGCCAGGGAGGAAGGGGACAAGGCTGTGCTTGGAGAGGTCGATCGAATTGTGTTTGTTTCTCTGTTTGTGAGAGCGAAGAGTGCACCGTTGCAGGTTGTTCTGTAGCTACTTACGATGGCGGGGGTGCTGCGGGCCACCCCAGCCACCTTTAGCTTAGCAGGAACCTTTACCACCCGCACATCGTCGATCTCAACCAAGAATGGCGCAGCCGCGTCCGCATGCCCTCTTTCCATTCGCAATGCATCGAAAGTGGTCGCAGAAGCATCCGTTCAGGGCGGCCTGGCGAGATTCTGCGGGTCAAAGGCCCCAGAAAGGATGAGCTTCAGCCATGCCATCTGTGGCTCGCAGAAGGGGCTTGCTTTGTCTGTGGTGGGAAAGAAGCTTGTGGCTAGGAGGCGAAGGGGGGTGGTCATGAATCTTTCCCAGATCCCTGAGGCACGGGGTCTGTACGATCCTGCAATGGACAAGGACGCGTGCGGAGTCGGGTTTGTTGCTGAATTGACGAGCAAGCCGACACGCAAGACGGTGAGCATCAAGACACAGTTGTTCTGAAGCAGGCTTTAGGAATTTGACACTGAGCTGGTTGTGTAAAGGTTGGCTCATTCTTGCTTTGAAAATATGGGAAACAACCATTTCCCTTGGTGGTGTCTCTGGCTGACCCCCACATTGCCTTCGAGCTTCCATTGAAGCATTGCAGGGCTTCTGGAGAGCAGGTTTGGATAGTTTGACTAATTCAGCGTATAAGGATCCCCACTGGCTAACTTTTTGTATCTATAAAGCAGGCTTGAGTGGGAAGGCTAATTGAAAGAGTGATGTAAAAAGAGGCCCATCCACTCAGCAAGTTGATTCATTTCTTTCTGCCTAGCTTTCAAATCTTGGTCCGAGATATCATGCTTCCAAGCATGTAATGTCGGGTGGGCTTTCAAAGAGGGCTGACATAATGCTGCCAGTTGCTGACCTCACCTGTTCCTGCCCACAGGTTGCCGATGCTCTGGAGATGCTAGTGCGCATGGCCCACAGGGGTGCCTGTGGTTGTGAGGCCAATACTGGGGATGGTGCTGGTATCCTTGTTGGGATGCCGCATGACTTCTTTGCAAAGGTGAAACCTTCTTCTCCAATCAAGGTTCTTCTTTTTCAAACAAGGACGCAGTTTGGTGTTACTTGGTGCAATCTTAAAAATTTGCAGAGTGAAGCTTGGATGGTATAGATCTGATTGTGTGACCTTGATTTACAACAGAGCTTTCAGTGGAAACCCAGACGCTGCAAATCCTTGCCTTCTGGTTTGCTTTACCATCAGAAAGAGCAATCTGGCAGCGTTGGTGCTGTTTGGCTCAGTTCCGATCTGCCGGTGCCTTGTTTGGGCCAAGACGACACCTGTACGGAAAGGCTTCAAAATTCTCGCTGCTTTTTTCTAGTGAAAGCTTTTGATCAGCTTTCAGCGACAACTGATAAGGTCAGATCTTGGGCCAAGGCTTCAGCATTGCTCGCTCTCTTTAAAGAACACCCCAGTTTGTCTGCGCACAATTGGTGGTCAATGCTGATCAACTCTCCCTCTAAATTCTGCCTTTCTGTTTATTCCAGTAGAGGAGTCGTCTGTCATAGTTGCAGCATCCATGTAGAACCTTATTGACAATGACGTAGCGCAATTCTTTGCACAAATTTTCGATGCCGCGGAGAGGAGTGTTAGAGCTTGCCTTGGTCATCTGTCCTGGAGGTTTGACCAAAAGTGCAATTGTAAAGAACAGAATATTGAGTTTTGCTCAGGAATGTTAGTGTGACGAGTGCAAGTACCCTCTGGAGAGATTGATCACAATTTTGGATTGAGTGAAGCCAACCTGCCTCCGCTAAGAAAGTGGATAGAAAGGACTACTCCCTTTCACTCCGCCTCCTGCCATTCTTCCTGCATGATCTGGAAAATGTTGTTCTTGAAGAATCAGATATATTGTTGTGTGAATGATTAAGATATGTGGCAGATTGAGAGATGTCTTGTGATGGCAGCGTGCGGGCCCGGATCTTGGGCTGGACAAGCTGCCTCCCAAGGGAGAGTACGGGGTGGGCATGTTGTTCCTGCCCACAAACGAAGAGCGACGGGCCAAGGTCAAGAGCATCTTTGAGCAGGTAAGAGAACGGGGTGATCTGGAGGACGAGTTCAATTCCTTGCATCTTTGTTGTGCGGATGTCACTAAGTTGGATTTCACATTGGCTCAGCTTCTCTCTCATCTCTTCACGAAGATGTGGTGGTTGCAATTGTTGCACTTCGACTAGTTTGGACTGGCAAAAAACTTGAAAACCCTAACACACAAAATTCTCGTTTTGCCAATTCTCTTGCTCCATTCACTCTCTTGCGCACTGGTCGCTTTCTTTGAGTTGTGCTTGGACCTTGAAAGGGGCTTGTAGCGACCGCAGGTAATGACTGTAAGGCTTTTGACAGACAGAGTGACCTTTCGCCAGCTGTACACATGGCTGAACACCTCTGGTGTTAATGCAGTGCGCGGCACAGCGGGGCCATGACATCTTGGGCTGGCGCTCAGTGAAGACCGACAACTCTGATCTGGGCAAGGGTGCCCTGGATACCGAGCCCGTTATTGAGCAGGTCTTCATGTCACCGTCCAGCAAGTCAGAGGCCAACTTTGAGAGTCAGGTGAGGGTGGGAGCAATCAGGGGTGGTTGGTGGGAGAGAAGTGACGCGCCGAGAGACAAAGCAAGCCAGAATACGATCATCTGCACTGGGGCAACCATCTCACTTCCAAATATAGCAGGAGACAGTCGTAATTTCAGGACATGTGATGCCCCTCATTGGTAGAATCCTCTGCCTGATTTCAAAATATTCTTCCAGTTTAATGATCAGTTGTGCCCGTCATTGGTTTACCCTATGTTGATAGTCGTAATCAACGTATGTAGCGACTGAATACATTGATTGTGTCTTTTTCTCTCTGTGCCGCTGACATTGCAGCGCCGTATCTGATCTCTGTTCCTAACCTTCATTTCCTGACTAGGCATTCTTCACGCGTTATTGTAATGATGGCACACCTGCTAGCACAGCTGCTGATGATCTGCTGGACTTGTTCTCCCTTCCCTACTATCCTTCCTTCTGCGTATCTTGACACCAAACCTCTGTCCTCCCTGCCAGCTGTACATCCTGCGGAGGCTGGTGTCGCGCGAGAACCGTGCAGAGTTGGAGCGGGCACTCGGCGCGGGCGCCAAGCGCGACTGGTACATCTGCTCGATGTCCAGCCAGACCGTTGTGTATAAGGGCCAGCTGACCCCTGCGCAGCTCAAGGGGTACTATTACAAGGACCTGGGCAGCTCCGACTTCACGTCCTACATGGCCCTGGTACGGGCTTTAGGGGATTTAGAGTCTTCAGTTTGGGTCATGGTTATTTCCATCGATGCTTGAACAGTTTGGGTCACAATCATGTCTATCGATGCTCGCACGCACCAAAGCAAACCAGAACAAGGACCTGGCAATTTGAACGGTTCGTCTGACGTGGCCCCTGGTATGGCGTCTTGAACTCTGTCTTTATAGTATTGGGGTATTGGGGTTCGGGTTGACTCAGTTTGGGTGTCTGTAGTGAAGCTTGGTTGTTTGAAGGACCTTGGCTGGCTCTTTGATCCAAACCTGCTTGCCTGTATTTTGATGTGGTCGCAGCATCTGAAGCTTCTAAGGGGTCAATTTTTGTTTTCGTAGTTGGCTCTGAGGTTTGTTCAACTCCGCAAATATGTTGAGGCTATGGGTTGCAAGCGCCCTTGCCGGCAGTTGAACCCCCTTGGAAGTTTTTCGGATATTGGTGGTCAAACAACTGGACGTATGTGGTTTCGTTCGAGAGATCGATTGGTCTTTGGCGTCATGCAGGTGCACTCGCGCTTCTCCACCAACACGTTCCCCAGCTGGGACCGTGCGCAGCCCATGCGTGTGTTGGGCCACAACGGAGAAATCAACACCCTCAGGGGCAACGTCAACTGGTGAGTAGTACCAGGTTGATCTTTTGGAAGAGGGCCTGTGTTTATCACAGTGTTAGGTGGGCTTCTCTCCTTGAACAGACATGTTCTCTGCCACCTCCAAGGACCTTCTTGAGGCCATTTCGTTACACCCCTGAGCCTGCATAGAGTTTCTGTGTTGGATTTGAATCCTCAGCCCAGATTGCTTGCTTGCCCCTAATACGGTGCTTGCCTTTCGGGGGCCTCATCAGATGCACGTACCTCCTGCTCAGCTGCGCCTTCATACATCAGCTAGAACGCATCATCGATCCGTAGCCCCCAAGTCTTCATTCTTTTCCTTCTTTCTTTTCTGAACAATGAACCTCCTGCTCCAGGGTGCGCGCCCGCGAGGGCCTCATCAAGTGCACCCAATGGGGGCCTCAACTGCGTCTCCCCGTTTCTCTCACTTGTGTCTTTGCCCCCCTGTTTTCACGCAATATTCGTGCATATTTTTGAACAACCACTCTCCTCTGCAGGGTGCGCGCTCGCGAGGGCCTCATTAAGTGCACCCACTTGGGCCTCAACGAGGAGGAGCTCAACCTTCTGCTGCCCATCGTGGACGCGGACTCGTCCGACTCCGGCGCCTTCGACGGCGTGCTGGAGCTGCTCATCCGCTCGGGGCGCTCCCTGCCGGAAGCCATGATGATGATGATCCCCGAGGCCTGGCAGGTGCGGCGCTGCTCTTGGTCGCTGGAGTCCTCATTTTCGATCTGTTGAAACTCAAGCAGCCTCCAGTGTGTCCTTGTCCTTGATACAATACGCGAACGAGCCTGTGTATGGCTGTCGATTTCAGTCACCTTGGCCCCTCGCTGAGGCCAGCGAATCCCTCAGCAGTCAAAAACAGAGGGCGCATTCCCTTCCTTGAATCTCAGAACCTAGGGGGTTGAGAATGCAACAACCACGTGGCTTGACGGTCGGGTTTTTATTCGCTTTCCTTGTGCCTGCTGATTGACCCCGCGATGTGCTTGTGGCAGAACGATTCCAACATGGATCCAGCGCGGCGGGCGCTCTACCAGTACCACTCCGCGCTCATGGAGCCTTGGGATGGGCCCGCGCTGATCTCCTTCACAGGTAGGATCCCGTTTCGCAGCCCGTGTTGAATTTCTCAGCAGAAGGTTACCGTGGTTTTACATGTTCCATAGTTCGTTCCTGTTCCTTGAGAGCGACTCCAGAGGCGCTGGCGAGTCACAAACATCGTCAAATCTGCAAAAAATACAAGCTTCAGAACGGATACGAGACGACCATGTAAGAAGACACGAGCACTGAAGCTTCGACAGGCAGTAGCTTCACAGGTCAAAGCGCAGGAGAAGTTGTGCCCTCACTTCTTACTCGAATAGTCCCTAGACCTCGCTTTCTCCCTCATGCAGATGGGCACTTCTTGGGCGCAACGCTGGATCGCAACGGGCTGCGCCCTGGGCGGTACTACGTGACGCACAGCGGGCGTGTCATCATGGCGTCGGAGGTGGGGGTCGTCGACGTTCCCGATGATGACGTGGAGCGTAAGGGCCGGCTGAGCCCCGGAATGATGCTCCTGGTGGACTTCGAGAAGGTGAGACAAGATTTAGACGGGACGCAAACTCGCAGCAAAGCCTCAGGCTTTCCTTTTCTTGTTTTTCTCCCCCTCTGATTTTGCGAGGCTTAGTCATTTTTGTACGGTGCTGGCAAAAACGCTCCTGGCGGCCTTTGAGGAGGTTAGAGAATATGGCCATTCCGAGCATCCATTATTAGGTGCACTAGGGCTCTGTCTTAATCGCAAGGGGTGCTCACTTCATTTCACTAAGTATGAGGTAGGGAGGAGACTCTGTGGATGGATGCTTCCATCTTGGAACTTACATGGGGGAATTGATTGACTATGGAAATCTTTCGAATCTTTTCTTCAGAAAGCTCGTTCAGTAAGAGGGTACAGGCAGATTGGGCTTTTCTTGCTCATCTAGCTTGCCGCGGGCTTGTCGTTTCTCCCTGCAATACCTCGGCTTTTCATCACTGTACTTAAGGGACGCTCAACTTTCAAATGCTTATGCTTAGCAGGATGTTTGAGCTCGCCCTCTTGTCGGAATCGTTCCCAACCTGCCGCGTTTTGGGGAAGTTCGGAGTGACATCTTTCATCGCCTCTGCTGATACAATTGCTGTATGACCTCAGAGAAATCTCCAGCACTGGTGCGCCTTCGCGTGTGCAGGGCATCCTGGTGGACGATTCGGAGCTGAAGCGCACCTTCTCCCAGGCCCGCCCGTACGAGGAGTGGCTGGACCGCCAGCTCATGACGCTCGACGGCGTCGTGCAGTCAGTGCCCGAGGAGGAGCGCCAGGCAGCGCCTATCATCGGCACACTCCCGGTAAGCGCACCTTAAGTGTCTGTATTCTTTCCTCATGTAAGGGCTTGATTACATTTCAGGCCCGTTTTGAAGCCGGTTAGGGTCCTGTCGTCGCCTGAGGAGAAGCGTCCTTTCCCGGTCCGCTGACAACTGCTTCTTCTCTTCGTCGTTTTGTGAGAAGCAAGCCGCGATGGACCAAGAGTCGGGTTGGTCATTTGAAGACGATTGCGTGTTCAGGGTAGCAGCACCAGCTTGTACTGCAGAGCTTTGGCGTCACTTCTCTTACATAGTCGTCAAGGCACTTCGATTCGCCCTATCGGACCCCGCTTTTCAATACTATCCATCTGCGCTCCGAATCTACCGAGCAATCTTTGCTAGAGGACACAGCCTGCTCTCGTTCTTTGTCCTCTCATCACCAACGAGCCGGCTATGTTTCTTTCCGTCTCCTCGCTGAAACCGATCCCAACACCATCTAGGTGGACCCGGAAAAAGACCGCATCATGGAGAAAATGGGCGTAATTGGCATCGTTTCCCCCGTTCGTAAACATACAACTCGATTTTTCTCTCCTATTATTAACGGTAGACCGACCAGCCTCGACCTTCCCCTTCCAGGTGGACCCGGAGAAGGACCGCAGCATGGAGAACATGGGCGTGACCGGCATCGTGTCCCCGCTCAAGGCGTTCGGCTACACGATCGAGGCGCTCGAGATGCTGCTGCTCCCGATGGCAACCACCGGCGCGGAGGCGCTCGGCTCGATGGGCAACGACGCGCCGCTGGCGTGCATGAGCGAGCGGCCGAAGCTGTCGTACGAGTACTTCAAGCAGATGTTTGCGCAGGTGGGCACGGTCTCTTGTTGAAAGTCCTGGGGAGGGAAAGCGAGAGGGGATCAGATTTGAGAAGTCCGGGTAAACTTGGACGTGGACGAAGTGGTTGAAGAAATTCCTTGCCTGCATGAGAACTTAGTGATTTAGGCAACGCTTGCGCGGTTCGTCAAGGTTTCTTTAGTAAGGTAAAGATCACTAGCCCGTTCCAGGAACATGGTCATGCTGCGTTCTGGAAGAACTCGATATCTGCTGCGGTGAAAGGACCTGATAACTGCTGCGGTCAACTTCAGGGAAGATGTCTGTGCAAAGCGCAATTACTCTTGCTTTCGGTTCATGCTTGTAAGGTTTGCCTTTCTGAGGGATGTGCGTTCCTTCGAGTTGAAGCATGCGCAGCCATCCTGGCTCGTCTTCTGGCACAAACACCGTAAGGCCTCTGCAAATGGATGCACGTCTTCTCTTGCAGGTCACCAATCCGCCCATCGACCCCATCCGTGAGGCGATTGTGACGTCCACCGAGTGCATGATTGGACCGGAGGGTGACGTTACCGACACCACCGAGGAGCAGTGCCACCGTCTGAGCCTGCCTGGACCCCTGCTGACGCCCGAAGAGGTGGGATGACGCCCCAGTCTTTGATATTCTTTTTAACGCAGAAATAGCCGTGTGAGTTTGGAAGCAAATTTGAGGACGAGCCTGGAAGACTGTTTCTCTTGCGTCTGTTGTTTCTCTTTTGAGTTGAGAACGTCATGAGTTGGACAGTGGGACGAGGCTCAGCGAGCAGAAATTTTATGTTTCCGTGGGAAGGGCGCTCGTTCGGCGTTTCTTTGTAGTTCTCTTTCTTTCTTTCCCTTCGTTGGAGCTGCCTTGGAACGTGCTTCACCGCGCTTTGAAAACGAATCCGAACAAGAGGTAGAGAAAATGGTAAAACTGGAATTGGTTACCATTCCCTTTCTCTTGTGCTTATGATTTGGTACTCGTGTCCCGGGAATAGTGTGTGGGATGATGACATCGAATGTCGCCCCAGTCCTATCGGCATTACGCCATGAGGATTGACCCAAAGCTGAAGTTCCATCAGCTCTGACCACACATGTCTCCAATTGAATGCGGCAAGACACACCCTCGAACAGACAAGCTTGCGAAAGATTGTAGCCACTTTCTAGATCGGTCTGTCTGACTTCGCTTTCCGCTTTCCTTAGTGAGACTGGTTTTCTGTTTTTAAGGAGCTTGCAGCACAGAGTATCCTGGTTGAACTTCTTCAGACAGTCTGCAGGGTGACAGCTCGACCCCTTGTTCGCCCTTGCAAAGCTTCAAAGCTTTCAGACCTCTACCTTTCCATGATTGCTCGTTTCGGAACCAGCCGTTGGCCATGTGTCACCACAAGGAGGCCATGCTTTGACAAATTCTTACGGCTCATGGGTCCATTGTTTGTTCTCGCAGACTCCCCATAAGATTTTGTTTGTGCCGAAATGAAAGCTTGCATAATCGCCTTTGCTGAATTGGCATTTTGCCACGTGTCACCAGATGGAGGCCCTGAAGAAGATGGACCACCGCGGCTGGCGCACCCAGACCGTTGACATCACGTTTCCCAAGTCGGAGGGAGCCGCCGGCCTCGAGAACGCACTCGTGCGCATCTGCGGGGAGGTGACGCAGGCGCTCGCAGATGGGTACAAGATGCTCGTGCTCTCAGACAGAGGTGAGGGGACGCTAGGTTTCTGGGGTTTCTATCTCCATGACCGAAAGGACCACTTTCCAAATCGGTTATGTCAGAGCGTTGCCGAATCCTGCCGATCTGTGAGCTTTGCCCTTACCACCGAAGAGATGGGCTCCGGTGTAGATCCTGAGGACACTGTAATATCAAGCTGCGTTCGTTATTCGAACAGTAGTTTTTAAGAGGCTGCCGATGTGCCCTTAATCCTTATTCATGTGCATCGTATTCCCCACAGCGACGTCCCCAAGTTCCACAAGTCAACAAGTTCCTTCAAGTTTTGCCCTTACTTTCCCGCAGCCACGTCCCCGTCCCGCGTTCCCGTGAGCGCGCTCCTCGCGGTCGGCGCGGTGCACCACCACCTGGTTTCCACGCGGCAGCGCACCAAGATCGGGCTCGCCATCGAGACCGGCGAGGCGCGCGAAGTGCACCACTTCTGCACGCTCGTCGGCTATGGCGCTGACGCGATCTGCCCGTACCTCGCGATTGAGGCGATCTGGCGGCTGCAGATCGACGGGAAGGTGCCGCCGACGAAGGACGGGAAGCTGCGGACCAAGGACGAGCTGACGCGGACGTTCTTCAAGGCGTCCAACAGCGGCGTGCTCAAGGTGAGGGGTTACGGGAATCTAGATTACGTGGGACCATCTTCAATTTTGATGAGTTGTAGACTTTTGTTGAGAACGCGACAGGTGTAATCAGTCGCAGGTGGCAAGGATAGTTTCTGCTTTCTTGCCCTTGACTAAGCTTAATGCGTCAACAGCATCGCACTGATGAAGAGAAAGGACTGCTATTAACCAGCGAAACACTTCGAATAGAGGCGCTTGAATAGATTTGTATGAAGGTAGTTTAGTTCGGCCGTCACGCTTGACAGGGTGGGTGATGAAAAATGCTTTTAGAATCTTTCGAGGGGGAACGTTGAATCGCAAGTTGCAAAGAGGAAGAGGATGTCAAAACTAGGATAAAGGAGTAGAAATGTTACAAAAACGGGTATCTATGGCGAAGAACATGTCCGAATCAGCTCACTGAACTTTATCTCTTCACCACAGGTGCTGGCTAAGATGGGCATCAGCACGCTGGCCAGTTACAAGGGCGCGCAGATCTTCGAGGCGCTGGGCCTGTCAGGCGAGGTCGTCGAGCGGTGCTTCAAGGGCACGCCTAGCCGCGTCCAGGGCTCCACGTTCCTCAACCTGGGGGAAGACACACTCAGGCTGCACGACTTAGCCTTCCCCCCCCGCCGCCTCGCCCCGGAGGGCAGCGCAGAGGCGCACGCGCTGCCAAATCCAGGTGCGCTCAACGGATTTGGGATTTTGTCGAAGCGCTCTCAAGTTTCGTATTTCAACTTCTGATGAATCGGATTTTGACCTGTGTAGCGAGTGCCGTATGAGATTGAAATGTTAAAGTGTGGACCAGGGGGCTTCTTTCCTGGGTTTTCAAAGGCGACTATAGTAGCCTCATCACCACTCGTCCGCTACATGGTCGGCTTTCAGCTGTTATTTTGGACCACCCCCGGGCCCCGTTCGCAGGGGACTTTCATTGCCACCCATTCAGCAAGTTTCATGCGAGTAATCTCCTCCGACCTGGCGACCTTCGCTAGCCGATTGGTACCCAATGGTCGCCCCTTTCGCTGGTCGCCCTTTTCACTTTTCAAATCTCATGTTTGCCTCTTCCCGCAGGCGACTTCCACTACCGCAAGGACGGCGAGGTCCATTTGAACGACCCTACCGCGATTGCGAAGCTGCAGGAGGCGAGCAGCACCAACAGCCGCGTAGTCTACGCCGAGTTCGCCAAGATGACGCACGAGCTCAACAAGAAGGTCAACCTGCGCGGCATGCTGCGCTTCAAGACCGCGCCTGACGGGCCCATCCCGCTCGAGGAGGTCGAGCCCGCGTCAGAGATCGTCAAGCGCTTCTGCACCGGTGAGAATTCGCGAATGTGTCTGCCTAGGTTTGCCCGCTGCTTCGCTTTCCGTCCAGTGTGCCCGATCTTTCGTCTGGTGCAACTTGGCGTCCTATCAGCAGGAAAAACGTGTATTGATCTCATGTCACCAGGAGTGGAAACTGGTGCTTCGATCAACAATTAGGGCGCATGTTCGCAATCCCTGGAAGTGTTCAACCTTCCAAACTCCCTGCTCTTCTTAATTGAGAATCTTGAGAGGTCGTCGACAGCACTGTTCTTGTAGGAAAAGTTCTCATTTGCACTGTAATGCCTAGGCGTTTGAACAAGGCTTGAAGAGCATTGGAGCCAGTGTCTCGAGCCGCTAGCCTCTCCTTAAAAGATCCTAACCGATTTCTGCAGGCGCCATGAGCTACGGTTCCATTTCGCTCGAAGCCCACACCACTCTAGCGGAAGCCATGAACAAGATCGGCGGAAAGTCCAACACCGGCGAGGGGGGGGAGAACCCCGGCCGTTTGGAGCCCCTCGCCGATGGCAGCCAGAACCCGCAGCGGAGCGCCATCAAGCAAGTTGCCAGCGGTCGGTTTGGCGTGACCAGTTACTACCTAACCAACGCGGATGAGCTGCAGATCAAGATGGCGCAGGGGGCCAAGCCAGGTGAGGGTTTGGAAGGCGGGTTTGCATGAGAGTTAAGAGAAGGGTTTCAGGAGTATATGGAGGCGTTTCGACCTAGGGGGGAGGTAAATTCAGACTACGAGTTCGGAGGGAAGGTGAAAGAGAGCTTCGAAGGAAGGGCAGCGAGTGTTTGGTCCCCTTTCGTTATTTTTGAGGGATGATGGCGTGAGTTCTGGGTACAAGGTCAGATGCAATCAAAATGGACTCCGCTTCAGGAAGGGAAACTCTGAAAAGATGTCGGATTTGGATTAGCTCGAATCTCACTCCGCAGCGTCCTCTGTGTGCCGTCAACACCGCTTGAATCTAACACCCCCCCTCCTGGGTCGTCTTCAAACATCCCCCTCGTCTCACTCCGTTCTGAACCACCCCCTTTTTCATTTCTGTTCGACCCACCCCCTTTTCTGCTCCTCTCTGAACAACCCCCCCCTTTTTCGTCCTTTCAGGCGAGGGCGGCGAGCTCCCCGGTCACAAGGTCATTGGCGACATCGCCGTGACTCGTCACTCCACCCCCGGCGTGGGCCTCATCAGCCCACCCCCCCATCACGACATTTACTCCATCGAAGATCTGGCGCAGCTCATCTACGATCTCAAGAATAGCAACCCGAGCGCGCGGGTCAGCGTCAAGCTGGTTTCGGAGGCGGGAGTGGGAGTCATCGCGTCGGGAGTGGTCAAGGGCCACGCTGGTAAGTTGATTGGGCTATTTTAATGGTTTCCTCGTCATTTTGATCCACCCGGCTGAGAAGCTTCTGGTTGTGTTTGGTATCTGTGGCTGCTTAGTGCAGAAGCTGAAGATGGCATTACCCTTGAAAATCGAAGCCGTTGTGCATCTGCAGTCAAGCTGACTGCAAGGACGTTTGCGCTCCCAAGGGATACAACATCTCAGTTCGGGACTCAATTTTCAATCTTGGACTGAAGTTGGGTTAATGGCATGGCAATTTGATGAGGCAACTCTTGGTTCAGGACTTGCTGCAATGAGCAGACCCAATCCATAAACCTCGTTTCACCACGTCTGACCCCACGCCTCCTTCACCATTCCTACTTTCCACACACCCTAGACCACTTCTAACCTTTGAATCTGTCTCCTCCAGACCACGTGCTCATTTCCGGTCACGACGGCGGCACCGGCGCCTCCCGCTGGACCGGCATCAAGAACGCGGGGCTCCCCTGGGAGCTCGGTCTCGCGGAAACGCACCAGACCCTCGTTGCGAACGATCTCCGCGGCCGCACTGTCCTCCAAACCGACGGGCAGCTCAAGACCGGGCGTGACATCATGGTCGCGGCGCTCCTCGGCGCGGAAGAGTACGGGTTCAGCACCGCCCCGCTGATGACGATCGGTTGCATCATGATGAGGAAGTGCCACAAGAACACGTGCCCCGTCGGGATTGCAACGCAGGACCCGGTGCTGCGTGAGAAGTTTGCGGGCGAGCCCGAGAACGTGGTTAACTACTTTTTCATGGTCGCGGAGGAGGCGCGCGAGTACATGGCGAGCATGGGCTTCCGCAACATCGACGAGATGGTCGGGCGCGCCGACATGCTCGAGGTGGGTTTGATATTCAGTATGCTTTCGTTCAGGTTCGGAGACACTTCTGCTCTTCTGCTTTCGCCAAAACGGATTGTGGTGCTTTTTGCTTTTGCCGAAACAGCATTGCGTGGTGCGAATGTTGAGCTGGTTCGTGAGAAGCGTGGCAAGTCGGTCTTGTATAGCGACGCTTCTTTAGACAGAAGTTGGGAGACTAGAGGCCCGAGCACCGGCTTAGATTACCATGGTGGAGTTTTTATTGACTACACGAGCCGAACACCGTGCAGATCCAGAGCATCACACCTTAGTAAGAAGACACAAAGAAGTAGCGCCTTCCCTTTACCGGCGGCTTAGGTCGCCGCTAATCTGATGCCCCATCGCTCCGGGAACAAACTCACAATCCAGGAGTCAATTCTGTACATCACACTGTCACTGGATTGCTCTTTGTCTCAATCGCAGACGGATTCCAGTGCTCATTTCCCCTCGCTTTACACCTTACAGGTTTGACCCCGATGTTGTCAACGCCTGCAACAAGCTGTCCCACCTCGACCTCTCCCCCCACCCTATCCCTTTAATTCCCAACCCACTCGGTAACACTCTTTAGTGGGCTCATGTATCCTAAATTGATTGGAATCGCCTCTTTCCAGGTCGATCCTGACGTCGTCAATGCGCGCAACAAGCTGTCCCACCTGGACCTCTCCCCCATCCTGCTCCCTGCGTCCACTCTTCGCCCGGGCGCCGCACAGCGGTGCGTTCAGAAGCAGGACCACGAGCTGAACATGGCGCTCGACAACGAGCTTATCGAGCAGGCTAGGCCGGCGCTTGACAAGGGCATGCGGGTCTACTGCGAGGCGGAGGTGGTCAACGTTAACCGTGCGGTTGGGACCATGCTCAGTCATGAGGTAAGTGGAGGTACTGAAGGGTCGTTTGCAAGTCGGAGATGTTTGCGAGAAAAAATGAGGAATGGACATCGAAACTGGGTGAATCCTTCTGAACGATGCTCACTTTCTTGAGACCTTTTAACAGCCATCAAAGCCTTCAATTGCCTCATAATGACACCTGACCGATTCCCCCGAGCCACCTTCAATTGCATACGATTCTTGCTTTGCAAGAGGTGTGAGAGCCAGAGTGGATTTTTCTCGTTGCCTTCTTTATGCAAGAATTCTCTTCCTGAACCTCCTGGCCTCTCTGCAGGTGACCAAGATTTACAAGCGCGAGGGCCTCCCCGCCGACACGATCCACGTCAAGCTGACCGGCAGCGCGGGACAGTCCCTGGGCGCGTTCATGTGCGCGGGGATCACCCTGGAACTAGAGGGGGACAGCAACGACTACGTTGGTAAAGGTCTGTCCGGAGGAAAGGTCATCGTGTACCCCCCCCGCAAGAGCACGTTCAAGGCGGAGGAGAACATTGTGATTGGCAACGTGGCGCTGTACGGTGCGACGTCGGGCGAGTGCTACATCAACGGAATGGCTGCGGAGGTGAGGCGGAGTTTTGGTTGGAGCCCCATGGGTTGTGTCTAGTTGAAAGTCCACCTAGAGCTCTGAAAGTTGCTCATGGTGTTTGTAGGCAGGGCGGAAAGAGTAAGACCTGCTATTACACCGTCGTCCTGTCCGCAGAAAGGGCGATCGCTTTTGAAAGTCATGTGTTTAGCAGATGCGTCACGTTTTGACGGCCTTGTGAACGGCCTCATGTTTATGTTTCTGTAGAACATAAAAGAGTCTGTACCTTCCAGTCTAACATCATCGGACACATCTGTTTCAAGTGCTTTTTATCGCTTTACGAAAGCGCCCTTCTGTAGCCTCTTCTGTCAATCCGTTCGTATCTTGTCCTGTCAAAAGTCGCTTCCGAACTACCGTTTCGTCTCCCAAGTCTCCTGGACCATTTACGCAAGGGGTTCCTCTTCCCGCTGGTCGTACTTCTCGCCTTTCGTTATTCTGTTGTCTTTGATTCCCCGCCGCTCTTTGCATCCTGTTTCCAACCCGCTAACCTCTCTCAACCTGCTAAGTTTGTCATCCCGTTCGTCCAGCGCTTCTGCGTCCGCAACTCTTGTGCCAACCCGCCGAACTCTCTAAATCCTACTTAACCCCGCTTAACCCGTCCGTACAGCGCTTCTGCGTCCGCAACTCTGGCGCCAAGGCCGTTGTCGAGGGCGTGGGCGACCACTGCTGCGAGTACATGACCGGCGGAGTGACCGTCGTTCTGGGCGGAACGGGGCGGAACTTCGGCGCCGGAATGAGCGGCGGAGTGGCCTACGTTCTGGACATCGAGAAGGGGTTCAAGCAGAAGTGCAACCGGGGGACGGTGGACCTGGAGAAGGTGACGGACGAGGAGGACAAGCTGGAGCTCAAGTTCCTCATCCAGCAGCACCGGCGGCACACCAACTCGTGAGGCCGTGGTTCTGTTCGCCTGTTCCTTTCTCGCTTCTATTGCTCGCAAATAGAAGCTGAAAAGCCCGAGCGATTACGAAACGTGCCTAGCTACTCCGCTTCTTTTGCTTTTCGTTCGTTGCGAAGTTGTTCCCGATCTTTTCTGCCTCTTTCTGCGGCCCTTGGCTTGTCTCTGATTCCTGAACTCACTTACCAAATCACCTTCTTAGCAGCCACCCCGTCAGTAAACCCCATCTAAATGTGCGGCTGATCGAAAGAGTGCTGGCCAGCTCCGAGCACCTTGCTTCTTTATGAGCCCACCACCCTCTCAGATTCCGTCCTCTAAGCCCGTCGACTCCCCGATGATATGTCCTTAGCCCCACCTTTAACCCCGCTTTCTTCTTCCCTCCAGCCGCCTCGCCAAGTGGGTGCTGGCCAACCTCGAGCAGCTGCTCCCGGTGTTACCACAAGGTCATACCCGGCCCATACCAGAACATCATGTAACCCCTCTTTGACCCCGGTTATATTACCCCAACCCACTCCGCTTTCTTCTTCTTTTTCCAGCCGCCTCGCCAAGTGGGTGCTGGCCAACTTCGAGCAGCTGCTCCCCAAGTTCCACAAGGTCATGCCCCGCGACTACAAGGCGGTCCTGGAAGCCAACAAGGCCGCCAAGCGCGAAGCCGAGGAGAAGGCCGCGGAAGCGGAGCGGCTGCAAAAGGCGGACGCTTTCGCGGAGCTGCAGAAGCTGGCGCAGGATGCGGCTGCTAACGGGGTGTCGCCGCAAGTCGAGGTGAGGGCTAAATGCGTATGTACTTCTTGATGCTCGCGGAGTGCTTATCATCTTTGCTGCTTGCCGCGGGACCTCGGCACACTCCAACCCAGACCTTCGGACGCCAAGACAGTGTCAGGCTCAGGCCAGTCTCCATGGCTCACGGCAAATATCTCGAAGAGAAGCCCACGGATGTCCAGAAGATCAAGCCTGAGCGCCTCCGCTGAGTTCTTATCGAAGTTGCATGTTATCCCCGTCGCTTCTAGGGATATCATGAACTCAAGCAAGCTCCCACCTCTTCCACCTCTCGAGAAAAGGAGCACACAAGCCGCTGAACGGCAAGTCCAAGCGGCCGATCCATTTCCATCTCTTCATATGGAAGAATCTCGTAAATCTGCCCGTACCTTTTGCCTATGCTCGACTCCTTCTCTACTTCTATAGCATGCACTCGAGCTGCTGAACGGGCAGCTCAAGCGACCGACGCACCTCCTCCTTATAGCCTTTGGCGAGCCCCGTAGCTTATGTTGAAACTTATTCTTTGCCCCTCAGGAGAAGCACGTGGAGCTGCTGAACGGCCAGCCCAGGCGGCCGACACTCCATTTGGTTTCGCTTCATTGCTTCTCGCGAGCCCCATACCTTATGCTCAACGCTAGTCTTGTTTCCTCCCTTCCAGGAGAAGCACGTCGAGCTGCTGAACGGGCAGCCCAAGCGCCCGACGCGCCTCGCCGACGCGGTGAAGAACCGTGGCTTCGTCATGTACGAGCGCGAGGCGCTGCCGTACCGGCCCGCGGAGGAGCGCGTGAAGGACTGGAAGGAGGTTTTGGCAGGCGAGAGGCAGGACGATCTGCTGAAGGCGCAGTCTGCGCGGTGCATGGACTGCGGGACGCCGTTCTGCCACCAGGAGACGAGCGGGTGCCCGCTTGGGAACAAGATCCCCGAGTGGAATGAGCTGGTGCATCAGGTATGGCCGAAAGCCGCTTGTTTGGGGCATTCAGTTCCTAAGGATGTTAGATTGCGTCCCTGCGAGATGCAAATTTTCGGCGTTGGTCGGTCCGTTGTTGATACTTTCTTTTCTCAATCGAGTTCACGAAAGGTACGTCGAACGAAAAGATGCCTTTCTGCTTCGTACGTGCTCATGCGGGGCAGCTTTTCCCGCAATTCGAGAGAGGATTTTCTTGGTCTTTTAACGCTTCGTTGGAGAGTCTTCCATCGTTCCTTCCAGCTTTCGTTGGTGTCCTACAGTAGTGCATAAGCGTTCGCTGCTCGTCCAAAACCCCTTGATCTTCGGATTCTCTGAGAGTGCCCTCGTAATTGTCTAGAGAATTTTGGCCGGAAGGAAGGGAGTCTTTCGTCGGAAGTGTTACGCGAAACCTCCCACAAACGCCTCCTACCGCCCCTCAACCAGCTCTTTCACCTCGTCTTGACCACGCTCTTCCAGCGCCGTTGGTGCGAGGCTTTCTACCGTCTCCTCGAGATCAACAAATCCACAGAGTAAATACTACACAACTTTCTTTCACCTTCTCCCTTTTCGTTAACCCGGCCTCGGTGCTTCTTAAGCCTTCTCTAGACCTGTCTGAACCACTCTCTTCCAGGGCCATTGACGTGAGGCTCTCGACCGGCTGCTGGAAACTAATAACTGCCCCGAGCTCAACATACCCGAGATTGCTCTTTTCACCTTCTGCTCTTTTGCTACCTCGCCCTCGAACCCTACTAAACCGTCGTAATCACCCCTTTCCAGGGCCGCTGGCGTGAGGCCCTCGACCGGCTGCTCGAGACCAACAACTTCCCCGAGTTCACCGGCCGCGTCTGCCCCGCCCCGTGCGAGGGCGCCTGCGTTCTTGGCATCATAGAAAACCCGGTTACCATCAAAACTATGGAGTGCACCATTATCGATAAGGCATTCGAGAACGGGTGGATGGTCCCCCGACCCCCCGCGCAGCGCACCGGGAAGAAAGTGGCGGTCGTTGGGAGCGGTCCGGCGGGCATGGCGGCGGCGGATCAGCTGAACAAGGCGGGGCATAGCGTGACGGTGTATGAGCGTGCGGACCGGATCGGGGGGCTCATGATGTACGGCGTGCCCAACATGAAGACGGACAAGGTCGAGGTGAGGGGACAGGGGACCGTTGCGCAGGAGAGAGAGTTCTCTATTGCTGATCCCGTTTGTTTGAGCAACTCGAGTTTTTGTGTTCGTTACTACTTAGAAAGGGTGTACATCGGGCGGTTTTTGTGGCGTCTTTTGGGCCTCAAGAAAGCTATTACTTGACAAAAGCAACCCTCTGTCCTATATCGTCACGCCAAATCCTCACGCCTTATCCGTTATATCTCTCGTCGTTCGATCTGATCCTGCTTACTGCTTCGATGTCCGTTTCGATGCTGTCCAGATCATGAAGAGTACCGAAACCCTTGTATCGTAGGGCGAAGCTTGAAGGGCGAACAACGATCAACGAACGATCTTCCCCACTGTCTAGTTGGTGGAGCCCCTGTGAGCTCCATGTAAAGGGAGGCGTCCCATTCGTAACCAGCGCCCACGTGTGTTTGTCACTAACAGACTGAATCCTGCAGTTGACACATTCTTCAGATCCCAAACCCCAGGCGACGTTGCCTGCAGGTCGTCGAGCGCCGCGTGAACCTGATGCGCGAGGAGGGCATTGAGTTCGTGACCAGCGCGCACGTGGGCGTGGACGGCAACTTCCCCATCGAGAAGCTGCGCGCGGAGCACGACTCCGTCGTGCTCGCGCTGGGCGCGACCAAGCCACGTGACCTGCCGGTGCCGGGGCGGGAGCTCGCGGGCGTGCACTACGCGATGGAGTTCTTGACCGCCAACACCAAGTCGCTGCTGGACAGCAACCTCGAGGTAATTGGACGGACCGGAAGTACTTTGAAATTGCGGTTTCAGTTCTGTTCTGTTGTGGTTTGCAGGTGGTTGCGGTGCTCGGGGCAGCAGCAGTGCGAGTTCTATTCTCAGTCTCTGCTTCCTGCTTGTCAGGGAGCGGGTTGAGTCAAGTGAAGTGTCACATTGCACAAACCCTGGATGACACAGGCGTGGAGAAATGTTAGAACCGCGGCGCATGTTTTTCATCCAGCAGACTATCCAAAATTGACCCAGACCGTCGTCTTCAACTAGCTTCTGTATGAAGCCCAAATTGGTCATGCTCTGTCCCAACCCCTCTCTTGCTTTGCAGTGCGTCCATTGGTTTCCCCGCTTCCGCCACGGCCAGCAAACAGCGTTCTTGCAGTCTCCGCCTCCTCACAAGACTCAGCACACGAAACCTGCCCTTCCCTTAGCTGCTCAAATTAGTTCCTCACACTAGTTCCTCAACTGTCCTCTCCAGGACGGCAACCACATCTCCGCCAAGGACAAGTCAGTCATCGTCATCTGGGCAGTTCAGTAGATTCTCACTCCCCTTCTAAAGCCGCTGAATGACAACCCGTAGGCGACCCACTTCTGACCTCAACCTCCCTGATCCGCAGGACGGCAACTACATCTCCGCCAAGGACAAGGCCGTCATCGTCATCGGCGGTGGCGACACGGGCACCGACTGCATCGGCACTTCGCTCCGCCACGGCTGCAAGTCGTTGGTCAACCTAGAGCTTCTCCCTCAGCCCCCGGAAACGCGGGCGCCGGGAAACCCGTGGCCGCAATGGCCCCGCGTTTTCCGGGTGGATTACGGCCACGCGGAGGCGGCGCACAAGCTTGGGAAGGACCCGCGGCAGTACGAGGTGCTGACCAAGGAGTTCATCGGGGACGGGGAGGGGAACGTCAAGGGGATCAAGACCGTACAGGTGAAGGGACTTTTTGCGTTCTGGCTTCGTTGAGGGTTGCTGGCGTTCAGTTTTTGATGAAAGAAATCTCAAATGTTTGCTCCGCCACGCCGCAGGCTTCCCAAAGGCTTCTGTATGAGAAGATGTGGGCTTTCGTTCGTACTCTAGAAGTTGAAGGTATTGATGACATTGCACCTTGCAAAGAAAGGTTACTGGTATGGGACGTCTTTGATGTTTTAAATCTGTGGCGGATTGCTTTTGTGCCCTGATTGTTATAGCACCTCAATCGAGTCGTATTATGTTCTGCTTCCCTATTCATATTGTCGTTTGGAGCCCCTCTTCTTGGAACTGCAAAGTTTCTCGTCCGTGGTACCCAATCAGAGTTGGTGCCGCAAACCCAAGGTTTTCTGACTGTTTCCACCTAACCTTCGCTCACAGGTCAAGTGGGCCAAGGACGAGTCGGGCCGCTTCAAGATGGAGGAGGTCGCCGGCAGCGAGGAAGTTCTGGACGCCGATCTAGTTCTCCTGGCCATGGGCTTCCTCGGCCCCGAGCAGAACCTCGCCCAGAAGCTGGGCCTAGAAACCGACCCCCGGTCAAACGTCAAAGCCGAGTACGGCCGATTCAACACCAACGTCGAGGGCGTCTTTGCGGCAGGGGATTGCCGCCGGGGGCAATCATTGGTCGTGTGGGCGATCAACGAGGGACGCTTGGCGGCGGCAGAGGTTGACAAGTGGCTCATGAAGGACGTGGCGCTGCCCAAGCCGGAGGAGCTCGAGGCGTTGCTCCCGGGGGGCGGGAATGGTGAGTGACGGCAGGCTTGTTATTACCCCCCTGGTTTGGGAGTGTCGTTCGGTTGTTTTTGGGAAATCAATGAGGGGTTTGGTTGCCGCAGAAACTGGGCAATGCGCTGCTCGCAATGGGGGGACATGATGATTGGGCGCAAGTTTGATTCCCCCCTGGATTCCCCATTCCGTTTGGTCGTAATCCTGAAAGTTTTGGTGAGGGTGCTGAGTTGCTATGAATCCGGGTATATTTTGCAAGGCTCTCCGAATCTCCGACCTTGGGTTTGCTTTGCCTGCCGTCGCTGCGGATATGTCTCGTTTTGCAATAACCCTTGTCATCTGCATTTGGGGAGAGGGCACTCCAATCTTCAAAGATCCACAGATACCTAGACTTAACGCTTTTGATGAGGATCTAAAGACACGGAACACTACATAGTCGACAGATGCACGAAGCTAGACACGACGCTTTCTTAACAGGTTTCTTGTGAAATGGAAGCTCACAGCCTTTTGTCCAACGGTCTGCTCAGGCGCGTCAACCAACGGCCGCCACGTGGAATCGTTCCCAGCGGGGCTGGAGAAGGCCAAGGAGGAGGCGGCGGATGCTTGCCTCGCAGTCCAGGACGAGAACGCTCCCGCATCCGTGCTGCAGAAGTGCATCGACCTCAGTGTGGAGGCCGCGGCGCTCAGCGACCGCACCATCACCACGGAGCAGAGCTTCTGAGTGACGTCAGAGAGGGGTGTCTGATGACGTCAGCGCGTCGATTTTCAGGGCAGGTGGTCTGATGACGTCACGCAGTGTTTTGAGTGACGACACGGGGAACGGGTGCGGGAGGGCCTGTGTGTGACAGAAACGCATACGAGGATTTCTTGTGGGGCAAGCGCAAGCATGCCCACAGATGTGCTGTTTGGGACTGTCGAGAACTTCCATACTATTACATATCCACCTGTTATGTCAGTTCCTATAGAAAGCTCCTCAGAACCGCTTCCAAGACGGGGCTTGGAAGGTTGCATATTTGCTATTGAATTGCCTGGTGCTAGGTTCTAGGTCGCCTTGTAGTCTGCTGTTATATACAGACAGAATTGGTTAGTTGACGCAGTCTGAGCAGGATTTGAAGGTTTGTGCACTCCTTGTAGTGTTCCAGAACGTGCTCTGGCTAGCATGTAAAGTAATCTTAGTTGAGAAATATATTCTGTGTCTACCTATCCCCCCTTTGTTCAGCCCTTGCTGCAGCTCCTACTTGATTTTCTGAAGTACCATGGGACATCTACATAGAATGAGTGCATACTAATGCCGGCAAAATATCCGCGTGGCAATATCTCTCGTCAGCGCACTTGTGGCCATGTACGTTGCACGCATCGCAATCACACAAGTATAGAGGTGGTCTGTGACTATACTGCATGTTAGCTCCCTGTGCTGTACAATCTGTGAAGTCCTTCCGCTGCAGCAGCTTCTGAAATGTGCATCTAGGTAGACCCCATTGTACAGAAACCATCAAAGGCCGGAGGCAGTCACTTCATCAACATGAAAACTTCAGATCTCGCGGATCATGTCACACAGAAAGGTAAACCAAGAACATTGACAGTACAATGTGATGCCCCGGCCAGGCTCGTCTGCATCTTCTCTGATGGTTTTGCACGATCAAAGGATGGATGGACTGACCATCACATATGCCCGACCAACCAGAAGATCAATGGAACACCCTTCGGGAGTCGTTGGACATATACAATCTCCATGCATTGCACTCGGTCTTGCTCAACTTTACCGGCACATGTTTGGAAAGAGTTGTATGCACCTCGTCTTTGCAAGATTGGATATAACACGTCTTTTTATAATTTCAGTAATGGCCCCTCTACCGCAGCCTCCTTGCCTCACGCTCTGACTCCAACAGGACCAGGATGTCATCTGCAAGCAGAGGGTGCAACAAAGTGTTCACAATCTCTTCAGGGTCTTAGGAAGATGGAGTCGCAGAACCTTGGCAGCGCTCCTAGACAGACCTTGGCAGCTGGTCCTTACAGAACTTGAGAAGGCTCTCCAAGCATGCACCTCGACTCGAGGTAGCTGTAAGCAAGCGGAACAGCGGCACATAGTAATCAAATCATTTCAATCTGAGAAGCTCAGACGTCTGAGATCATCAATCCCCGCAATCAATAAGAACTAGGACTGAGGCGTCACCCATCCCTCCAGCGCGGGCTTGTCAAAGGGGATGTGTCGGGTGAGCCAGATTCACAGGTGTGACTACAAACTTTTGGCCCGCAAGACAACAATCTCCGTTGACCGAGAATCCTAGCCCTCCAAAAGACTTTCACTATCTTCGTCAAACAGCCCCGAAAGTCAGTGCGGCCCGAAACACACAAGCAGGAGTGAAAGATGAAAACCCAAAAGCTGCAGCAGACTGTGGCACAGCTGGGGCCGAATTGAATCCCATTCTAGGCCGATTTCGAACAGGAGACCTGCCTGACCGTCCTGTCTTCATGAAATAAGCCAGGTGCCGTGCAGCACAACTGTACCCCAGAAGACGTACCGGATAACCGCAAAATCTTATGACTTCCAGGCCGCTGGAGCGAGGTAGCCTCATTGAGGTCTTCACCAGCTCCAGAATGTGAGCAGGCCCATGTGACACCCTAACATTCTGATTAAGTTCCCTGCTCATTTGGACAATTTGAGGTAGCAAAGTTCTCAATCAGAGCTTCAAGCCGTGAGACTGCCCGTTTCAAGTTGCCCCTCCGCTAAAGGTTTCAAGCTCTGCACAAAGCTACTATAGACAAAGCAGGCCCGCTCCCTGCTGTCCCACTAAATATCCTTGCCTGGCTGTCGTAGCCGTCTTCGTTTCCTAATCAGCTCCTCAACCGTAGTGCAAACCTGCCAACGTAGCACCCAATTTTTGGCTGTGCAGTGAGGCTCAAGGTGTCACACAATTACCTTTACCAGCCTACCAGTCGAAGCCCATCCGGAGCAGTAAACCATCCCTAGCTAACACACGCTGTGTGGTAACCGTTACCACCGCCATTGTGCGAGAAGCACACTGTTTCTGATGCATAGACCATTGAGCAGGCCCTCAACATACCAATATGATGAACCCCTGCACAAGTACCATTGCGCACCGAGACTAAAGATACAAACCGTCCCCTGGTGTTAAAGATCTGTGAGCACCATCTCACCTTGCCTCACGGGCCCCTTCACATTCCTCATAATTTGCCGGTCCTTGTCATCCCCCAGGAACTTCACCCTGACCTGCGTGACCTGACCACGAGAGCCCGTCCGCCCCACGACCTTGGTGACAATGGCGAGCTTCACAGGTTGATCCTGCACCCAGAAAAGTCCGCTTTCTCAACCGCAGCCCTCAGCGATCCTGTCACAGCCGCTCCTGCACGTTGCACCGAGGGCAGCCGTGCTGCAAACAACGGAACGGAAAGTGGCAAGACATCTAACAGCAGGGGGACAGAGACAATACACCATAAAGTCATCAAAAGCCAAGCAGGACAGTGTACAGAATGGGCAGCCGCCACTCACCATGGCTGCTTGGTTGCGCTGCGGCTCAGCGAAAAGGGTCGAGGCAGGGCGAGAGAGCAGAACTTGTCCAGCTGCGAAAGGTTCCGCGTCGAACGTTGCCCTCGGCTTGCAAAGTCCTTTCAGAGCAATTGTCGCGCGGAATGATTCGACGCCGAAACGATGTTCCAGCCGAAGGAGCTCGCTTGGGGAACTCGAGCTGCTCTCTCTGTTGCCAGCACCAATTCTGGGTCCTGTGAAAAGCTCTGCCAACGTGAAGCTTTTACTATTACTATTAGGCGGCAGCAGGGATTGCAATCAAGCGCTTTGGAAAAGCTTGCTTTCTCACGAGGGGTGAGCAGCCGTCTGAAGGTTCGGCGGTAGAGGCACAGGGACAGGTTGTTTGCAGTCTTAGCTGGAAGAAGCTGCTGTGGAGAAGCTGGTGATTGTCTGTAACGTTTGATCTGATAAGAGACCGACGATGTTGGCCCGGAGCCTCGGTAGGAGGCTGCTCGAGGCCACCCTTGTGGCAGCTCGGGGGGGGCCTGAGGTGCAGGCGGCGCAGTATGCCCTGCGTGCGATCTCCACAGGCGCCGGGATCCATGAATGGACGCCGCTCTCTGGATCACAGGATGACAAGCACAAGGGAGACTTCTCTGGCCTGACGGCGTGGCAGAGGGCAGCTCTGAAGGGTGAGGGGCATACTCTGGCCTGTGCTTGTGATTTGCAGTCTTCTGCATTGATTGCTTTGTGTGACCAATGGTGTCTTGTGTCAAAGAGTGTTTTTCTTTTGGTGTGCCCTTTTTGCATCCTCTGAGCATGTGTCATACGAACATGCAGAGGTTGGAAAAGACAAGCCTGTTCTCGCCAGGATGCTACTTTTGCGGTCAATCTGGTGTTTTCGGGTGAACGCACCAGTCGGTCAGCAGAATTGACCTCATGGTAAAGAGATTGTTTGAATTGAGGTGGGAGGTTATGGATTTTAAGCTGCCTCAAAGCCGGCTGCAAATGTGGTCTTTCTGCCGCAAAAAGCCAGATCATCTTTTTCGTTGGCATTCCCGCAAAGTTGCCATCTTTTGAGAAATTGCAGGCAAGCACCGAGCACCGAAATGAGTTTGTGCTTGCATGTATTGTAATGCTGTACCAGTCTTGCTCTACAGGCAGGTAAAGTCCTATGTATGTTGTGCTTTCATGTTTCTAGTGAGGCCCACGGTCCTTTGTCTAATTGTGGTGCAGACACCTGTGCACTTTAGACATCGAAAACCCTAACCTTGCCCGATACTGTAAAGTGCTTGAATAGATCTTTCAGCTGTTAAAGGATCCAAGATAATCTGTCTTGAAGAAAACATATAGTCCATTGCAGCCTTTTCCTTGGGATGCTGCAAGTATTGTTGTGGTGGTCATTGTGCGGAGATCTCCGCATGTTGCATTAGTGAACACAGAAGCTTGTCAAAACCAATCTAGTAAACCTTTGATCAGAACTCCGCTGCTCGTCGACCTATGCTTCTTTTCAAGACAACAGTTTCACAGCGAAGACCTCCCAAAACTTTATACTGTCCTTTCCTAACTCATCACCCCTTCCTGTTTCCATGCTCCATTTTGCACTGCTCTGGCTTCAGGTTTTCGAACGCATCTTCCTCTCTGCAATCTGCAGATCGTGGTTACTCTCCCCCCCTCATCTCCTCTTGCTTTTTCCTCAAGCTTTGCTGTCCATCAATTGTACTCCCATCCTTAACCCTGCTCTAGTTGACGCCGTTCGCTCCCATTTACAGGTTTCGCAACCGACTCCGTCACTGTCTCCCGCCCTGCCACCCAGCTCGCCATCAAGAACCCTAGCCCCTACATCACGTACGACGAGCACCAGCACGCGCGCCTCCCCCCCGGCGACCCCAGCAAGCGCGCCTTCACCTACTTCATCCTCAGCGGGGGGCGCTTCATCTACGCCTCGGCGCTGCGCCTGCTGGTCCTCAAGTTCATTCTGAGCATGCAAGCTTCCAAGGATGTGCTGGCGCTGGCCAGTCTGGAGGTGGACCTGTCCAGCATTGAGCCGGGGAACACGGTGACGGTCAAGTGGCGGGGGAAGCCCGTGTTTGTGCGGCACCGGACGGAGGAGGACATTGCGAAGGCCAACGACGTGCACCTGAACGAGCTGAGGGACCCTGAGGTGAGAGTTGGAGCTTTTGGTCGTGATGAGATTTGGGGAGTTGCGTTGTGGCGCAACTCTGGATTTCGCTGTCGCACGGTGATGTGTGCTGAGAGGTGCTCTGACTCCCTTGCTCGCTATCCCTGCACTATGGTGAAAGCAGTTTGTAGGCAGATAGAGATGCAGCAATGCAGGTTCGGGCATGATTAAGTGAGGGAGAGCCCCCTCCGGTCAGTGGCTGCGATGTTGAGTTCTGCTGTTGCAAGGATGACATGTGCCGAGAGAGTTAACTGGAAAGCGTGCTGGCTATGCCTGCTGTGGTGAAGGCACATGTAAGCGAAGGAGATATGCGATGCGGATTGATCGACTTGAGGAAGAGACCCTGTGGGTCGTTTCCTGCGATCTGCGACAATGATTACTGCTTTCGCACGACTGACATGTGCGAAGAGGTTATTTTATGGATCAATCTGTTTGTTCCGCCCGCTGTGGTTCAGCAGCTTGTAGGCAAAGAAGATAGGTAACGTGATATTTGGATTGGGCATGGTTAACCATTGAAGAAGGCTTCCATGAGGAAACTGCAGTTATTAACGGACAGAACGTGACTGTAAGCGTGTGACATTCAGCAATTGAAGCAGGTCTGCCGTCCTCCTTGACCATTGGAGTACTTGGAAACATGTGCTGAACCAGAGAAGCTTCCGTGAATTTGCAGGAGGACTCGGCTCGTGCCAAGAACCCCGAGTGGCTGGTCGTGGTTGGCGTGTGCACCCATCTCGGTTGCGTGCCTCTTCCAAATGCTGGAGATTACGGTGGCTGGTTCTGCCCGTGCCACGGATCCCATTACGACATCTCAGGCCGCGTGCGCAAGGGGCCTGCCCCCTACAACCTGGAAGTGCCCGAGTATTCATTCATAGAGGAGTCCAAGCTGTTGATCGGATAGGCCGGTCTGTGTCAAGGTTAAAGTAAGGTTTCGTACCAGATTGTCATGATCTGTGCACCTCACATTAAACATGAAAGGTTGCTGTTGGAAGTTTCACAACATTGGAATATGCATCCTGATGTAGGAGCCCATATTGTTACTAGAATTGGACCAATTCGCATAGACTGTCGGGATCTCCGGCCGCAATTCGTAAGACGGTAAAAGTAATCATCTCCAACAACACCCTTTTGTGCCAGTGCGTGTATGTTTTCATAAGCTCGAGCATCATGAGGCTGCCCTGAGCAGTGACTAACTCTTAAGTGCTTAAGATTTTGGACGTGCTAGGCACTAGGTACAGCTTGCTAAATAGAGGACCCGTCCTGCAAATTTTCAAGCTGCGTGATACTAAGCATCAATGCATGACATGGCATGTCATATGCTTGTACTACTGCAATTGTTGTGTGGTTCAGTTCTGAAACAGATCGATTGCTTATATTGTATATGCAGTGCATCGCATCGAGTATAACCGTCACGATCCGACGTGGCATGAAGCCGTGTATGCGATATCTTTGATTCAAACGCGCGGCGCAGCCGGCTCCCCTCCGATCAATGATGATCGTAAATCAGTGCGCCGCGGCTCAAGATCAGATTGACACGTCCAACGATCAAATTGTTTCATGACAACAATTAATGACATGGTACATACATGCCGTGCCGACCGGCCGGGAACACATAGACGGTTTTGGTTGCAACATACTAATATCGATCATATGTGAACCAAGTCAAAAGCTTCAACTCTAATAATAAGCTGATACCGTACCGAAATGACATGCTCAGGCATCGAATATTTGCCAGTTGGTTCGAACCTAAGCTGAAAACGTCGAATTCAATCAAGGTTCTTCGAAACAAGCCTGAGTCAAAGCAACAGTTGCGGTTCGACTGAGGTCGGAACGAGCAGAACATATCGACGTTGCGGGCGGATCCGTTGGGACGTACTTCAGAAGATGATGCTGTTATATTCTCTTACCGAGGTTCTATCGTCTGCTTCTGTCAGGCAAGATCCGATGATCTCCCAGCGGCCTCTCCTTTCACCTGGAGAAGATCGCGGAGCATTCAATCGGCGAACTCAAGACCTCAACTTTGCAGTGTTCAATCAAGCAAATGACTTCGCCCTGTCCAGCAGTTGCCACCCTCGACGTATTGGAGCCTACCAAAGCCTTTGAGTCAATCTCTTGAATTCACCAACTAAGGTTGCGGTAGGCACTTGCCATCTTCAGCACGGCCCTCCGACCTACTCTTCTGTCTTGAAGATCTCAGCTTTGCAGCCAACCCTCTATTTTACAGATTGCAGGTGTCCATATGGCTTCTCATCAATTGTTCATTGAAGAAAGGCGATGTAATGTCTGATGTTCCATGATCGGCCTCTCACCTTACTTCGATCGGCTGCCGATCCTTTCTTGGGCACGTCTGCTTGTGACCAGCTTTCCACGCTGCTCTTTGACAATCTGCAAAGAGTGCAATCATTCCGTGAGAGTCGGCTGACGCCGAGAGGGTCAGCATCACAGCATTCAAAGGCTCAGCTTGATTCTGGGGGAATGAACAGAAGTCTCGGACTCGGCTCAACTTATGTTTGTGCAGCAGCTCGCAACGAAGCCGCGCTCGCATGCTTAGGGTCAGATGAACTGCAGAGGCATAACGTAAGGAAGCGGCGAGATTGCACAACGAGTAACTCTAACTTGTCATTTACCTGTACTGCAGTAGAGCTCGAGCAAGCAGCCACGGCACGTCTTGAACGTCTCGTCCCTGGTCTCCACTTTCTCGCACGCAGGGTTGGAGCACTTCCTTCTATCGGCGGGGACACTTTTCGAGAGCGGATTCCTCCTCTCAGCAGCTACCAGCCTTTCTACTCTATGCTTGACTGCAGGATTGCTTTCCGCACGACTCTCACAGAGCTCCAGCTTCAGTTCCTCAAGAGCAGAAGCGTTCTCGGGGCACATACACTGGGCCTCAGGCGCTACTTCAGCACGACTCGCGAGGTAAGCCGCTATGTGCCGTAGAGAATCATTGTAGGCTTTACAGGCCGCGATGGCTGTGAGAGCTTCTGGGATGCCGTCATGACTGAGAAGCTTTTGAAAGATCTCTTTCTGGTCCAGGTTCACCACTGTACGCAGGATCAGGACGGCATGCTCGATGCAAGGTAACAGGTCTGATTCAATAAGTGTTTGCGCGACCAGCCGCAGGTCGTCGGGAAGAGACTCTTGCTTGGACGCAGGGTAGCTTTCGTAGAGGACTCGAATGAGCCTCACTCCATAATATGTCACGACGAGATGCTCGGCATTTCTGAGCGTGAGCTCGCCACTGGCGCTCCCTTCGGACGTCATCTGCATTACTTCCCGTATCATGCACAGGTAGAACTTCGTCCTTTTCGCCAAGAACCTCTTCGCTTTGTTTGACACCCCGACCAGTACTGAGAGTGCTTCAATAATTGATGTCCTTGCTTCTGTTCTAGGCTCCGGTCGTAGAGCGACGAAGCGCCCTTGCGCCAATTGCAGCACTGATGGCGCATGCTGCGCTTGGTGAAAGGTTGCTTCCAGCAATTTCAGCAGGTCCTTGATCTCCTTCATGAAGAATCTGGCGGTCATCTCGTCAACCGTCATGGCCGTCACAATCGATGCGTAAACTTCCACTCTGTTTATGAAGAAGACATTTCGAATTGGACCTCCAGTCGATGCGGGCTGTGAAACGAGAAGCCACTCCCCCGAAGCTCTTGCTTCAGGGAAGCCCGCTTGCAGCTCCTTGAGGAACCCTCTCTGCAGGAGATAGGAAACACAATCTGCCCCCTTTGCCAGTCCCTGCTCGGTCACAAGCCCAGGGAACCTGTTTTTGAACCTCCACAGCGCGCACAATCGTCGTTCAGGGTCATCGCACGTGGCTTCTTTAAGGATCTGCTTCAGCCAGACAGAGGAGTCCGGCTTTCGGAGGTCAAAGGAGTCGTTCTCTTCCTCGGGAGTCAGCTCTTCAAATTCTTGCACACTTCGCGAGCATTGCTTCCATGTCACTTCGGCCTCCTCTCGCGCCATGGATCTGTGATGCGCGGACGCCTTGCCGGGACCAGAATTATCTGTGAAGCGAGTCTGATAGAGCGGCTTGCGTCTCTGCCAAAATTCAGATGTCTCGGAACACATCAAGCCTGGATTTTGGATCTACTCGAGAAGATCCTTGTGCAGACGATCCAGACAATCTTCTTTACGTGTCGAAGCAGCTGGCGCAATGAGCGCTCTACTTCTGCAGCTGACGTTGGGCTCCACCAATCATGTTTGCAACACGGTGTCCGCTCTTCAGCAGGCTTTGCAGCTCAGCCTCATGCGTGATCTTCCGGAGATCAAATTGCGCTCTCGATCCCGTCGTCTCTAAGTTAATCAACACCAACGTAGGTACTCCTCAGGCTCAGTACATGCACCAGCAAGAGTCCAGTCTAACGTGGTCTAACGTCCCGGGCTGCATGCATAGCAAGAACCCTAGTAGTGTGAATAAGTGCGCAACTAACAAGGACGACGCGACATGACCTCAAAGGTCCGCCTCATTTCGAGGTGGATCGCGATATCTCGACGATGATGTCAACAGTATGAGGAATGAGGGATGAAGATGTCACGTAAAGTTGCGAATCAAGGTGACTGGCGAAGATTGCTTCGACACAGTGTCGATTTTGTGCAGAATCTGGTCCAGTCGCTAGGGCAGCAGATCAACAGGCTTTGTTGATTAGTCTGCTTAGCTGATAAGCCGCTCATCACGTTTACCAAATCGATATCAGGTGGTACGATCATGCCCACAGCCGTTCCAAGAGAGCTGTTCATGAAGCCAAGTGAAGCCAGCCGGCTTGTCGAACCAGCATAGCGCAAATAGTTGAACAAACTGGTCGCTGTTGGGCATGATGAAGCAGAACTCCGAAGCGAAAATTCACTAAATTCGATTCAGTCACCATGTTTAGTCTTACGTGCTCCATTTACACCTCGCCACAGGATGCATTCATTGCAAGCTGGCCCGCACCTTATGGCGGCCCCTGTCACACCACATTTGGTCCATGCAAAATGGCATATTCTCAGAATGCGACACGGATACTTGATTGTAATAAGACAAGACCCTGAATTACTTGCGTATACGATCAAGTTCTCCAGAGGATTAAACCTCGGACTCAACGACGGCAGCGCGTTCCATTTGTCTACTCGGCCAGACAGCCCAGAACAGGTGCAAGCAATCTCTTTAACGTATACGATACCAACATCATGCAGCGCACAAGATTCAGATAATCAAGGAATGCATCATGATTAGAAGCTCTCTGAATCTTGATGCATTCCTTGATAGAGGGGCCAGAAAAGCGTTCGCTCTTCTTCCATGATCAATCTTCCAAGTTTTCTCGTCGTTTGTGAGCTTCTAGCACCGTAGCTATGTCATTGGAGCGGAGAATTGGATCTAGAGTCGGTGTAAACGTGTTTAACGCACAGAGTATCCGGATTCTCGATTGTCCGACTCGAACCGGAGCCTCGAAACAGTCCCTCTGCGGGATGAGATTGATATATGTAGTTCAACAAAAGCAACAAGCCCTTGCATTTATATCTCTTCAGGAGCTTGTGTCGTGGCACCAGCTCGCTCAACCTGAATCATGAAAAACCGTAATGAATGATCAGCCTAACCGCAAGGTTCTGGCACGGGTCACTCAAGGACAAGTTCGATCGCTCTTTAGCCGTTCGAACAGAGTAGGCATAAGTTACAACGACTCAAGGTTCTCCTTTTTGAGAATGATATCTCGGACTTGACTTACAAAGGCTGCCCGGTCTCCATCTTCCAGATTCACTCCAAACGCCTCATTCAAGAGAGACAAGCGTACTGCAACCGCAACACGCGAACGCGCGAGTCGCCTCGAGAAGTCAAGATGAGTAACATTCCAGAAACCCTGACCTTAAATCAAGTTGATCCTCTCACCTTTTGTCGAACCCCGCCGATCTTTCCTTGGGCACGTCTTCTTGTGACCACCTTGCCAAGCAATCCGCTGACAATCTGCAGGGGCACTGAAGTTTCGTTAGAGCGAGCAGCCAAAGGACGAAGTAGAAGTCGAGAACATTGAGTCATTCCAAGGCAAACTTTTGAGCTGGGCACGATCGTGCTGCCTCTTCAGAGTCATCTGCTCAAACACAACCTTCAAACCTTATCAATACTTCTCTTACTCACCTGCACTACAGTAGATGTCGAGAAAGCAGCCTCGGCACATCTTGAACTTTTCGTCTCCCTCCAACTTTTTGCACGCAGGATTGGAGCATTTTCTTTTGCTGACACGGTCAGGTCTAGCACGTGAATCCCTTTGAGCAACGGCCAGCCTTTCTACTCTTCGCTTTACCGCAGGATCCTTCTCCGCAAGGTATTTAAAGATCGCTAGGCGCTGCTGTGCTGTTGACACGGAGGCTCTGGGGAAACGGTCTTGAGGTACGACGATCTCAGCGGTACGAGAAGCGAATTTGGCCGCACTTGTTCTTAGCTCTTCGCTGTATGTTGTACAGGCTGCAATTGCTTTGAATGCTTCTGGGACGCCGCGGTATCTTCGAAGTCTTAAGTAGATCTCTTCTCGATTCATCATTGTTTTCAACGCCAAAAGGGAGAGGCGTAGCATGGGGGGGAAGTCCGACTGCGTGAGGATTCTTGCAATCAAGTTCAAGACTTCATCCAGCAGAGACTCTTGCTCGCACGTAGTGTTGTATTCGTTGACCGCCAGAACAAGAGCTAGAGCGTTGCATCCGTCGCTTTGATAGTCTTCATCCCTGAGCGTGGGCTTGCAATTCTCTTTGAATAGTCCCGCAATTTCTCGTATCATGCAAAGGTAAAAGTCCTTTCTTTTCAGCAGGAACCGCTTTGCTCTGGCTGACATTTTCACGAGCCTTGAAATTGCTCTGACGATCGCTCTTCGTGCGTCTGCTCTTGGTTCCGGGACCAGACCGCCAAAGTCTTCCATCACTTTCAGCTTGTTTGACGCGTGGTGCGATTGATAAAAGGTTGCTTCTAGCAGCTTCAACAAGTCCTCAATGTCCTTCAACAAGAATCTGGTGGTCCGCTCGTCCAGCGTCATGGCCGTGATGATGGTTGCGTAGACAGCAATTCTGTTTATCAAGAGAATCTGGCATGATCCTGTCTTCATAGTAGGACTTGCATTTGGACAGAGAAGCCACTCCCAGGAAGTTTTTGCTTCGGCCAAGCCTGCATGCACCTCCCTCAGGAATCCCCTTTGCAGGAAATACGAAGCGCATTCTGTTCCCTTGCCCAGTCCTTGCTCGTGCAAAAGACCAGGGAAGACTTCCTTAAACCTCCATAGCGCGAATTCTCTCCTCTCAAAGTCGTCACATGTGGCTTCCTTCAAGATCTCTTGTATCCAGGCAGAAGATTCAGGTTTCCCAAGGTCGAAAGAAACTTGCTCATTGTCAGGAGTCATCTGTTCAAACTCGTCATAGGTCCGTGAAGATGTCTTCCATGTTACTTCGGCCTCCTCCGCCATGCTTTCCTGGACCTTGTGGATATTGATCTAGACACCTAGCTACTTTTTGATCAGCAAGCATACGAGCAGTCTTCGCAGAGCTTCTGGCGCCTTGAAGTTATCCGCGCTACCCACCTGCTGTGCTCTCCAACTGCGAGCGTTCCATGAGTATGCGCTCCGCCTTTGGGCTAACTTCATGTCCAGTGGATCTGGCGCCCTCTGAAATCAGCATCCAACTTCAGGCAAACGCAGCCTAACGGTGTTGATCTTCGCGCAGCTGCACTGCATCAGATGCGGTGTGACACTTTCACGTGATTTCACCTCTTAATAGTGATCAGTCCGACTTGCTGTAAAAATTGATAGCTGGACTTCTCTGGACTTCGACTCGGAGCCCTGAGCTGAGTATCAACGAAACCCACCCGTGCGATCTGATCGGCTGCGATGACGAAGCGCGATTTGCTCGATATGATTCGGACATGATCTGGAACAAGCATGCGTTCGAGTGGCCTACTGTAATACTTGCGTGCACCAGATTGACGGACGGACCAGCTCTGGAGTCCTTCCGATCTCTTGGCCGCTGCTATGATTCGCAACGTTCGCTACAAGCCCGGTACACTTACGCAGGCTTTGAGATGGGCTCCCATAAGGTCGTAGGAGAGAAGCAGCTAGGATCATTGAATAAGTAATGACGATGTCGGTCAAACCTTTTGATTACAGCCAGGGATTGACCATGTATGGTTGGTGACTACCAATCACTTTTGAGGCTGCTCGTGATAAGCTCGGCTGCACTGTTGCTTTCCGTCCAATTCATGCAGCGCCGGCAGTTCTTTCTGATTCTGATTCGATCATATAAGTAATCCCGCCGCACATGCCATGCGCTCGACGGGTTCTCCGAACTCAGACTGGTCAAATAGGCCGCGCGCCGCGCCGATCTTGATGTGCATCAGCATGACAATCAAAGCAACCGCGGATCTGTCCTGGCATATATGCGCATGCATCACAGATGTTTAGATCATGGAAGCTTGCACCACGTACGTAAATTATACGTGTACGTTCATGCAATCTTTGCACACGAATCATTAACGTTTGATCCTCGATAAGCACATGCATAATTTACAATGCTGGCAGCCTAGCTGGCGGGATGCTGCGCTGCACACTGACACGTCGAATTGGACTGACTGCATATTGCGATGCAGAATGCAATATGCGCACGTTTCGATGCTCTTTCCGATCTTAAAGAGGGCGTGGCGATACGACAAAATTGCAGCGACAGTAAGAGTGAGACTGCTGGCATTGGGTCGCTAAGATGGTACCACGTGGTCACCGGCTGATGTCATTTCTTGGCGACAATCAACTTGATACTCCGGGTTGTATGTCGCTCTTGACGTCACTGCGGATGCATCCGCCAACGCCCTCTTTAAGGCGCGGGCCACCAGATTCCCAGCCCATGTGCAAGGCATGGCAAGACGCAAACGCAAGGTGCGCCGGCGGGAGGCCCTCAATATAATATGACATGGCCGACGGTTCTAGGACACGTGGCTGTACGTTGGACGTCTTTCATCGTGTAAACACACCAATCCGACGGTCAAACATTTGTGAAAATTTCAGTTAGCTGGCGCTTGGCAAGCAAGCGTGCTGTGCCGCTGATGTAGCTGGACCACTTCGTGTGACCTAAAAGATACTCCCAAGCTGATCTTGCAATCGAGCTATAAATGCAGAAACCCCATTTTCAGGACCGCATGTCGACAGGAACCTGACCTGGTGATCCAACTGTTCTATTGCTCAGGAGACCGAAGTCGCTCCTTGATGCGGACGCCGAAATGAAACACACCTCACAGGTTGCTCGAGGGAGGCGACGACGAACCAGAACCCCCAGCCGTGATAGACAACCTGCGACTCCTGTGAAGCAACAGTCTGCTTTACACCTCAATTTAACCCACACCATTCTTCGTCATTCACCCCTCGGTCCCGGGTTCATCGATCGCTACAGACCTTTCTCGTCCTGCAAATTGGACTGCAGCATCAGCAGACTGCCGGACAACAGCACCGTTCGTGAGAGGCACAGAACGCTGGACGACTTTCTCCTCGCAATCCTGGCTACGAGTTAGTGAGAGCTGCTACGCACTTAGAACGGACCTTGCGATGACTCAAACCATGCTAGCTTACGTCTCTCCCTCGGAATCGAACTTCCGATGAACGCTTAGCAGAGCCATCATTTGATGCAGAACAATCTGGATTGCATGGCATTGAAGCGAGCGAGGATTCTACTGAGCAAGCTCACCTGTATGACTCTGCAGGACGCGGCTTGAGAACCAAAAGAATGTGACTTCTGCCCATGATTGCGTTCTCCTTCGTTACTCTTATTCGTCCGAGCTCAGCTTGGGAACCGGCTTGTTCTCGTAGTCATTGATGTTGACCTTCTCGTTCAGTTTCTGCACAGTCCACAATGTGTCAACGAATCTGAGACGACCCGACTGTAGCCTCAAGTCGGTTGAAGAACCCCTAATGCCTCCTTCGATGGTCATTGCTTGAATGTTTTAATCTGGAAGAAACTTTTGTAGCTGCACATCCTTTTCTGCACATCAAACTGACTGACGCTCAGAATCAGCAGTGGCTACTCCTTCGACGAAGGGAACAAGTACTAAACCACTATCATCGAAGTTTCTCCGTGGAGTCCACATACACTTTGAAAACGGAGGATGAAAAGAAGCATCACCAACGTGACCCCACTTCGCCATTTGAGCCCGTTACAGGCCCTCGTACTTTCGCAAGCAAAACTGTCACTCTTCGTCTTTGAAACACCCGGCCAAACGGACTGGAAAAAAAATTCTGCAACTCAGAAAACGATAGCCCTGATTCGACCAAGATTCACAGTATGGACGGTGGAGACTGCAAAGGATGATACCTATTCACCGCAGACATAAGCAATCTATTGCACGGCAGACCTGGCGGCTTGATGGAAAGGACAAAGTAATCATAAGCTGCCCATAAGATGTTGCGAAGACCAGAGCGAACGACCCCAAGGATTGTTCAAGTCAGCAGGTTTTGTTTGGGGGGGAAAGGACTGCCTCACCCGCAGTTCCTCATTCAGGTCCAATTTCTTCCCCTCGCTTTTCAGTTCCCCCTCCTTGTTCAGCGGCTGCAGTTGAGCTGGGGAGTGCGCGTTGATCATCTCTCTCCGGCCCTGCAAAAGGGGAACTCTCAAGTGGATTCGAATTTGTACTGCGACCAAGCTCACTACTCTGAAAACACTCTTGAGATCAGGTAATATCGAGACTTTCTGCCACCAGATTTCTGTGCAGACAAACCCCGAAGATTCTGAACAGGAATACTGTGATCTGGGCAAAAAAGATCGCTGACCAGGACGCGCCGCTGATTTGTCACATCTTTTGCAGAAGGTTGCCGAACGGTGTCTGGCTCATTTGTATCTCACTGAAGCTGGCGCATTTCAACATATTGGCAAGCACCTGGTCCAATATCCTTAACGAGCAAGGAGCTATGCAGAAGGACCCCTTGCTGAAAGGCCCCTCAGATTGGACTGAAGTCGGCGCTTCAGGGCACATTAGAATTGAGGAACAGAGCTGGGCAGACAAGATAGAAAACCATTTCAACTGAGCTTCGTAGTCAGCCCTTCCGCAGTTTTCAAGATTGCTTTATATCAGGGCATCGGTTTCTCGCCCTTCAATAGAGCTGGAGTTTCAAGCCACTGAGTGGCTCTAGAAGGCAGCGATGGTTTGGGTGGCCCGTACTACTCAACAAAGACTGCCGCTGTCAAGTAGCTTCCGATTGTCAAGACAGCATGATGAAAAGAAAGATACGCCCTCTGACACCACTTTGAATGCTGGTGCGTGGCCCTACTTTGGTGGTGGTCAGACAGGCCTTGCTGGCGGAGAAAGCTGGTACTAACCTGAGTCAGGTGCACAAGACCGTAGAAGCCCACTACTGAGAAGACGGTCATTGGCAAACCAAACCGGAGAAAGGGGCCCCCACCACCAGCGCGGCGCTTGCGCACCTGGTCCATCAATTGGCACCGAAGATAATCTGGTGTCCTGCGCCTGCTTCAGCAGGGCTGGTTCAAAGCATTGTGACCTTTTCAAGAGTATTTTGTAACAACAATCATCGCTTTCATCTCCTTTGACATGACCTACTCAGCTCGCAGTGGCGTCTCTGCTGTTTTGAAAGGTGCATGTTGTGTCTTATTCGAATGCACTTGTGCTTGCAAGTTGCAGACTTTGCTTGCAAGCTGAAACTTTGAAGGGGCATCTTTAGTCCCAGGGCCAGGGCCGTAGGCTCAAATGGGACCAGCCACATTAGATACGGCTGTAGCCAGCTTTAGCCAGTGATGTAAAGCAGGAGCACTAATCTGACGACCGACGAGGCCTTCATTCTGGACGTTTGGCATATTCACACCTTGACACTGCTAACACATACTGGCTGTGTTCGAGCCTTGCAAGGCTCAGCTTTGCAATTCAGCTGCCCCCGGATAGCTACACAATCATTGACATAATGGCGGCTACATCCGCAAGTATTGTGGGGCCTCGGCTGAGCACTACATTGGCACCAACTTGTCGTGCTCAATGCAGCTCGCAACAGAGGGGTTTGGCTCCTGTTTCATGCCCAATTGGGCGAAAGCATTCCTCCCAGCTAAATGCACACACCTTGCAACGAATTGCAAGCAACCCTGTGCAGAACCTTGAAAGTTCTAGATCCAGGAAAGGATGTTTACATCAGAGAGCTCGGAGGCGAGCTGTACAAAGAGTCAATGCTCAAGTAACTGAGAATGAGACTGCCGAAGAGGCTTCTGTAGCAGCAAAGAAAGAGTTTCTAGAGGATGCTAAGTCCTTGGGCAGCGTCCGGCTGATTGTGAATACTGGCCTTGGCGTCCTTGAATCTGTGACTACGCTGGAGAAGCTCTTCTATCATCCCATGCCAGGTTCGCAGAGCCCGCTCTTTTCTTTCAATGTGAAACTGGACTTAATGCCACCATTGTCAGACAACTTCAAGGATGGGCTGACAGCTCACAAAATGTGGCATGCTCAATCTCAAAAGATACAAGTCTTTCGGTCCACCAGAAGTCTTGTGGTTCAAGACCATCAGATCCTATAGCTTTTCTGTTGTGCTGTCTGAGCCGCTCCCAATCTGAGTTGGAGTTGGTCACTGCAGTTTTTTCCCTACCATGAGTAGCCAACTATAGAAATAGCTGAGCAACTAACCACCGCTGGAGAAGGAATTGTAAGCATACTTGCAGGAACTGCCCCTGTCAAAGCCAGTACTAAAGTTTGCATATTATCCGCAGGTAAAGGACTGTATGCGAACCTGATGAACAATGATGACAACGTGGATTTCCATCTCCTTCTGGACAAGGTAAGGTGTTCATCTGTCTTTGAAAACTTGAAAAATCGCAGTTTTGGGTTAAGTTGAAAGATCCACAGATTTTCATACATGTCATATGTCGAGAAGTGAGACAAGCACTCGTGGAAGCAAGGATGATGGTCGGGGGCGTATCCGAAACGAGGCTCACTTGTTCCCCAAGTCGAATGCAACTGCAAAAACGAAACGCCCAAAAACGTTCCTTGTCAACCGAAGAAAACATCTTTTCGAAACTTTAACCTCAGAACAGACGAAGGAGGAAACGCTTCAACAGTTTGGGCCTTTAGCGGTGTTCTTGACACGTGACCGTGTTTAAGTTTTCGATTAGTGTACAAGGACGGAAAGTTCTCCCCCCGCACTGGTCACTTACGGATTGTTGCTGTTGACAGCTGGTAGATAGAGAAACACAGATTGTTGGATTGACAATTCTGGCAAATCTCATTTCCGACCCTTGCAGGTTGCTCGAGTCAACTTGGTGACGGCCAAGTCAAAGCGGGGCGACTTCCAAACACACACAATACGTTTTTATGATACCGAATCATTCAATGGAGCCAGCATCTTCGTCATGTGGAAGTCCGGGACCATGGGAGAATATGCTGAGGGCCAGGTCGAGGCTTTCGAAAGCTTAGTGAAGAAGTATGGCGAGGAGATTACATTTGATTGATGAAGTGAGCCTAGTCGAGATGATTCCAATCTCAAATTTGTTAAGCACGCTTTTATATCGTTCCCTTGAACACTATCGGGCGGTACGCTTGTCATCCGCTATGTCACTTTCGGCATTGAATTGATATGCTCACTTTCGAGCTTTTGGGCAATGGCGCCAGGCTAGGCCGTCAGCGACCAAGCACCACCATTGTTGACAAGAGCAAAGCGCACGGCAAGAAGTTGAGGTTTTGAGGACTGCGACGGTTGCATGGGAAACGTCCGACACTTGTCGGGCGGCTCATACTTCGTACGTTATGTAGATATGGGCCAGACTTTGCTTGGCGGCAGCATCCTACATATCATTGCCGTGCACAAGGCATCTGCACGTACGTACGAAGCTTCCAGGCAATGGTTGTGCAATTAATCATGTGTCACGATCGCATGGCGCAGCTGCCAGTGCACTGAGGGCGAGTGACACAAAAACCATGCACAGAGCCCCTGGCACGTGCATTGCTTAATGACGCAGGCTCGATCGAGTCCTGCAAGCGGGCCGCCCCTGCAGGACAGGCAGACTCATCATATTTGGCAGTACAGCTCGCCGGATCAGATGCATCTTATATGAAAGTATCCACCGATGTCACCATGTGTGCTGCAACCGCGCTAATTGTTCCCCCAGTTAGTCAGAGAAAGGTTGCGATGCATCATTAGCTGTTGCTGGCAGCTCGCACATTATGAAGTATGAATGCAGGCATACACTGAGCAATTCAGATGTCCCAGATCCCGAGTCCACAGTCTTTGCAGCCGTGATTGGATCCCGTCCTAAAAGTAAGAGGTACATTTTCTTCCAAAATCCATTTAGTCCTACGTGTGCGAGTTTCCACTGATCGCCAATGAAATCCACCTACTTTACTGAACCAGACGAGGGTCTGCCCTCTAAGCCAAGAAAGCTCAGAAGCAGGTTAGTTGCAACGGCCTACCTCATCAATGTAACTTGTCAGAGTTCGGATAGGCCTGTCTATACAGAATTTTGGATTGCAATTAGTTAATGCCTTCCGGCTCTTTTCTGCAAGCGGGCTGTCTATTAAAGTAAGAATCCTCGGCTTCAAAACGCCTCACGCCTCTGGCTCTTTTCGTTTGGCGCCTGCAGCTGGGGTCGGCCTGGCCATGGTATAAACGGCACTGCACACAGAAGGGACGACAGGTCAAGGTCGGTGTTGTGCTGCCACGTCGTCACGCACAAAATCTGAACCGTCTACAGACCTGAGGAACCTCAACGAAAGAACCAAAAGCTACAGTCCCAGAGCTTGCGTGGGCGTCTCGCCTTTGATCAGTCGGGAGCTTTGCTTCGAAGCAGATCTTGAGACAAAAGCAGGGACCCTCGATCAATTTCTAATCGCCAAAAAGCTGAAAAGCGCTTCTTCTCAACTTCGTCGGATACATACACACTGAAAACGCGTGTCGCAGAGCTAGAGATGCTCACCCGCATGTTGAGCACTCCCGGGAGAACTGGCAGAAGATGGACAGGCAGACGGAGCAGACGAAGCCCAGGTCGATTGTCTTCTTGTGGCAGAAGCACCTGTGCAAATCCATCGAACTTAGAACAGCGTCCGCTACATCCGTCTTGTACCCGGCTGGGTTCAAAGCAGCATGCGCGGTGCACCGCATGGGGCGGCCGCTTATCGTCGAAGAGGACATTCAAGATTGAAAACGAATGGCCAGCAGGAGGGCGGGTGCAACCGGCTACAGGTTACGCGGAATCTAACCAAGCCTGCGCAGAGAACCGGCACATAAAGGAAGGCAAGTAGGCAGGAACCGACAGGAAAGCACAGACAGAAAGGCTTACGAGGCGCGAAAGTCGACGCCTGCCGGCCGGGGCGCGAGCAGGAACTGCCGCGAATGAAGGTCCATGGCGGGGACCATCTGCATACGACGAAAGCTAGCTCAGCCCGTGCTTTCGAAGTCGCAAGAAGCGGGTTCACATCCTATGATGTCTCGGAGACCAGATTCTCAGGCTAAGTCTTTAAAAGGTGCTTTTGATCCCCGTTCTTTGATCAACAGTCTTTGAAAGGACTCAAAAACTTCAGATTCTCATTGGGGATTGCCATTCGTCTAAATCATTCGATGAGTATCCGGAACGGATCGTCGCTACTTAGGAGTTGTCGCCCTCAAGAAAATGCCCAGTCACGCGCTTTCGAGCCGGCCGCCCGGCCAGGGTGGGCAATCGACACGAGCTTTGCCATTCGACGATCTTATCCATTTCATCGACCGCAAGAAATGAACTCGACTGTCCAGGCCTCAAGAAGACAGAGGGAGCGCAGGCAGCGACTTAAAAGATCACCGCCGGAGCCTTAAGAGCTCGACAACTCGACAAAGCAGACCAAGAGCCTTTTATTGAAAGAGCGGAGCGGCTTAAAAGTGACTGCAACGCTCGCATGAGGTGGGCCCAAACAGCGGCTCTGACTTCCTACACAGCCCCGTCCAACTTCAGCAAGTTCCGACTCCGTAAGGCGGCACTTGTTCCGGTTGTAGAACTCCTGACGAATAACCGCAAAAAGGAATTTCCGCGACTTAGGTCGCCAACAAGGAGCCCCGGTTTTTTGACCGCGAATTCACCATTTCTGACAAAACCACACCGAGTGTCTCGAATACCTTAACACCCTGGTTCAAAACTGAACGAAAACATGCGATACAAAAACCAGACTGAGACGAGGAGCTTTCGGACACCCAAAAACTAAGTCTGAAAAAAACGGGGCACTCACGAGAAGATACTGTAGAAGGGCCTCTGGCCGGGGAGGCTTTTGGTACAGCCCTCCCGTGAGGTGCGCGGCCTGCAAGTTCGCAACAGACTTATGCACGAGGTCTACGGGAACATGGCTAAAGGTATCCGAGATGATCAGCCAGATATGGGAATACAAGTATTGATGACGAGACCCGCTTCTTATTCTTTCAACCAGTTGTAGTTTTGAATTGCAACCAACGATGCCCGCTAATCAATCGATATCATCATGAGAACCGGTCCTTCTGTGAACAGCTGGTCCGAGCGCTTTGCAACGGTCTTGGAAAATCTCGGAGACTGAATTTGATGCAGGCACTCCATTAGCCATCGACGAAATCCAACACCCAGGGCCTCCTTCTTGATAGTGCTGGCAAATCAGGATCGTGACGGTTCACCAGCTACAGCTCTGCTCACAAATGAGATCAACACGCCCAATCCAATAAGCTGGGAATATCAATCTCTCAAAAAATCCCTCATGCAAAGGGTAGTACGAAAACGGACGGGCTGCAGCCAATGCCAGCGCACTCGCCTCTAAGAAAACGAGCAACTTTGGAATTCTCATGAGATTCACGGAAGGGCCTTAGGCTCGTGGACTGACCTGCTGCAGGAAAGCGGAGTCCTGGCCTCCGATCATGCATACGTCAATCGGAACCTGCACAGAAATCGAGTAGTGGTTTGCATGTGCCAAACAAAAGATAACGGGTTACGATTTGTTGCACGCTACTTGAGGTTCAAAGGTTTGTCTTTTTCAGGGCCGTTACAGCGGCAGCTCCTGGTCGATCCGGCCTTCGAAGGGCGTTACGGCTTGTCTGCTAGATGCGCCGTCTTCTGTCGTTCCTGAGTACGCCAGTCTCCAATAAAAACGTCACCCGGAAACAAATCTCGGGATCAATGGACTGCCGTAATCTAGGACACGACGACCGAGACATTGGGACGATTGCGAGGAAAGTGCATGAAGCATCCAAAGGACGAGAGGCGGTAGCAGGCACGCATATCAATAAGGAAAAAGGGAATGGAAGACAACATAGATTATCAAGTGTGCATACAACAAAAGGACTGTGAAGGATAAATGAGGGGAAACGCGGTCTGTGGGTTCAGACAAATAGGTGAAGCTACTCACTTGCAACTTCTGTGCTGAGAACATGGCATTCATGGTCGCGATGTACCTGCGATTGGACGATGCAAGATGAGTACAGGGACTACGAGACTCGTCGCATAGCGCCGAAATGGTCCTTCCTGTGTGTCACCGCCTTGCCTCGGAAAACGAGGTCAAAAAGCAGGCTGCGGTCTTCAACTCTCGTCAAACCAAGGTAGCCCAGAGCCTCATATTGAGCGCACGCTAAGCGGTATCTCTGCACTTATTACTGTACGCACGACGAGCAACGCTCTGGCTACTTGTTGGGGAGTCGATGCAACTTGACGCTTTTATGAAGCAGGCAAGATTCATGCGAGATCCAAGGTCGACAATCTGCGAAGCAGATCGAAGAGGCACAATGATACCCACACCTTATTCGCGACAGGCAAGGAATGTTGTCGAGGAAAATCAGAATTGGTGAAGGACAGTGCAATCCACCAGCATGAAAATCAGAATTGGGGAAGGACAGTGCAATCCACCAGTATAAAGAGGGATGCGGACTTACTGTTGGGGAGCATCGGGGGAGCCGTGTATGCACAACATCTGCAGGGGGACAACAAGCGCAATCAAGACGATGCCTCAAGGAAGGAACACATCTTGACCAGAATCAATCCCCCCTTCTGGCTCTTTTCAGGAAGAGCAATGCAGGTGGCAAAACAGACAGTGCAAATCGAGTGACGAAGTGCGCCTGTTCGCTCTTCCTGCTTCTTTCATCAGAGCGGAGGTTCGAGTTTTGGCTGCCCTAGACCGCTTCTCTGTCCAGTCTTTTCAGATTGACAACGAAGTATGCAGTAGACACTTCAATCAATTGAAGCCTGTGAGACCGAAGGAGCTGGTATTCAAATCACGGATTCACGTCAGGCAGTGAAGAAAAAGAAGTCATGGTTCTCAGTAAGGTCTCACCCTCGGCTGGGGCTGCGGTTTTGGGCCTCGTAAGCAGCGCTGGACATCTGCAGAACTAGGCAGTCAAGGACACGAAGTGGCAGTGCGAACAAAAGCTTGGCTTTCTTAACGTTAAGAGGATAAGATGCAAAAAGGCGTTATCAATACCATCCAAACGGGTTTCAGGCAGTAAGTGGGGGAGAACCCTTGACGAGAATCGCAACAAAGTTAACATGCATCGCCCCTCAAGCGGTCCAAATTCACGAGCTGATTGGTCAGGCGTAAGGTCTTACGCAAACTTCGCGCTTCCTCAAGACAGAATCTTGAGCAAGAACCAAATACAATGTCAGTTTCTCGAAGCAGGCTCTGATTGATTCATAACATGGCGCGACGCTGGAAGTGAGTAGAGTGGAGGAGGATACAGCACAGCGCCATTGACAGCGCCCCAGACAGGTAGGTAGTCCGATTCGGCTCGCCCCCGCTGCCCCCATCTTTCCACTTCTGCTCTGCCTCCGAAACGACCCTCTGTATTCGCGAAGCAAGTATGCTTCCGATGCCCCTCTCTCCCTCTTCTGAAACCCCGTTCGCACTTCCGTTTGTTGCCGCAGGCTGGGCGTTGGATGGGCCTTGTTTGGAGGCCGCGGAGTCGAAAATGTACGCACTGGCAGAGGGGCGTGAGGGGGGGTGTAAAGCTAGACAAGAAGTTTGTGAGGAGAGTGGCACATTCGAGCCTCAAAGGACTCGGTCAAACTTACACCTTTGATATTTAATAAAGAAGATACGAACTTGACCATGCCTGGCCAATGAGAATAAGTCCATCAGAAGGGATCACCTGGGTAAAAGAAGTTTTTGGGGCTGTCGAAGCCTGAGAATAAAGTTCATTTGGCTAAATGGGGAAGAGAACAGCCCCTGAAGGCATGACCAGCCTGAAGTATGTTCACCCACTCTTACTCTCTAAAGGAGACTACCTGTCACCATAATGTCTCGGAGGCACCACGTTTGATGAAACCTGAGTAGGAACTTACCAGCCTTCTGTGCCAGCAGTGATGATTGCGACCTGGTTTTGGTGGTGCAGAAGAAGATACGAATTGACGAAGATAATCATCTGCACAGCGGGCCGCTTACTTTTCAATCTTTTGTAGGAGAATCTTCAGAACATATAGTTCGCCAGTGTCGGTAGCTAATCAAAACAAAAATGATTGCAACTTATGATTACAACAAACGACTGTTCTCTCGATGCTACGGTGATGGAGTTTGAAAGCGGGGCCAACTTCTTTGTCGACATCTACAAACGGGCACTTGCTATTAGACCAGGAAAAAGGCTCTACAAAATTTCATGGACTTTTCTACAATGCTGGCCATGTAATGCACCTTAGAGTTCTGAAGTTTGGAACAGTCTCCAGGAGTGTTCCACCATTTTGATTCTCACGGTTAGTGGTGGTGCTTATGAATCTAGAAGTAAACCTCCATTCCATCAGGAGTAAGTGGAGGGAAAGTTTGAAAGCCACACGAACCTGCTCTACCATGGCCTGGATTGAGAAAGCTGCTCCCATCCCATGCTTATCCCAAATGTAAGGGTTTATCTCAAGCGTGATCACCATAAGGCTAACGTCATCAGTGCGAGAAGGCACGGTGCCCTGTGCCATGACTAAACGGACTGCTTAAGTGCTATGCAAACGACACTGCCCAGAGCAAGCCAGCATTTGCTCATTCATCCAAGGCATTGCCCTTGTCCTTCTGATTATCACCAAATGCCTAGGAACTTCTCCAAGCCTGAACAAGTGGTGGCACCAATTCACCACTGCTCAGGAAAAGTTCTTGCAATTAATGCTTGAGATCATGTGCGCGATTCTTGTGGAGCCTTCGTTTATTCTTCGTGAATCGTCCATTCCTCCCCACCGTTTTGCCTCGTCTAGAGCTTCCCAATGCCAATGGAAGCCCGCTGCCCTTGTCGATGAGGTTCGTCCTCCCCAGATTGCTGTGGAAGTTTAGAGTTGCTCTGGAATCTACCAGGAAGAATCGGGATCGACGATTGCAGATCCATGGTGGAAGCTTCATCTTTTCATCGACGGTTTCAGAAGCATCACAATCCATCCTCCAGCGTACTGAAAGGACATAGCTAAAATCAGGCCTCGAGCTCGCTCTGCCTTTCCTTCCAACTTCATCTTCAAGTATTAAGGTAGGTACGTCACAAAATTCAGCCAGAAATCAAAACAGGGGCGCCATTTTGCTAAGAAGAAGGCGGGGAGATTGGAACGCTTTGTGGCCGTCTTCCCTGCATCCCGCTGTAGCTTATCTTCTGCAGGAGCTTTGTTGGTGTAGTTCATCCAGCGCGCAGGAATGGCGTCTGCGATCGCTGCTCCGTCGGCGGCGGCCTTCTCCTCGCTCGTGTCCGCCTCTGCGGCGTCCTCAACATGTGGCAGACAAGCCACATACAGGGCCTGCCCTTACTCAAGGGCTCTTCCTGCTCGGCACAACGGCCTGTCCGCTATGCAGTTGCCCTCAACAAAGATGCATAGCCAGAAATTCAGGCCAGTTGCTCCCTGCCGCGCAAAGGTAGTTGCGGAGGCCAAGTCTGGGGCGCGGGTCCAGGATCCATGCGCAGAGGGAGGTAGGCGCAATCGCTTTTCTGCTCTGCTGAAGTCTGCAGAAGTGGGGTCCGCTTGTAGCATTGCTTATGTCAGCAGTTCAGCTTTGCATTCCCGTACCTTATGTGAAGCCTGCCGTAGGAATGCAGGTCTTTTTTTTGTGTCAGCCACTGGACCGTCTGAACTGTCATCCTTGCTTCAGTCTGCGGTAAAGATATGCTTGTGTAACTGCATTCTGCCGCCTGTAGTTGGGTTTTCTTGCTGCATTGAAATGCTGCCAATGTGCAGAAAAGAAATTAGGTACCGTTGGTTGTTAGTGAACCCCAAGATCTGCTGAAAGATGCAGCAGCATCCCCGTTGCATTGCTGCTCAGCACCGCAAAAGGCTATGGAGGCATTCTTGTTGCTTTGCAGTGCAAACAAGTAGGCAGGCAGACATTGAGCAATTCACACCTTTTTGGCAATGCATGTTAGTAGCCGCGACTTGATACTTCCAACCTGCGGAGGCACGTACAAATGTCAGGTGCACATATGCTGAACTTTGCCTTTGGTCTTGGCAGTCACTGGCGTCGTTTCGGACAAGACCTGGGACGAGCTTGTGAAGAGCAGCAAAGTCCCCGTGTTGGTAGATTTCTGGGCCCCGTGGTGCGGACCCTGCCGGATGATTGCGCCCCTCATCGACGAGCTAGCAAAGGACTACAAGGGAAAGCTGTTGTGTTTGAAGCTGAACACCGATGAGAGCCCGAGCATCGCCACAGAGCACGGGATCAGGAGCATTCCGACCGTCATGATCTTCAAGGGCGGGAAGAAGCTCGACACTGTCATCGGGGCTGTTCCCATGACTACGCTGACGACCACTGTGGAGAAGTTCCTGGAATGAGAGGACCTGTAAATCTGCTTTCAAAGAGTAACATAGTGGCCGGGCATTTGAAGCGATGTTGTGATGAGGAGGAATGGGACGGCAGTCAATGTGCAGGGACGCTGCTGCCTTCCTGCATTTGGCGGTCATAGAGGGCCTCCACTGTATGGTTCATAGGGTTCCGGGTAGGAGGGGACTGCTGCTCCGGAGGTGTCAGAAGCTGGCTGCGGGGACGCTTCTGCATGGAGCTGAAGTGAGTTGCACTAAGTGGTGACTGGAGCAGCATCTGGACTTTCCACCTGTTTGAGCAATATTTGCAAGGAATCGAAGTCATCCAGCAGGAAAAGTAGGGACTGGGATCGGTTGTGTAGGTTGTTCATAAGCTGCGAAACTGTCCGTCCATTGTGCACAATGTTTCCGATCATGGTTGCTGGCAGGCCGAGTTGCATGGAAACCCGTTCTCGCAGCCTGCTTCGACATTTGCTTGCTTCTGTGGTCCCGATTGGTGGGACACCATATGATGCAACTTTCAGTTTTTGCTTCCAATTGCATCGAGCACATTGCCTCCCTGGATTGCAAACTCTTTGGATGGTGTTTTGATTGTTGTTTCAGATTAGGGTTCGGGGTGGGATGGTTGCATTGCGCTCTTTCTTCGTGCGAATTAAAATGGTTCTGAAGCTTCTCAGTAATCTCAGACAACTGGATCTTGTGCAAGTGGTTCCCTGCTTGTACTGGAGCGTTCTTTTGTGTTCTTGTGCTGAATACTGATCAAAGCACAGGACAGAATCACCTACTGGTTGCGCCTATTACCCTTTTCCTTTCCAGTTTGGAAACTGGAACACTGGCTGGTAATGAGTCAAACCTATTCATCTGTGGCTGCCAGAGAATCCTCTCTGCAACATCCAGATTTGTTGCCTCTTTTGCACGTACAAAAGCATTCAGCTTGCTGCAGGCGCGCATTTGCAACAGCAGTTTCGTGGCTAACTGTTGTAATCCTCTTGATTTCTGTGCCTGGTATTCTAGGTTCTGATTAATGGGGTCCACTTAAATTTTGGATCAATGAGGAGAACGCCAATTTCTTGTTTTATGTGAGATTCTGATCAAGCTTTCTTTCCTATTCTGGTTTTTTCTGATAGGTTTTTTCCTTTTCTTACCAACTCTTTTGAATCTGTAATCAAGCTGGTACACCTTGTTCGGGTTTTTTGCTCTTACCTTGTGATCTGGATCTCTATTGCTATAGAGGCAGGCCATATGGAAAAAGTGAATGCCGAGGAGGCGCCATGATACTGTCACGAAGCCTTCTGGTGAAGCTGTCTGCTGCCTACAAAATGCTTTAGTGTTTGCGTTTGACTAGCACATGTTGTGGCCTCCAAGCAAGTGCGTCCTCCTCTCTACCAGTTCTATGTTCCTCAAAAAGTGTCTTCTTGAGGTCCTTTTCAAGCTTGCCGTTGTAGAGCCTTGGATGCAACACCTGTTGAAGGAGTTTCTGGTAAAGGTGGATTCTTGTTGGTGGAAGCTTTGATGCATCAAGCTTAATTCGTTTGACCACCATGCACCGTCAATTGATGCGCGGACGTGAGAACGTGCATTGACAGGGCTGTCAACTTCTTGCCGAACGTTGCTCATGCAGACCATTATGTGAACAGTTGTAAAGTACAAATCTCAGCTACTGCATTATCAATTGTCAATACACCCGGCCAAGATGAACAACATTCGAACCATGCCACAAGCCTTTAGCCAATGAATTGTGGCAGCATCATGAGCATCTTTCGTCCGGCAGTCGCTTGCCTTCCTTTCCCCTAGGGCTATACGCACATACATGGTCATCTACGGGTACAACCAAGCTCAGTGCTCATGTGCCAACCAACAAAAATGATAAGCAAATTCGCCCGCACGTACTAGCTGGTTAACGCTATCCCCTGTTCGGTACTAGTTTGCAAGACACATGTAATCGTGTGCGCGCTAGTGCATGCACATGCGGTGCCCGCAATTTCAGAACCGTCCGGGTGCATCAACTGCATGCATGGACTGCGGACGCTGCACACGTATCATGCACATGATGGTCAATATAAATTCGGAAGCCGTGCATTGGAGCTCGATGATGAAAGTACGAATATCTTAAGGCATGCAGGCCGCCATTCAATCGCTTGACTTGCTGTTCGCTGCAAGTTGATTATTTGTGATCCTGGCTTTTCACCTCGCTGGGCATGCGGACCTAAATGTGGGTGACTCAAATTAGTACGAGGTTGACGTGGCTCCAAACATTGGGTGCTATTGTGGGGTACATCTACTCTACAAGGTCGTGCATCCTTCAATGATGTGCCGAGCTAGCAAAAATGTAAAAGTGGCGGCACAGTATCTTTTGTGATAGTAGTTGCAAAGACTCACTGAGACGGCCTTGATCAAGCACATGTGACAGGCCATTGCGGTGACATCTTTACAGGTTTGCACGCTGACAAGGTATATGTCTACCAACCAAGATCCGCTCAGATCTGGGTCCAGCCAATACTGCTAAGAGGCCAAGTATGTAGTCAAGCACAGGAGATACCATATTGCTGTCCTAGATCCCAATCGCTTGCACGTGCCCTGTCCCCTTCAACCAGTCAACGAACTCGTCTAGGAGGTACGGCCAGGCCCCTTCCGAATCATAATTTGACAACGACGGATCTATTGACTGCAGAAAAACACACAGGCTTGAAACATCCGAGGCGTACACTCCTAAGGCTACCAAGAGCATTCCAATTCTGATAGCAAGACATCGAGTCAAGCAATGGCGGAAGCTGCCAACGTGCCTCACAGACGGCCCAAACGAACGATTGATGATCGGAAGAAGTGAGCCGAGCTCGCTTCAGCCTAACTACTTGGGCTGCCAGTTGGTTACATTACGTCAAAAGAATGGCCATAAAGTCGGAAGAAGGGGAATAGATCGTCTCACCTTCGCAAATTCAAATACTTGCGACCACGTGTCCTTCGAGATAGCCTTGTTATGCTTTTTCTGTATTGCATAAGAAGCACCAAGTCAGACGATAAAAGAGGCAACAAGAGTATACAAGACAAAGAGTACCACTTCACGCAAAGAGCATCGAGTCTGACGCCTTTCCGGGAACGTACGTTTCAGGTGGACACACAGGCGCTTTATCCATCGTCCCTAACCTCAAGACCTGTCGCCTACGCCCCCAATGCGGGCTCTCCAAGTCGAGCAGAGAACCAGAATGAGAGTGAAGAGAAACGAAAAGTGCGCTTGCAAACGTCAAAGATCCAGCCAAACCAGATAAAAGGTTCTCAGCAACGTGAACCGACATGGTCGAGGCTACAGCTCAGTCCCTCGTGATCCGTCACGGTTTGGGTGCAAGGATGTCCGACAAGGGATACTAGTTTCTGAAGGCGACCCGGAAGAAGGAGCCTCCTGAGCCCACTCCCGGGTCCTTGCTGAGTTATCGCCCACCTTATGCGTACACTTGGTTGAATTCTCGACAGGCACGGAAGAGAGTCGGAGTTTGAACAAAGCTGAACCAAACGCGCAAAAGGCAACTAGGGGCGGGGTGCGAACCTGGAGAAAGGAGCACCAGGGGTCTACCAGCGGCCACGGTTTTTGCGCGTACAGCAGCTTCCACATGCCCAGCGCCGTTTCGAGTGCCAACGACTTCTGACCCTGAAGAACACAGAAAGTTGGAACTTGACGTTTGTCTCTTGCCGGACTGTGCAGGTCTCCAGCCTCTTATGTCTAACTAAGCGCATACATGGGCAATCTGATCCCAGCTGAAACCGTGCCAAGTATGTGTCCCCGAAACCAAGCGATTGATTGGAGCCATGCTGACGGTCCAGAGGATGCAGAAGAGCTTCCGCCCTTTTTGCTCGACGCCAAACCTTTGAGCAAAGCTTGGCCTGCCAGATCATGGGCGTCGAGACAAAACGGCAGGCCTCGTCCGCAGCGATATACTGCTGCTAAGAGGGTGCGTACGCGGAAACGTTCGGCAGAAGCTTTGACGGTTTATTTATACGTCACTAGATTGAAGCGTCTGTTCATGGGCAGTGTGCGTTTGATTCATGCGACACTGAAGAGGGAAAGGAAGTGGAAGTGGTGTGTGCGTGGACTCTCACCTTTTCTTTCGCCCAGTCGAAGGTGAACATGTAAATTTCCCGGAATTTATCTGCAGGCATGACAAAACTCAGATGCCGAGCAGAGAAACAGTGTCACAAGCATCCTGACCTGGCAAGCTGAGTTTTAAAGAACCCAGCCTCGGAGTCAATTGAGCTGTAGTTTACGACCTTCGAACCCCAATTTCGTTGCTAAGAGTGATCTTTCCTACTCCAACAAGATCTCGGTGTAGTATGGCACCGGCGGACTTTGTCCTGGAGTTTCCGAAGCCACGGCGCAGACTTACTGTCGTCTTTCATCTCGGCTCGCAAGGAGGGCAGCAGTTGCCTGAGCTTGCTGATCGAGTCGACCCTGCAAGCAATTGCCAAGAAACAACGAATGCAATAAGCGAGAATCTTGATCAGGAACAAAGTTCCCAGATTGGGCTCCAAGTAGACACCCGCTAAAAGTCTTGCAAAGATGGTTGATCACGCGACCAGCTTTTGGGAATTGCTTGAGAGGGCTAGGACGGGGAGAGACCGCAAAAGTGTGAACTGCGAAGAAATAAAAACTTGCGACATTGCCCCAAACTTGCGACATGTCACGCCATCTCGTCGGAAATTGCTGACGCCTTTGCCTTCCACCTCCCTTTTGATCATAAACTCCACTTCATCAAACTTCCAGAGAATCGACGAGTCATCTCTCAATTCCTTGGGAGTCGGAAGACCAAGACAAGGCATGCTGACACATTCTGATAAGGCTCCGGAAGGGACTGCTGCATTAGCTTGCATTGCAGAGGCTCACCCTATGCTTTTCAGACCAGAAATGAACTCGTCTCTGGAAAACTCGCACATCGTCGCTGCTCCCATGTGCCAGGCAATCACAAGCTGCACATCAAACAGAGCGCCTTTGAATCATTCCGACGATTCGGGGGTTCGTCATACCCCACAGTTTATCAACCCCACGCCCTAAGCGGATGCCGCAAATGAAACCGACAGTGTGTTTGGATTTTCCATTGCCAACCATGGAACCAAGAATTGCAGATGCAGGAAGGTACCAGGATGACACGGCCAACTCTATGAAGGCACTTTCAAACATTTACTGTCCTCCCAAAATGCTAAGAGCACGTACTACGATCATCTCCATGTTAATTCACGGTACACCAGAACTTAGTCGTCCTTAGATTCCTTAAATCAAGCTAAGCACTTAAGCAGACCACTGAGCAGAAAGAGAAGCACCGAAGGCCCTCCTTACCATGACCACATCCCCCGGATCCACTTGCAAGTCGTCACAGAACTGCGAGACGCCCTCAACGCTGATCTGATCGGCGTGCGGGTCTTTGTACCGGCTGTAGAGCGCTTCGAGCTGCCTCTGGTCTGTTCGAACTTGAGGGGAGGAGGGGTGTGGCTGGTTGTAGTAAAACTCAAATGCGGCTTCCACGTTCCAGTCAGCAGCCTTCAGAGCCGCAACGGACGCCTTCTCCCTGAAAGATCCAAGAGGTCAGGACCACTAACAAAGGATCAGAGTTGTTGAGCGACAATGAAAATGGCTCGTGATATCAGGCACAAGACACCTCTCCATCAATCATCAACGAGCAGTACACACAGTTTAAAAGAGATCAAGACCGATTGCAAGGCGTTTAGCTTCTTCCTGGCATCTCAAGTTTGCGGTTGAGCTAACTTACGTGGCATCGGCGATTGCGCAGAACTGGCGCACCTTCTCTTTCTGGGCCTTGTTGAGCTTATTCTGCAATGAAAGGATAGTCACTGTGCAAAATGCATGCTCTACTGATCCAAGTCACAAAGATACTGAAGTACAAGCTGTGCATCAGCCAATGCGTGTATGCTTCCTGATGCCAAATCCTGTACGACGCGCTTTGACCTCAATCTTTTTGCCAGGCTTCTGCACTCAGGGTGCATAAACGGTTTTCGACATTGCGAATTTTATGAGGACAGAGGAAGGTGGCGGATATTTGCATTCCTGTTCTTCAAGAAGCACATGAACCACAGCCACAGAACAAGTGCACAAGATAACGCCACTGAAACCAGATGCCCTGGAGAAGTTACTGATGGAAGTGGACAAGCAGCTGAAATGCTAGAGATTACGCAAAACTTATGTAAGTGCCACTTGGAATCTCATCTGCCGCGATACGGCCATTAGACAAGCCCGAAGTTTGTTCAGAACCGTTCCTGAAGATATAGATACAATGAGAATGACAAGCACGGTCAATTCTTTTGACAAAGGGCAGTGTTCCCCCTTGTCTGACCTAGAGCGTTCTTTGAAAACTGTTTCGAAAACACCAATTTGCTTGGATAAACAGACTCACCATCTTCAAAACAGACTATATCCCGCCGAAGACGCAGCCCTTCCTGTAGAAATCAGACCTTGGTCTAAGAATCACCACCACCTTCAGCAATAAACTGGCGGCGATAACCCGGGTCAACCCCTCAAGCTCAGCTCACTAGCCTAAACTCTACACAGTTTGCAGGAAACCGCCAACAGCCTTCTCACAATGTTTCATCCAATGATTCGTCTTTGCCAGGACGTGTGCATCTCTGCATTTCCGGTCTCTGGACGAAGCAGCTTGATACCAGCACAGAAGGGCACAAGTGAGGAACACAGAGGCAATGCGGTCTTGCGAACCGTGTTGCATCATTGACATATGAATTTGAAGCTCGTGAAGTTGTGAGCAGCAGCAAAACAGATCAGCTAGGCAGCGAGCTGAGATCAATGGCTTCCAAGAGGTCGGTTAATCGTAAACCGGAAACCTTTGACCACAATGTCGATGAGGCCCCGGTCGGTTTCCAAAATATCATCATATGATCCACGAGACGATGTTCATAACTTCCAAATTTGAAAAGAAGTCACGACATTCTACCTAGATTAGATGTATTTACTCCGTCCTATCTTTTAAACCGGCATCACGCAAATCGCCATAAGCAACGCATAAATTCCGGGGAGTTCATCTTATATAGCCATGGGTAAATTCCCCCTGTAGCCGGTCAGCAGTTACACCAGGTTCACCGGTTAACCGTACCCCAGGTTCCTGCAATTGGATGAGCTGGCTTCAAGTTCAACTTCAAGTTCCTGCCAAAATTCGTGGCAGCACCTTGGCAGCGCGACAGGGGTTCGCCACCTGGGTCACAGGGTGGACCAGCTGAGCAGGATTCCGAGCTTTCTCTCTGCCACTGCTTGACATTCTTCTTCCTTGGCTTTGGACGACCCTTCCAATAATTAGCAGGCATGGAGGAGGGGAACATCAACGAGGGCCTGCTAGGCCCCACGCAGCGGCTGGCCCGTGACATCGGGCTCAGGGGCGTTCTGAAACTCTGGGCGCTCGGGTCCCTGCTTGGTTTGGCAGTAACCCTCGCGTACCTAACCCAGCCCGCAGAGAGCACAGTCTATATAGCCACTGCAGAGAATGCAACTTTCTCTTTTGCTGACGCAGACGCAGCGTTTGGGGGGCTGATTCCGCCGAACGGCTTGAGGGGGGTGCTGCGCAGGAGCTCCCCCCTGGATGGGTGTGGGGCGATGGATATTTCGGCCGCTCCAGGGGAGGTGGAATTTGCACTGATTGAGAGAGGGCAGTGCACATTTGATGAGAAGGTCAGGAATGCGCAGAATGCCGGGTTTGCGGCTGCCATCATATTCAACAACGAGCCGGGGCGGGAGCTCATAACCAGTAAGTACACCAAGTTTGTCACAAGCTAAAGTTGTGGTTGAGTGGAATCAACAGGGAACCATGAAGGCAGAAAGTGTGTTTGTTGCGCCCTGAAAAGCACGCCTAGTTTGCAGAAAGTTGTGCTTCACCAACTGCATAAGAAAGTCTGGGGTTCGAGAAGGGCTGCAGTATGTCCGATTTCACGTTGTGCAGGCCGGTTCAAAATCTGAAGTGTCGTTCGGAGCTCATGAAGGAATGCTTTGAAACCATTTTTCATGACAGGTCTCCGGGAGCCTTTATACGTTGCTACCTATATGGTTAGTTGGCTGTGGAACTTTCCCCAATGGCTCCCTAGTTGCATGAGTAGGGTTTGCATCCGTTCATCCCTAAATTGTAGCGGCATTCTCCAGCCTAAGGGGAAAACCTCTGAATCAGGAAGTTTTTGGCCGGCAAAGTAACGTTGAAAATGGGAGGCTCAAGGTTGCAAAGGGATGGGCTTGCAATGCCGCCTGGGTCCAAGCTACATGTGTCCGGATTCTTTGGTTTCCCAAGACGATTTGTGTGTTGCTAGCAAGTTCCTACTTTTATTTCTACCTCTTTCTCTTCTATTTCTACTTCTTCTTCCATTTACTTCCATAGTATTATCTTGCGTGTGGGGCATATGGGGGGCTGCTGGCAATGTTGTTGGCCAACTTTCGATGCCCTGTTGAGTTGACCAAAGGAGTGCCGACATTCCAAAGAAGGAATGGATTGAGGGTGAGGATAGGCCCCATATGGTCTTGAATACTTCTGCCTACCCTAACTCCTGTTTGCCTTGCGGAAGGTGGTCTGCATGCACAGGCTTCGACACTCTTCTCCATGCTATCCCGTGTCATTCACCAATTCTGAGTCTGCAGATAGCGGGGTTGGGCTGGACTCCAGCACCCTGAGGAAATGAGGAACTTACTGCAGACCTTGGAAGCAACTCACTGCAGGCTGTTTCCAGCATTCAATGCCCCTTTGTTGTCATTATGTCGTAAAGAGACTGCAAAGCACATGGATCAGTCTGGGACAAGCTTCTTGTTGAGGAAGAAAACATTTAGTACTTGGAATGATGAGTGGTGACGTTGTTTTGAAGTATCAGGGACGGGTTGAGGACTTTTCCCTCAGTAGAAGAGCTGCTTGCATCCCGTTGGTCTTGATGATCCTGCCGCGGGGTTTTTCTGGGCCACTTTTGAACCAATTCGTTCTGCAGATTGGGCTTTGCGGTCCCCTGCTGTAACCTTCTCTGTCCATCATTTCTGCTTGATGAAAAGACAGGGACTCCTGCAATCCATATAGAGCCGGCCAGCGTGCAATCCTGGAGCGCTGTTTTGGGAAAACTCTGGACTCCGCTCAGTCTCAGCCTTTCTTGCCTACCCCAAGCTCGAATCTCATGCGATATGACAGCGTTCATATATGCTGCTGGAAAGCCATTTTTTTCACGCTTCTCCAGTGTCAGGCCGGCGCACTAGAGAGATGTATATCCCTGCCGTCTTTATTACAGACAACAGAGGTCAGCATTATTCTTACAGGACAACAAATTTCCGCGTTAAGTCTTACAGGACAACAATCTCACTGTCCGCTCAAGAGCAACTTTCTTTCTCCTCACCAGTGTCGGGCCGGCGCACTGGAGAGATCTACATTCCCGCCGTCTTTGTAACCTACAATTCGGGGCGGCAGCTACTCTCGGTGATCGAGCAGCCCGACACGATTTGCTACATCTCGTCCACGTTTGAGAACACCGCGTGGTCCGTCATGGCCGTGTCCTTCATCTCGCTGCTCGCCGTTTCCGCTGTGCTGGCCACCTTCTTCTTTGTGCGCCGCCACCGCCTCCGCAGGTGAGAGTTTGAGTTTTTGGGTTTGAATCTTGATTTTCATAAAATCCGGTTTTCTGGATCTTGAATTCTGCATGAGTCCGGGCTACGCTGCATTTAACAGGGAGAATGTTGTGCTTGCAACCATTTTCTTTTGTCTGCCGCCAAGACGAATGTTCACCCACGGAGCTATTGTCCTTGTTGGAAGCTCCAGACTCCGCAAGTAAGTCTAGCCCGAAGGTTGACCATATTTCGAGAGACGTCAAATCACAGGATTTTGAAGAATTCAGCTAGTTGTCGACAAGTAGTAACGCCTGTCAGATATCCCCTTTCTCAAAGAACCTTAGCGCGTAGTAAGCAGCCCTTAAAACTTGTGCTTTTGCCGTACAGGATTGGCTCGCGCCTGGTTTTGGTGCGGACGGAGGACGCGGGTATGACAGCGCGCGAGGTGAAGGCGCTGCCGAGCTTCACATTCAGCACAGCGACACCTGGCAGCGGGACGAGCGAGACGTGTGCCATCTGCCTGGAGGACTATGAGGCGGGGGAGAAGCTGCGGGTGTTGCCGTGCCGGCATGGTGAGTTCCATCGATCTCATGTTGCGTATTTTGGGTTTTGAGTTTTCGGGTTTGATTACTTAGGACTATGTTCGAGACAGTATACCTGTGATGGACTTGATGCTGAGGGGAATTTCTGCTGAAACGGTGAGGCCAGTTTCTGGTTTCAGCGGGTTTAACTCTGGGTCTCCAGTATGTTTGTTCGAGACAGTAGGCCTAGTGACATTCTTAGGTGAAAAGAAGAAGCTGCCGGTGCTGCCCTGCTGGCATGGTGAGTCGGAGTTTTGTGTCGCGCGTTTTGAAGTTTTGCGTTTTCTTCCTTTTTGGTGTTCTAGAAGACTATGGGGTTGATGCTTCGCTTGATGTCGAGGGAGGAAAAGGCTACGAGTGCTACTTGGCCGTTACTCTCACGCAGGTCTCTGTGCTTAGCGGCTTAGAAGTGTGCTTTCTGGAATCAGGGTTCAGAAACTTTTTCATGGGCTCTAGGGAGGGGAGAAGCTCTCGGTAGTGCCCTGTCGGTAATGCGCTTCCAAGTGCGCATACCGGATTCTTAGGATTGTGGCTCAAAGCCATTATGAAGCTGTACCGTTGCGTGGTTTCAGAAGTTTGTACTTCATGTGAAATTGCTAACGTCAAGGCAAGGAGACGCTGCAGGCGCTGCCCTGCAGTAGGTCGATTTGCAAGTCCAAAACTTCCTAGTTCGGTATCTCATGTCGCTTCCGTCGTACTGGTCGTGAAGTTGCAAAGAGTGTACCAAACGTGAATGAGCCTACGCTCTCTGGATTCGTCCTTAGTTCCCTAGGTTCGCCTGTTCTGTGCCTGGTATCATCGAGGAAGGGAGACGAACGTCCTCTTTCTGGAACTCCAACTGTTCTGATGCGGTGACTGCGAGTACGGCAGGGTGCAGCCGAGGTATTGTTCTGGCAGTATGCAAGCTCACTCCTTTGGTCTTCCTTTCTTTCCTCCGAATTTGTTCTTTTCTGTCCTTATCTTCACCTTTATCGTTCCGCCTTCCTAAACTCTGCCTGCAACTCGGCCTGCAATCCAGCCCATCTGCCACAGCATCGTTTCCATGGTGCTCCATTCCCAGCTATCTGTAAACGTACGCTTATGGTCTTCTGTCCTTTGATTGTCGGCTTATGCCCGGCTTTCCCGCCCCTGCAGAGTTTCACCTGGCGTGCGTCGACCAATGGCTCACGACGCGCCGCCCCTTCTGCCCCGTCTGCAAACGGGACGCCCACAGCACCAACCCGGTGCCCCCCCCCTCCGAGAGGACCCCCCTGCTCGGACCTCTTTTGCGGCAGAGCCCCCGATCCGCTCCAGGCGGCACGTCGACTCCCGTCCAGACCCCCCCTCACTCGACGGTACAGATTGAGGGTCTGGAGGAAACTGCTAGTCGAAATAGCCCGGGGCAAGGGGCCCAGTCCGTTGGCAGGGGAGAAGCTGAGACTGGGGGGGAGATTGAGGGGGATCTATCAACAGGAGGTGGGGGAGACGCGTCGGGAATTGCGATCGGAGGGGCAGAAAGGCCGGCGTTGGTTGCAGCGGCGACACAAACGACGTCCGGTTCTCCATAAGGAGGCTGTGGTGGGGCTGCGGAAGGTTGCTATCCAGAGGGAACATGCAGTAGCCTGGATAGGTGAACTGTGAGGCAACGAGGTGCGTATACGAGGTGGTTGGAGAAGGTCGCGACGGGTGCCCCAAAAAGTGGGCACGTTGTGAGAGAGGTGGTGAAATGGGCACTATCATGTATGCCAATCTCAAGTTACGGTACATAAAGGTAGGATGCGGGTGCGCATGCGGGTGTCGGAATTGTAGCCTGTCCACTGGCTCCTTAGATTCTCACATTTGTCCTCATGTAAAGGAAGGTAGGAAAACGAGCCTTGTAGATGTTGTCTTGCTACCTTCAGGTTATCGTCATAAGCATAGGTGTAGAGTATCCGGTTCTACCTAGCTAAACCCTTTTGCGTTGCGTAATAGGCCTTCCATTAAGAAGACCTGCTTGTAATGATGTAAGAGTTCACCTTAAGATGTTTGTCCCCGTCGTGAGCATCATTTTGTTATGTAATTTAGCCTCTTGTGACAGGTCTTTGATGCTGCCACTTACTTTAGATTGGCATTACGCGTTCGCCGAAGTTGTTCGTGCACGCTTTGGCACATCATGAAGAAGGCGGTGGCTTAGTAGGACCCCATTTGGGATGGGAGATCCTCACCTTTGTGCAGTGATCACAATCGCACATAACTTAGCTAGGTTTGTAAGCAAGACATTGTCTCATCGGGGTTGCTGCAATTGGTCAGATTAGAGAGCATCTCCTTGACGTTGCAAACCCGGATCATAAAATCGGGGCCAAGTCAGGGGGACCAAACGCCCCAGGTAAATAGGTTAGCAACATGAACAGTGTTCCAGCAGCCAAACGGCTTATTGCCCGGAGCCGAAAACTGGTGGGATTGAACCTCCACAGGGTCACCTTCGAAACCCCATGGTTTCGTGTCCGGGCAAAACGCCGTTTAGGAGATGTAGAGGGCTGGTTTAGGTGGGTTTTACAGCCAAAAACACAGTAACCTTATTCTAACAGTCTTCTTAACCCTCCCCTCAGACCAACCGAGGACCGCATCGGCCTCGGGACATCAGAAATAAGCAATCTTGACCGTCAAAGTCAGGAAAATTTCTCATCTGACGGTGCGGAACATGGTTCGCGGACTTTGCGTGGTGTTTGGTCCCCCTGGGCCAAGTCTACTAATACGATGTTGAATATCCGGGCAACTAATTGGCGATACGTGCTGTGGTTCTTTGACATTGCATTGTAATTGTAACTTGTAAGTTTAATGTTGAGGCCTATCATCATTGACTCCATTGAACGGCCTAATGTTGCATGGTGCGCAAACTTTTCACGACGCCATACAAATAATGGCATCGATCAATAATTGCTTCGAATTCTGCATTAATGCATGGCGCGCGGCCAGAGCTAATTCAAAATTTAAATGAAGAATTATGTTTACGTTGTCGAAGGTTGAATACATTTGCTCCAATCTGTGGCGCTTCGACGAAAGAGGAGAGGCCTTTAATATGAATTATTACAACCATGAGCCTGAGGCCGGGCACTTTTCGCCGCGTCTGCTCTACCTGGATGGTGCCGGTACGTACCCGTGTCACAGGGCCCAAACATGGGACAGTGGACACGTACCAGCGGGACTTGGTTGTGTACACTGTACAGACCTAGCAGGGCGCCCGCCCGTCAGCAGTGTGAATCAAAGACGATTCACAGCAGGTCACTCATTTTTGACACTCTCTCGGAAGCCCCCCGCCTCAATGGTGTCGCTGTTACATTTTCAAACTCGACCGGTATCGTACCGAGGAAGAGTTCACCCGGAGCACCGTACAGTACAGCTCAAACCAGTACCCCTCCGGTACCGTACCTAACGGTCGGAGACTTGAAGTTTCGTTTTGACCCGCGCGCGCTTGACTGGAACTTGATCGAGTTGTGTTCAGGTCAGCTGACCAGTCTCCGCCTTGAACTTGAAGTTGAAGTTGCATGAACATTATGATTCAGGTTCTCTGCATTGGTCTCATTTTGGAGTGCCCAGCTTTCTTGGAAGGAGGCGGCCATGCGGATCAGTCCACAATTCATATGCAGCAAGGGACACGGATCAAGCGTCTTCATTTGCCTCTTGCAAGAGTTGGAGGCCACATCGAAAAATATCTGATCGGAGAGGATCAACAGGGTTTCCATCAGTCGCAACAGGCAAAGGTGTCGGATCATGCTTCACCGCATTTGGTCCCGGTGACGAAGTCTTCTCCCTAAAAGGGTCCTGGCGATGGGGTCCGCTTCGTTGGCGGCAGGCGCTTGGGCGAAACCCTTGTCGCCAGAGAAGGCCATGCGCGCCGACCGCTGCGACTCCTCACCCTCCTGCAGTTACTCCGCACTTCCCTTCCCCCAAGGACAACGGAACCTCAAACCCTTAAAGCTTCCGCAGCGGAAATTGTTCTCTCCCCCCCCCCTGGACAGGGCCCCCAGAGTTCCCCCCACAAAGGTCCATCTCTCGGACCCCCTCTGGTCGCAGCCGGGGGGCGGGCACGACTCAGATGACGAGTCGGAGCCCTCCCCCCGGGGGTGGAGGTCGATCGATGATGGGATGGGGCTTAACCCCCTGGCGGCGCAGCAAGTGCAGTGGTTCCGTTCGACGTGGCCGTACATTCAGGGGCATCGGGGGAGCACGTTCGTGATTGTCTTGCCGGGGGAGGTGTCGCGCGACAAGCAGGTGTTGGATGGATTTCTGCAGGACGTTGCGCTGTTGCACGGATTGGGGGTCAAGATCCTGCTCGTGTGTGGGTCGCAGTCGCAGATCGACGATCTGCTGCACCAGAAAGGTGGGCTCGCATGCGCCGTTTGGGTTTTTGATGCAATGATTTAGTAACCTTGGGACCGGTTGCGATTCTGAGAAGAATGGTGCGTCCTGTTTAATAGGTGGGATGCTCATCATGTAGTTACTGCATGTGCTTTGAAATGCTGGGGCTTGAAGTGAGCACATTGTACCTGGAACTCGGGCTGCTGCCTTGAAATGTATTGTCCTTCTCGCATGCGCCTTGCCCATCACGCATCTTGGAGTTGAGTATCTTGCAACAGAAAGCTTGTTGTTATGTAATTGCTTTCACCGGCACCTCGTTGAGGTTGCTGTTTCTGGCATAGGAACCAGAATTGTGCTTTGATTGGCCACAATGTTGTGCAGTTTGGCATGACTATGCTCCGACTCTTTTCATTGTGAACCTGATTGCTTGATGCCAGATTTTGACCATGATCCGGCCGAGCTTTGACTTTCTGCTCTTGGCCCACGCTTTCCTTATGCTGAGCACTATTCCCCCTGTACTAGCCACACAACAGCTAGGATTAACCCCTTTCATTGGCCCCCGTTCTTCCTGTAAACCCCATGATCTTACATCACCGTAAAATGTAGGATCACATTTTAGGGTATAAGCGTCGCTTCTTTGGAAGCAACGCACTTTTCTGCCTTTAAGCTTCGCTGAGCTACCATGCATTCTCTGGGTGTGCCTTCACGATTTCAAGGTGCCAACTTGTTGGAAATCCAAAAGGAAGATTGTATGGACTCTCCGCTGCATGCTTGTGTGGGCAAGGTCGTTATGACCTCCAAAAGAGGTCTGTGAAAAGATGGGAGGAATTGGTCTCAGTTCGGTTTCTTTTTGCAGCCATCAACTGTGATCTGGGTTTTCTACAAGCATTTTGAAACAGCTGCAAGCAGGACGCGGCGCTTCTTTCAGTGTCCCAGAAACTTGGGAGGACTGCGGCCAGGGTCTTGTTCAGATAGTTCTGGCTTGCTTGCTTTGATATGGATCCGGGGAGTGGACCTGACTTTCTTGAACAGACTCACATTGGAGCACTTAACTGCTCTTACAAAGAGAGTCGCACCGGTCTTAGAAAGCCAGCTGTGGAGCCTGGAGCCTGGAGCCTGGTTCATCCGATTGCAAAAGTGTGGATCCAGACAGAGGGAAACATGAGAAGGAAAGAAGCAAGCCCGGGCTAGTCTTTGGGAAGCACTTTTTATCTCCTAGCTTCCAAGCCTGGCAGAACTCTCGTTGAATGATGTCTACGGCCCTTTCTGCCTCCAAAGCTGTGCTACCACACAGATATGTGCATCTAGCAACACCCAAGCGCTCTGACCAAAATCGTTTCCCGCCACAGGCCTCCAGCCGCGCTTTGTGGGCGCATACCGTGTGACCGACACCGAGGCGCTCGAGGCGGCCATGGAAGCATCGGGCCGCATCCGGCTTAAGATCGAGGCCAAGCTCTCGCGTGGGCCGTCGATCCCGTCCATCCGACGGCACGGAGAGAACGAGCGGTGGCACGAGATGGGCGTCTCGGTCGCGAGCGGAAACTTTGTCGCGGCAAAACGGCGGGGGATCATTGGCGGCGTTGATTACGGCAACACGGGGGAGGTGAAACGGGTGGATGTCGCGAGGATCAAGGAGCGACTGAACTCGGGGTGCGTCGTGGTTTTGAGCAACCTGGGGTATACGGCGGCGGGCGAGGTGCTCAATTGCAAGTGAGTGGACCGTTTGGTGAATCGGTACTCCCCGAAAGTTAATGTTTTGATGTTTTATTGGGGTGTCAAACAGCCTGAAGTCTTACCTAGGAGGAGGTGCTTGATTGCAAGTTCGTGGGCAGACCGGTTCACTGACACTGGTTGCGACCAGTGATCTTCCTGAGTTAGTCGTTGTGACGTTTTATTTGCGGTGTCAAACGGACTCGGGTGTATCCTGGGATGACCGAAAGCATGACAGGACCAAAGGTCCCGAATCTCTGAAAAAAGTTCCGAGTCTTTCCCTCGGACTGGTGTCAATCCTCCAGTCTTCACACTGCCTGCGAGATAAGGATAGCGTTTGCACTGTCAAAAGCGTCATCAAAGTCGTTTTCGACATCCCTCACTCAATTGCAGGTTCTTGATCATCCTCGAGGTATCAATCCAGCTCTTTGTTCGTTTTTGCAACGCATATGAGGTGGCGACCGTTTTGCTGGGACCTTCGTGGGGGCTGATAGATTGCCGTGCATATATTGCTGAGCCCCTTGAGTTGACTGTAAATTCAAGTATTTCCCATACTTTGCCTCACTTGTATATCAACCCGCCTTTCGACCCCCATCTTTCGCAGCGCGTACGAGGTAGCGACTGCTGCGGCAAATGCTTTGGGGGCCAACAAAATGCTGTACGTGTTGCTTAATTCCTCAGTCAAGTTGGAACCTGCATAGAAACTCGGTTGTAGCTTCATTCACTCAAACTGATTCCAGTCGAATGATGATACTAATCCGACTTTTACCCCCAACGTTGCAGCGCGTACGAGGTAGCGACTGCCGCGGCAACGGCTTTGGGGGCCGACAAAATGCTGTGCATGCTGGACGGTTCCGTTTTCGACGACAACGGGCGCCTCCTCCGGTGGATGACGTTGCAAGAGGCCGATTCGCTCGTTCGGGAACGCGCGGAAACGTCCGGCGCAGCCGCAAACTACGTCGACCTCATGAAAGGCCCCCCGTGCATTACGCTGTTGAGCGGACCGGGCTATGGGAAGACGCTTGATCTGGATGAGAAAGTTTACACCAACGGGCGGCGTGTGAATGGGGCCAGTGAGAACGGGCGCGGTGTGAATGGGGGCAGTGTGAACGGCGCCAGTGTGAATGGGGCCAGTGTGAATGGGGCCAGTATGAATGGAGCAGGTGCGAATGGGGCTGGCGCAAACGGGGCGGAGGAGCTGTGCGACTTGAGTGAGGAGTGCGCGACGGGACACGCTCTGATAAACGGGATGAACGGAATGAACGGAATGACCGGAATCGAGGCTGGGGGCTTCTCCCAGGCGGGCCAGATCCTCACGGACGCAAACGGGAACGTGTACAAAACGACCCCCTGGAAACGGGGGTTCCCGGTCAAAGGCGGCGACCGCCTCGAGGGGGGGGACGGTTACCTGGCCGAGTTGGCAGCAGCCGTGTATGCGTGCAAGGGGGGGGTCCGGCGCGTGCACCTGGTCGACGCCACGGTGGGGGGGTCGCTTTTGCTGGAGCTATACACCCGGGACGGGATTGGGACGATGATCTCCAGCGACTTGTACGAGGGCACCCGGGGCGCGACGAGCCGGGACCTGGTTTGGATCCAGGGTTTGCTCAAACCGCTGGAAGACGACGGGATTCTGGTGAAGCGGTCGGAGGAGCAGATGACGGAAGACCTGCCGTATTTCACGGTGGTCGAGCGCGACGGGGCCGTGATTGCGTGTGCGGCGCTGTTTCCGTTGCCGGGGGGGCGGTGCGCGGAGGTGGCGGCGTTTGCGGTCGCGCCGGAGTGCCGGGGGCACGGCCGGGGGGACAATCTGCTGGGTGAGATAGCCCCCTAGGAAACCCCCAATTTGAATCTCGCACGAATGATGAGTCCTGCTGTGAACGCAAGAAACGGTAGAGGAGGACCCCCGCTTTTGAAACAAATGTGATCTGATTCAGCGGCATCAGGCCTAGAATCGGGTGCGGCGGTGGCTGGCAATCTGTGTAGATTCGTTTGGGACAACCCTCTTCCCCCTCTTTGGATCTGCCCACTTGGGATACTAGGTCCGTTTTCTGTTCTCCGAAATTTCATCTGGAAATCGATCTTCGCACACTCAAGAGAAAGCAACTTTCTTCCATCTCACGCTTCCTTGCGTTTGTCAGCTCGTCTGAGCGTTCCGGCCGCAGTCCGGAGTAGTCTTAGAAAGGCTTTGCTCAACACCGGCCAAACCCACCCTTACGCTAAACCCACACCTTATGCTACACTTACACCTATGCTAAGCCCACCCTTTTCCGATGTGCATACTACTTGGAGAAGAAGCCGACGGCGCCGGTTCGTTTCAGCAATTTTGACATTGTCTCGTTCAAAACCTTTTCGAACCCACACCTTGTGCTAAACCCACCTTTCTTTTCCGGGCAGATTACTTGGAAAAGAAGGCGATGGCACTCGGCCTCGAGCGCCTAGTTCTGCTCACCACGCGCACCGCCGACTGGTTCATGCAGCGCGGCTTTGTGGAGGGGTCCTTGGGGGACCTTCCCCCCGAGCGGCGCGCGCGCGTCAACACGTCCCGGGGCTCCAAGGTGTTTGTCAAGGAGCTCAACGATGTCGGGTCGCCCCGCTCTAGTTACGGCACCGATGCGCGGTTCAGCGCCCGGGTTTAGGCCGGCTGTGCTTGGTAGCTCGTTGGTGCGCGGGGAGTGAACTTGATTTGCAGTAACCCCGGGAGTTTTAGAGTGCCCGGGGCGTAAATATGGGGTAATGGTAAGAGTTGGTGGGTAGATTGTGGGGTTAAGATCGCCCCGCTCTGATTATGATTTGTTGGGTCGATGCTTCCACATAAACTGGCGTGCCCTGAGCGTTTGGGTTGGGGATCGCCGTATGGGGGCCTCTGATTGTGTTTCTGATCGTAATAATCAATGAACATTTTGGTCCTAAGTGCTCCTTTTGGGGGGAAAGAAAGGGCACTTGCATGGCAATCTAGCTGTGTAGGACGGAGCTTGATAACGGAGGGTACGGACGGTGGGAGTTACTCCACATGCGGTGGCTGCAGACGGGTTCGAATTGGACGTGATAAAGGATAGGCGTTACTTACATATTGATTGCTGTGGTCGAATTTCCGTTACTTGTACAGACAAGCAAGACAGACTAAGCCAAAGCTGTGATCGTGTCAATCAGTTTAGTAAATATTATCATCAGGTTAGAACCTAGTTCTACTGGCTCCCCCTTCATTGAATGCATCTATTGATGTTTAAATCTTCTGCCAGGAGGTTCGCTATGTCTTGCGGTACAGTGCTGCTTGTTGCCCAAGTTGTCTAGCTAAGTACCTAGTAAGACGCTATAGCTACACTGATGCCCTCAGTCCCTCAAAACTTTTAAGATTGTGATGATGGCCGCAGAATTTCTGATCATGCACTAGACGGTTCATGTGTGCTACTAACCATGCCGGCGTAGCACCCCTCTTGGCCGCAAGCTGGCCGGCGGTCCATGACGCGGACGATCGATATAAACCGCGGTGTTGAGAACGTACATGCAACTGTCTATGTTTCTATATATGCACATGTGCCAGCGCGCCCGGCTCATGCATGTTAGTACCCGATCATCCAATGAATAGCTTTGATCATCTGCTCATGGCGGGCCGGCGGCCGTCCCAGCTACTAAGCCTGGAGACGGTACCTGCAGTGCGTCTCCAATGATGGGCCCCCGGCAACATTGGCAACATGCTCAGTGTCACTCGGTCAACCAAACAGGCCGGCCTGCATGCATGTATACGACCGTTACATATGCGTGCAGTTCGAGTCGACGTATGGAGCCTTGCGAATTTCAAAGGACAAATAAACCTAAGGTGAACTCGCGCTAATCTGGTCTTGGTATCTATGAATCATATTGGAAGGTGTGCGAGTGCGCATGACGATTGTTTATGGTCACTTATAGGCCTCAAGACGGAAGGTCGACAATCCCCGTATAAGCTCACATTTACAGGTTATAGGCTATGCAAGTCCAGATTGAGAGCACTCGCCCGTGCTGGGCCTCGCAACAATCTCATATTACCTTGCACACGCACCTCTATCGTGGATACCTCAAAGAATCTTTACAAAAACGATCCATGCAACAGGATGCACCCAGATGCTAGCCCTTGAGCGACACATGCGTCGCTTTTTAAGCGACCTTTGGTACCAAAACCTTGAGGGCCCCGTCAGATGTGGTGGGCTTCGCTTCGGCCTTCGCTTGGTTGTCTTCTATCAAGTCCCGGAAACCGTAGCCGAGAGACGTCCCGGTCTCCTTGGCACTCTGCATCACAGAGCCGCGGAACTCAGTCCAAACGGGCGACAAACACGGGGTAAGCGTCCTCCACTCAGCGGGTTTTCATTTGACTTCTCGTCCGAGCAAGCAACCAAGCAACGAGGAGGGTTGAAAAGGCCAGGAGTGTTGGCGCCCGGATAAGCACCCAAGCTTGAGAGAGAAGTGCGTGGCTCGTGTTCTGGTGGCCGGTTGCAGGAGCACCGCAACCACAGGAATCAGTGCACTTACATAAAAAGCAAAGGTTCTCTGTCCCAGTTTTTGAACCGGGGGGGGTATTGCTGGCGGGACTGAACCGAGAGTGATCATCGGAGGTGCTTACCCTCGTCAGATCCTGAAGATGGAGCATCCGGTACTTGTTGATGGCCGTGGCAATCTCGTTCGGCGACCACTTCTCAGTGAACTGCACACAAGAAAAAGCCCGAGGGTCACGCCTATTAGCCGTAGGGGGAGTCCGTGGCCTTGAATGCCTTGCTGACGGGACAAGATTCCAAAATGAGAATCACTTACGACCGCTTGACTTCTGTTTTTACATGAGCAAGAGAGTTGGCGCCTCAAACCGTTGAATCGTCCTAACCTGCGAACCCTGCCGAAGCGTTGCTCAGACTGAGCTATCTAAAAAGTAGTTCCAACTCAGCCACAATCCAAAGTCTGGAACCCTACCGCAATCCATATTCCTTTGAAAGCCGAATCCTGCGCTAGCTCCCCAACTTCCAAATTGGATACCAAAGGAAACTCTCCAGAGCCCTAACCCCTGCATATCCACAAGCCCTACGAAATCCATGAGCCCTGAAACAGAAACGTCGCCAGCTCACCGTCCCAAGGATCGCGGTAACCGAAAGATGTGGTTCAGACCCACAATTCAAGAACCGACTGCGTCAAAACAAACCTCAGAACGAGCAAAGGACAGAAAAGCCATAAAACGTAAAACCTCGCCGGCTCACCGTCCCGAGGATAGCGGCCGCGAGTTGCAGGCTGGGCTCGAGCACCTCGGGCACCACGACGCGCGCGCCCGCGCGCTCGAGCACGACCCCGTGGTCGACGTCGTGCGCGCGCGCAAACACAGGCATGTGGGGGTCCATCTTGTGGATCTCGTACACGGTTCTGCAGGGGGTTAATGATAATCTTAAGCATCGTTTGAGGCCGGATTCATACTTGGACTAAGGTTCGCTTTGTCTCCAGGAAGGTGAAGTGTACTGCAAACACGGGCGTGTGAGGGTCCATCTTGTGCATCTCGTACCCGGTCTGCAGAGGAGGAAAAAGCTTGTTAACGATAATTTACGGCTTGGGTTAAGACTTTGCTTAAACTGGGAATGGTGGACGTGGTGTTACAACGGCAGGTAGAGTCGATCTTGTAGATCTCGTACACGGTTTTGCGGAAAGGTTTTAATGAACTCGTCGAACATCGTTGACGGCTTCGGTTTACCGCTTGGGTCACGGTTGCTTAAACTGCAAGAAGTTGAAATATGTGCAAAACCAGCAGTTAAGAGTTCCATGTTGCGGATCTCGGACCCGGTCGTTGGAAGAGCTATAAACTCGTAATCGTCGCCTCCGATTCAGGTGCGATTACTCTCAAGAGACGTGCATTACGTTGTGTTGTGTTCGTCCATCTTGCTGATCTAGTACATCGTCCTGCGGCAGAGGTGGGTAAAATCATCAAATCATCGTCTACGACTGGTTTGGGGTTTATTTTTTATTAATGGGAGGGTTCAGAAGTGCAGTAACATCAGGTGGAGGTCCCTGCATTTCAACTGAATTTACGGCTTGATTAGAGGTTTGGTTCGAATTTAATATCCGTTGAAACGTCACCGGTAGATCTTTTTTGGGGAGGGGAGGTGAAGACTTTGTCCACCGGTCTGTTCAGCGGATGGAGAATCTCCTGAAGATACTCTGTAGGATTAAGGACAATATGAAGCAAGTCTTGTTCGTACCTGTACATGGCTGCTGGTGTGTCTAGCAGAACCACGACCGCCTTGGCCCGGCTGAGCCCCACTCGCTCAAGCACGTGCACGCTGCCCGCGTCACCGTAGAAGACCGGCAGGTCTGCCTCCCGCCCTGCGGCAACGCGCTCCCTGAAGAGCCAAAGAGAGGCGCTAGAGATTTCAAGCAGTGCTTTGTGTTCGCTCAAGACAGGGTGTGGAAACACTAGAATTGTGAGCAGCACATCTCAGAAGCCTTGGAACTTTCGAAACGTCGTGCTAAGTGCCAGAGTGTGCGGTTGAGATTGCAAGCATTGAGATCGAACTTAAAGTCCTGGAGAGAGACCAAGACATCTCGATTGTCGCTGAAAAGACGTTTATCTTTGCCTGGTCGTGTGAAGACCGAGCAAGGAGGGGTCGCAGGGTATTGAGCCCTTCCTGGTCAATTGAACCTACCGACGTCCTTACGCACTTCAGAGCGAGGAATTGAGCAGTAAAGCAGACAACATCAAAAGGATTGTCAAAATCTGCATCAATGGACAAGTCCTGACAGCGCGAAAGTATCGAAGTCCGAGCAGCAGACGCATCTTGACGAGACAAAGGAAGCCGTTTGCGCGGCAGGGAGACGGCTACTCACGCCCGCATGTCGAGGACCACGAACGGAATCAGGTGCTCCGACAAGAACTGGGCGACCGTCTGCGAAAAAATCGACGGAAAAAGTTAGCTTCTGATGGCGTGCTTTTGTTGGTGGAATCATCCCAGGATACGCCATGTACTCTGAGCAACAGCAGCACGCTTCTTTTCCGCGCTGATCCACAAAGTCGAGACACATTTGCACTCCCTGAGCTGATTTTGTGGCTGCTCTCAGGGCAGCGGGGACGGGGAGTCAGGCCCCGTCAGATGCGGGATACATGAACGGATCAAACGCGGACGTACACAAGCGCGCCCACACCGGCTCGCACACTGCGCTTGTCTTGACGTCAGTGCGCGTCTGCTCTATGAAGCGCCCAATCCTGTGCCTTCTGTGAAGTGCGGCTCGAGAAATACTGCACATTCCTCTAATCTGCCTACTCTAGAAGTTACTGATGCGAGGCTCGTCGCATGATCATCTCCTTGCTCGACATCCGCAAACACCTCAAGAACTGACGTTGTGCAACTACTGAAAGGCCCGAGGAGCGTAAAGTTACAAACGGCCGCTCACCTGACCGCCTCGCCCGAATCCGCAGATGATGATATGATTGCTGATGTCCTCCACCTGCATCGACAGTTTCAAGTCAGGTAGGGAACACGCCAGATCTACGGATCATCCACTGCGGCCAGCTTCCCTTATCAACATCCAACGAACGTCTCTCAAACCACACCGATCCTCGGAATCCAAACGCAGCACAGCTTCTAGATTTTGGACTCGTTTCGTCGACAGGTTCCCGTGCCATTCTCTACGGAAAGAATGAGCAGACGTGGTCTTCGATCACCCGGAGTTTTCATCAGGTGCTTCTGCAATCTCTTTATTATCAGTCGTTATTACAGCGGCAACTTGGTGAGGTCTTCTCCTTGCTAACTTGTTTTCAGCGATTTGACATTTCTTAATGCGGACCCCAGCCGCTCGCGAGATGAACTCTCGCCCAAAATGCAGAGTACCTATATACAAACTAGGATCCTTCTAGGAAAGTCTGGCCCCTTCACAGGGGCGAGGGCGCAAATTTTAGACGAGCTACTGCTCAAGCAGAACGAGAAGAAAACGAGGGTACCGCAAAGGTCTCATGTATGGGTTCATTGCAGGCAATTAGAAGCCGCACCTCGGTTTCCTTGGGCCGCAGTGTCTCGATGTTGTTGGTCTCCAGCTTCTCGTACTTGCTGGCCAGCCACTTGCCAAAGTCCGCCAGGAACGGCGTCAGCGCCATGGAGAGGCCCACGATCAAGAACAGCATGGACGACAGGTCCTTGGTGATGATGCCCTGCGGAACGGCGAATGGAGGTGTTCAATTTTCGGGTTTAGGGTAAAAGGTTGCCCAGTTTGCAGAGAGAGGTTGAGTGGAATCGGCTCCGTAGACGCGTCAGCTCCACGGAGAGGCCCACAATCAAGAACAGCATGGACGACGGATCCTTTGGTAATGATGCCCTGCGGAGTGGTCAACGGAAGATTTAGGGTTCAGGGTTCTAAGCGCCCAATAAGCCCAGATTGCAGCAGAGATCGGGTGGAATCCGCTTTCCAGAAGACAGGTCCTTTCCTTGGTTGTGATGCCCTGAAGGGTGGTGAAAAAGTCTTCGCGGATGCTCGATCTGCGGCAAGAGAATAAGTGAAACCCACTCTCTGCTTTGTGATTGATGGCGGACCGTCTGATGCAAGACCACAGCATGACGATCATTGCTGCGAGGACGGAAGCGAGGACCCGGAAAGTAAGAAATGAGGCCACTGCCGATCTGCCGTCACACCAATGACACGACTCTTGAGCTGGTCCAGCACCTAAAGTAAAAGAGCGAAAGTTCCATCAAGAGAAGCAGGCAGCATAAGAGGCCAGAGCTTTGAGTAGTCACAGCTTTAGCCGATCAAAAGCTTGCGATGTTCACCTCTTAATAGTGTCTTCCAAGGAGTGGACTAGTTTCAAGCTGTCCCACTGTGTCGCAAATGTGACCGCCTCACTGGACCTCTTCCTCGACATGAATCCTCTCATACGGCTAAGATCATCCGTATCCAGCAGCAACCGGTTAGCTCATGCACACGCTCAAAACAGAAGCGCCTTACGAAGGTGATGCGATGGTTAGAGAATCTCTCTTCCCAAGGCCCGGTTCAAAAGCGGCCGAAAACGGCGACCATCCTACCTGCGAGACCGACTCCTTGAAGGCCACGAACGCGAACTCGCCCCCCGGAGCGAGCATCATACCGGCCCTAGTAGCGGCCACGAGACTCATCCCGAAGTAGCGCCCAGCGCCCGCAACAATGGCGGTCTTCCCGACGAGGAGAAGGGCGATGCCGCCGAAGACGGTGACGGGGTGGGCCGCGAGGAGGCGCAGGTTGATGGCCATGCCGACCTGCGGAATGGGGTTAAGAAGTGGGCTAGCGCGGACGTTTGTGCACTCGAAATGGAAATTATCATTCGGGTCATTTTGGATTTGCCTGATGTCAACGATGGGTGACAAGGGGGGCGGTGAGCGGGAATAGGTTGATGGCCATGCGTTTAAGTTGGTGGGTTGATGCAAGAGGTTTGAATCGATTCAGCGACCTAAGGACGAGACGAAGGTGGTGACAGACGGCCCTACTTGACGGTCATGCTGACGTGAGGGATGGGATGGAAGAAGTGGGTAACAGGGAAATCTGCATACGGTCGAGTGATTTCACGTCGAGATTGATTGCCGCCTGAAAGAGTGGAACGGGAACAAGTGCAGGATTGAAAAGAGGAAGATTGGGATTCGTAGAATGATGCCGACATGCAGGCTGTTGTACAGAGAGGCAAACAGAGATGCCTTATATAATTCACGAGTGACGGCAATGCTCTAGTTCTCCACTCTCCCAGCAGAGCAGATTCGCAGCTTACCGTTTGGAAGAAGAGCCCGAGGAGGAGACCCTTGTAAGGGGAGATGTCGGACTCGACTTGGAGCGCGAACTCGGTCTCCGCCATGAGCAGCCCCGAGATGAAGGCGCCAAGAGCCATGGAAAGGCCAGCCTGCATCGAATGCATGCGAACAAGCGTTAAGGTTTGCAGTCGACGAAATATGCTGGATTTTGCGGGATCACTTGCGCGAGCGTGCACCTGCTGACTCTGCATTCATACATAGAACACTCCCCAGAAGTGGGTCGTAAAACTGAGAATTTTCAACCTGCAGTCCTGGCGTGATGGTCATTGTTTGAAGAGCGTTTGGGCACGTGGGCCCCAGAGACAGAGACAGGCACGTCGGCCAGTTCAGTGTGACAGACTTTCAGCCCTCTCCGTGAACATGGACTCTTACCATTTCAGTAAGCATAGAGCAAGGGATGCGAGAGAAATAGAGCAAGGGATGCGAAAGTCAGGACATTGCGGGGTCGCGAATGAGCAGTCTCTTGCCTGAATGGATTTCTGCATACAATCTGGCGGCCGATCGTTTTATCTCTCAAGGACCTGTAGTGCTTTTAAGGTAGGATAGGACCAGGCTCCGTGAAGAAGTAGGTTAGGGCTGCTGACCTTGAGTGTGACGAAGCTGACGGCAAGGACGAGGAAAAGCGAGGTGGAGGCGAGGATCTCGGGGTTGCGGCTGTTTGTGACCACCTTGTAGATGGGTTGCAAGATCTGCACACAGCAGAAAAGAGTCAAGTCGATGCTCGCCAGAGTCCGTCAAATCAACCGTACGACGTATTCGTTCTGGATACAATTGGCTCTTTCTTTTCCATTATTATCGGGTGGTACACAGTGGGGGGGCTTCATGCGTTTTTATGGGAGGCACGGCTTCAGCCTAAAACCAGTCTTCCCTTTTTTCCTTGCGTTTGATTTCTTTCTGCCATACTTCAGTCAACGACACGCGTGCTACCATGCGTGACGCGCACTCCGAGAGCACCTTCTCTTGCTCGCTCGTGCTTTGCAGGAGGCTCAGTTCAGAGCAGGTCGCAATAGAGACTCAAAGCTCAGGGAAGAACGGGTACAGCAACAGGAAAAGGAGAGCCAATGTTTGGATGACGCCTTCACGAACGCGAGGAGGCCAGTCCAATAAAGAAAAGCGATAAGGATGTCCATGAGCTTTAAGCCGGTCGGAAGAAATCAAACAAAGACGCTGGTGATCAGGGAACCAAACTAGTAGATGATGCAGTGACCAAAGGGAAGTCTTACTTTTCTACCCGCCACGACGATGAGCGAGACGAACGTCACGGCCTTCAAGGCGGCAATGCCCAACTGCCGGAACACATTGGCAAGCCCCAGCTGCAGACAAGCAGAAGAAGATTCAAACAGGGGAGGGTGTGCCGTGTCGAGATTCGTCCATTCCGAGCTGAGCCGTCGTTTCGTTAAAGGTGCCAAGCTGATTGTTGAGGCATACTGGACAAAAACAGGAACAGGTCGCCAGCTGATTCTGAGCCCACCACGTTCGACCTTGGCTTGACCTTTACAAGCTTCTTTGGCAGTTCCTTGCCAAGGAAGCCAAATTTGGCAGTTCCTTGCCAAAGGAAGCCAAAGACGGTTCTCTCTTTTGATCAGGAACGTTTTCGAAAGCATTGGCGGAGCAGTCCACTTCTGCGACGTGCAATGGGACAGCAATCACAAGCAATTACAATTATCCCTGCCACATCATTGTTTTGACGCGGCCGCGACTGCGATACCGCTGCCTCACAGACGCCCGCACTTGACTTTGCCAACTCCTTCCAATAGCAAAGGCTTTGGATGCCCAAGGTGATCACGGAGACCACATTTCCACATTTACCAGACTTGTCGCATGCACAATGGAAGGCCGATCTGTGCTGAACGAAGCAGACAGCCGCCGAAGCGATACCAACAGATCGAGCGTCAAGCGGCTCACCCCAGAGCTCTGGCTCTTGGGCGACATGAGCGGGATGATGATCAGCAACAGAACCACGAAGAGATCCTGCACGGACGCACCTTACATCACGTTAACATGCGACCAAGACAACAGGTAATGTCAGCTCGGTCTTGAATTACAAGTGATTGTGGTCTTTCCAAAGCTTAAGAACCTTCCGCCAGAGCGGACTTCGAGACGGTTGTGCTCTACACTCGACGAAGGAGGACCACTTGTTGGGTATGATCCAAGGAAAGTGAGACCCGCGTCGAGCACCAAGGCCCGCGCCGAGCACCAATACAAGGGACCTTCAAGTAACCGAAGCCAGTCCCAACTATAGAAGAGCTGTCAGCACTTTCAGACGGGGACGGATGATAAACTGGGCATCAAGGGCGACAGACAGTCGCAAGATCTCCCTACAAGGGTTTTTCCCCCTGTAGCCTCCAGGTTGCTTGTCCTGAGACTGCCTTTTTAGAACCTCAAAAAGTACGTACGCATGCTGACACCCATCCGACCTGCCGACTACAAAGCCCATGACGCGGTTGATCCCCGGTCCCCGTTCTCCTTTCCTTGCCCCTCACCTGGAAGAGCAGGACTCCGAAAGCGCCCCGCCCGTGCTTGGTTTGAATCTCGTTTTTATCCCGCAGAACTTGGATCGCAACTGCGGTGGACGAGAGGGCGAGCCCTGCGCCCACGACCACTGCTGCGGGGACGGCCATCCCGAACAAGTAGTGGGCGACGCCGCCAGTGAAGGCGATGGTGGGGAGGACCTATGATGACGGAGAAATTGCAAAATCAAGGTTCGAACGGGATACTAGAGCAGGTTGCGACGGACTTGCGACAATGGCAACTCGAAGCAAAAGTGTCTCGCGCAGACTTCTGAAAACGATCAGAAAGGTCTCAGGCGAACACCAACAGACCTCTGAGACGTCTACAGAGGAAAACGGAAGCATTACCACTTGGTCATGACAAAATCATGCTCCTTAGGTACGACCAGTCAGCCATTCAGGGAGCCGAGAAATGCACCAGGCGAAGGAACATGCGGACTTAGACAGGCTCTGGGACCAGGACGTTTTGGCAGTGTAACGGAGCTTACCTGGGCAACGCCTAGCCCGAAAACGAGCTTCTGCATGTTCAGGATCTTCTCAATGGACAACTGCAAAAGGCAAAACGCGAAGGTGAGATCCTTGAATTCCTCCAGCGTCAAAGGCAGGATGACACGGGCTTGCAGAACGTGAGAACGTGAGGACACTCATATGGCGGATGGTGCTGCTCAACCGAAAGCTGGAAACTCCTGGAAAACCGGCCCGCAAAAAGGGAACGTGCAGAGACCAGTAAAGCTCGGCGACTCCAAAACCCACAGCGCAGTTGGTCAGTCGCCCTCATGGACCACACGGTGCACAACACTTACTGCGATTTGGGCTTCCATTTTACAGATTACCAGACGCCGTGAACCAACGTGCATCTACGCCCTCGATAACAATTTCGAGCCGAGACTAGACCTTGACTCGTAGAAATTGTGGCGTCAGTTCTAAACGATGCTACTGGCCCAGCCCCTTTTCAATGTTGTCCAGACAGAGTCCAAGAAATGATAGTGGCTGCTTTGTCAATCAACAGCGGCTGATAGCTTCAAATAAATGCAGCAACTTTTAATCTTTGAAAGCTCGACTCGGGGTCAATGGGAACAACGCATACCTCCAACCCGATGTTGAAGAGGAGGAAGACAACGCCGATCTCTGCGAGTGCCTCCGTGGCATGAATGTGCTTCACGAGGCCCAGGCCATGAGGCCCGATGATGACGCCAGCAACCAGGTACCCGAGCAACGGAGACTCTGCACTCGATTGATAGATGGAACATAGTCAGAAAACCACAGGAACCAAGAGTCGAGGTGTAGTACTGAGGGGAGGCTCAATTCCATTAGGGCTTTGCCTGTCGTGTTCTTCATAGAGGCCCTCGTCCGAGAGAAAAAGCAAGTAGAGATGTGGCGCGACGTTGTCGAACAGCTCGTCGCAAGCAACCAGATTTACGGGCCAGGACTTTCTTAGGATGGAGACTTGTTCCTGTGACGGGTACAAGTGATGCCGGAGGCAGACCTTAGGCGCCAGATCTCATTTAAAAAGGTAACTCGAGGAGCATGGAACTCCACCCAGTAGTTGCTTGATCACTGATGCCACTGCGCAGCATCACAAAGAACGCGAGGATTCCGCGTGGATCGCTGCTGCTACCACTAGGCAATATCTAGGGCGCCCTGCTAACAGAAACATACCCCAGCCGATCAGATCAACACACCCCTCCGACCAAACGCTGCTCCAATCGGCTTTCAAAAGGCGTCCCACAATCACTGAGTCCCAATGAGAGAAGCTGCTACACTTCAGAGCGTCTGACAGTCCAACTACTGGAATCGCCCCGGAAACAAACTTTGTGCACTCACTCCCGGGCAGCTTCTGGAAGAGCAGCACGGCGATCAACCCGAACAGCAGCAGCACAAGCGCGTCCTTGAGCGTCTTCTCTTCCGCGTGCTCCTTATCCAGGCCCAGAGTCGCCATGACCTGGCGCCCCTGTTCCGGTAGCTTCTCGACCACTCGCGTCGTGACGTCGTACACCCGGTTGGCCTGGACGGCGACGACACGTGGCGGCTCCGGGAGGAGGACACGTGTCCGTGGGTGGATGCAGAGGGTCCTGAAGAGGATAGGTGCATTAAGAACAGGAAGCGTATGACAGGATCTGGGGACTCATTCACGGGATACGCGCAACTCCGAGTATTTTGAAAACCAAAGCATTTGAGCCTCGTCCGAACGCACGCACCTTGCCTGAATAGGATCCAAAGATGATCATAGATTACCAAAGCTCTACTGGCACGTACTTCAACACTGTCCCAAACCCTCTTTATAATCCTCACCAGGACAAAAGACGGCTTTCGAAAAAGTCAACCTTCCAATGGAGCTCCTTACCCTGCGACTGCTAGGGCCAATGCCACACACACCCCAGGTACGTTACGCCGCACCATGGCGGTCAGTCGGAACAGGACCTTCTCTGCCACAGAGGTTGGCTTCTTCGGCTTGGTAGCGGTGTCAGGGTCAGCTTCGACCACCTTCGGCGCCGGCGGAGCAACTGCGGCGGCCTTCACTTTGTCTGTAACCGGCTGGTCCTTCAATATTTGCACCTGTGCCAAAAGAAGTGGTGCGTGTGAGGCGCTTCTTGTTGCAAGATTGTGAGACGTAACATTGCAGTTTCGCCCCAAACCTGATACCTCACTGAAGGTTCTGACACACCGACATAGTTGCTTCAAACTTTTATCACCTGATTGAAATCTGTACTAGCTCCTCACTGCAATTTTGCAGCGGATTCGGCGAATCGCTAACGCCGAAGATGCCCAAAACGACAGGCTTGAGGGGACTACTCTCGGACGGCTCAGACATTCACCAGGACATGGACAGCTGATAAACATTCATGTCTTCGTTCCCTACAAACACAAGATCTGTTCGCAGCATTCCGCAGCGAGCTCCTTGCTCACCTCCTGTTCGACCACCGCAACCGCCTTAGCCTCAATCGCCTTAGCTGCTGTCTCCGCCACAGCTAAAACGTTCGGGCTCTCGACAATCGCCTCCTGGATCGCCTTCACCGCTTTTGCGGCTTCTTCCTCATCCTCGGGCCGGATCTGAATCTCCACCACTTCCCCGTCTCCCTTGACTTTCTTCGCAGACTTGTAGAGCGCAATTCTTTCTGTGGCTTGCTCGACGAGTTTCTCGACGTCCAGGAAGGCAGCCTTCGCCGCGCTGACGCTGCTCTGTGCATCCATCTCGCGCTCGACCGCGGCCCCGGCAAGGTCCATGGCTTGCTTCGTTTCTGCGCATCAGGAAAGAGTCTGATCTGATCTTCCTCCTACAAAAGGTGGTGTAATCAGTGGAAACTGGTATCTGCCAGCAGGATCATTTGTAGCTTAGGCACTGAACGTCGTCACTAAGGCTATTCCACATCCTCTGATCTGCAACTTTACCCCCGAGCATTACTAAGTTGCTTCACTCCGTCATTTCCTGGCTGTACTGTCACTCCGGCTGACGCTAGTTCATTGGAGTGAATGTACCTTAACACATGACCAGATTATCATCTCACTCCAAAGTCTGCGGCTTTCCTGAGACGTTATCCACAATGAACCTTCCAATTGCAGATGAACCACCAAGAGCACAGCCAAAAGTCGCACCTGCATCAGCTTCGGCGGCGATTCTCTTTGCCTCGTCCACCTCGGTCCTCAGCTGGGCCACCTGCTTCGCCAGCTCCTCCCGCCTCTTTGAAGCATCACCCAGTCTTTCCTGCGCAGCGCTCAGTTGCGCCCTCCGCCCCTCCACCTTCATCCTCTCTGTCTCCAGCTCTTGCTGCAGTGCGGCCATGGTGGCGTCCACTGGTTCTGGCTCTGGCTCTGGCTCTGGTTCCTCCTTCTCAGACTCGGACTCGGACTCATCGTCTGCATGAGGCTCCAACGGCCTCGTTTCTACGCTTTCTAAGCTGTCACCCGCAATGTCGTGACTGTCGAGATCCGCCACTGCCTCAACCGGCTCTGCAATGGGGACCACTAAACCCTCTCCCAGGTCCAGCTTGCCGTCCTCCAATGTTGCCCCCTCTAGTTCTTCGACTGCTGTGGCTGGGACAAACGCTTCCGACACTTCTGCAGCAAGCCGGATAGGCTCTGCGTCTGCTGCATCAGAGAGTCTGCGCGATTCCAGCAAGCTCTGGATGCTCTCCTCTTTCTTGGCCAGCGCAGACTCGGACAGCTCGAGGGCGTTTTCCGCTTCGCCGACCTCGCGGGCCGCCATAGTCACCTCCTTTTCGACCTCGTCCAGCTGCAAACCAATAGATGCAAAGCTCGGACAGTTGCTATAAACATGTATTCAAACCCTTTCTTAATAACTTCAGTGATGATCAACTCTCCCAAACATTTTCAACTTCTTATGATGAAACATTAAAGCAGTGGCCCCCAGTTTACAGACTGAGCTCCATCATTCAAACATCGACAAGTTGTGCGACATCAAGCCTCGAAGCGATTGACGGAGCCAGAAGATCTCAATTGCCAGCACTGAAAGTGTTCACATCATGCGGACACAGAAGGAGAGATGCAGAAAACAGAAGTTTCAGGTCGCAGATTAGATAGTGGCGCAAGAGAGCTAAGCAGACAGCTCCCGCAACCGACCGCATTTCACTGAAAACAATTGAGCAAGCGTGTCTTCTTTTACCTTGGCAGCTGTTGCATCGCACTCATCCTGCTTGCTTGCAGCTTCCTCATTCAAAAGGACCGCTCTCTCTGCAACCGCTTGCGCCGCTTCTTCTAACTTGCTCCTGTGCTCCCTGGCCTCTTCCTCCTCTTTAATTGCATCTTCCCACTCCACCCTTGCATTCTCCAGAGCCGAGAAAGGAGGTTCCCCCTTCCCGTCAGGATGCTCAATCGTATCATCGGCACCATTATCTGCGCTACCACTCGTTCCATTAGAAGCGCTGCTCACAGCCTGTGCCTTGGTTTGCTCAGGAGCACTGGAACCCTCCTTTTCTTGCGTTGGGGCATCAGTTTCGACAATTTCCGCCCTACACAGTCCAGATCTGTGGCTCCTCCTGGTGGATAAGGTGCGTGAGAACACATCAATTTTGAGAAGGGATGGGGCAGACAAGGGGCTGAAAGTACGACCTTGGCATAGTCTCTTCGAAGGTGGGATGAGAAAGTGCAACCGCGCAGAAGTGCAGCCACTGGCGATGGGTGGTTCACTTGCTGGTATACTCCTCTTTGGACAGCGAGTGTTTGCAAAGTGGCAATTGGATAGAAGGCCGGGCGCTGAACCCAGTTGTAGCACATGAGAAGCCATACCGACCTAGCAGGATCAGTAACAGCAAACTTCACATCATCAGCTGCTGCGGCTCTTCATGGACAATCTTAACATCTCAGAACTCCCCAACCTCGTGTAGGGTATTCAAGGAGCTTGCAGAAGGGGTCAACAGCCAACATGGGTTGCAAGCTGCCCATGGAAGTGACGCAGCGATGCGATCTAGCCGCCTTTCTAAGTTTTCCACCTGGTTCTCACCCTGCATTCAAGTTCCTGGTTTGGGAACAGCGTCGGTAGTCCTGACTCAAACTTAGAGGCCGGAGAACGGAGAGGCTAAAAAGTGGGAATAGGCAGATAAGGGAAAATATAGAGGCAGACTTGGGAAAAAAGAGAATTTCCTTTAGAGGGGGAAGAAAAAGGCATAGAAAGAAGAGGGGGGATACGGAAAGGAGGGGGGATCGCCGTGGTCACATGAGGAGTCTGTACTCTTGAACAGATAATGAAAACGCGTCGCGTACTCCCATGAATGCGTACTTTCTGCAGTCTGAGTTTGCTTATCTTGAAGAGGGAGAAGGGAGAGCCGTGGATGTCCATCGCACGGCTCAAATTCATCGAGTCCCACGCATTCTTTTTTTTAAGATTTTTTACTCTCTTTCGTGGATGCGTGAAGCTTTTTGCCAAACCGGATAGGGTGCTTGGACTTCAGCGGAACCTTAGCGGAACACCGGAAATCGAAAGGTCCACGGTGCGAGCCCGAGCTTGGAAGGGTCATCTTTTCGAAGAAAGTGATGAGTACGGTGCGAGTTGTACGCTTCGACCCTAAAACCCTAAATCCCTGTAAAACTGGCCCCTGTGACCCTACGACCTGAAGCCTGAGAAGGAGCAAATCACTCTATGCTGTTATCTTTGCCCAGTCTGTAAAAGCGACCAGACTGGTTTCCGCTCCTCCTAGGGCGTAACGCCAGTCGAGAACCTCCAGTATGTTGTATGTATATGACAGATAATGTAAGCGTTACCTCCGGGAGGGGGACTTTCCCTCACTATGTAAATGTATACACCTATACGTCGATGTTTCATGTACACTGTACGGTGCACTGAACACTGAAAACCGAACGCAGATTCTGCAGGAAAACGGAAGGTTATGCACCGTCGATAGAGGAGTGAGGTGCTAGCATTGACGGCAGAAACCCGTCCGTTTAGAAGGACGAAGTCTAACTCTTTCCTGACCGTCGATCTTGTGGATCTCATGGTGACAACGCTTCCAAAGAAGGATGCGCAATTAGGTACTGACTTCTGAGTCCTGGCTGAGACATGAGTACCTGCATAGTACATATCTTAGGCCTCTAGATAGTATAGGCATGTGTGCGATTCTAAGATTCGGCCGCCTTGCTTCGATGTAGGATTCCTACATGGGATGTTGCTGTGGCCAACAACCTGACAACTTGCTGACAATCTCATCTACAAGTGGTGCTTCGGCCCGGTCGTTTAATGTCACTTATGATTCGTTGTTAGGTAGATAGGGCTGAAGTATGTCGCAATTGCAACAAAGTGTTTGTATTAGAATCGACCATGATATGCGACATATTCAACATATGGATGCAGCATGCACCTTCGCTATGGCATGCACTGGCCAACTCCATTTTACAAAGAGGTCATGAGTCTTGTCACACATGATGATACAGACTGTGCTCATTTGTCATCTTGGCATGCGACAGATAAACGATCACCCACCGAAGGAAAGGATTGGTCATAAGATCTGAACGAGATTAGCATGGGCTTCAAACAAGCCCTCATAACGGTGAACATGGAAAGACCCCGGGCCCTGAATCTTTTGACTTCAAACATAACAACGCGACAGTCCATACAATCCTTTCAAATTGCATACATCCTATTAATAATGCGACTAAACTTCATTTGTGAATTTTGACTCAAAAGTATAATCGCCTTAGCAACGCCAGAAAGCTTTGTTCTAACTTTACACAAGTGTACACTAACGCCCTTTCTATTGCAATCCGCAAGAGCCAAAGAATAACAAGCGCTTATAAGTTGGCTCATCTAAAGCATGTACCGGAAACACCAGAATGCGACTCATCCCCCTACACTCTTTGCTGGCTCCTTACTTTCCGTCCGCATATCCCTCTGTATTGTTTGGGACACCCCCAATCCCAAACCAAGCCCAAGAGGAACACCGTCGGCAAAACTCGAAGCCCTTGTAACCCCCCTCCCGCCTTGCTCGTAAAGAGGACTCTGCTGTTGCTGCTGCACGGTATCCCTGTACCCAGGGCTATCCAGGAAAGGCGCGCCTGTCGCCACCAAGTTGCCTTGCTCGCCAGGGGTTACTGAAGCATCCGATGGGGTTGGAGGGGCGCTCTGTGACTCTGGCTCTATCATCCGGGGCTGTGCTGGCTCTTCGGGCTGCTGGCCGCGAGCTGACGAGTCCGCAAGGGCCAAGATGTGTTGCTGCGTTTCGACAAGACGACTTTCAGGATCCGAGGGTCCCCCAAGGGCAACAAAAAGATGTCATGACAGGCCCCTGATGTGAACAGAAGCTGCGGATGGTCCACTTTGAGAAACCTGCAGCTTGCAAAAGTTTCGCTGGCGCACAGGTGACCGCGCCCACACGGGCCACACGGCTGCAAATGGCATGCGCTTTCCCCTAAATTCACAAATGCGATAAGTTTTCGGTCTGATTGGTGCACAGGAAGACAAGGCACGTACATAAGCACGTGACACTGCTGACAGGACATTCCGGCAGAAGAACGGCATGTTTTCTTGGGTTCTGATAGCGTATGGGGAAGGCAAACTGCAACCCCCGCGATGCTTCAGAGAAGAATCTAAATCTTTCTAATGCTGATGCGGTGCACTACAAGTGACTTCGTCATCCACTTATAGTGGAGGCGACAAGCAACGACATGAAAAACGGTAGCTCACCTGTTCTGCGAAAACTGGGCTCGCCAGGTTGATTGCGAGGTTCCTCATCAGCAGGATGATGGTCTCGCGGTCGATTGGAGGCATGCACTTCAGCTTCTGCAGATTCCCCGCAACCCCAATCTCAAACACATCTCCCAAGAACCGATACACCTTAGCGAAGTCGGGGTTGGCTGCACAAAATAAGGGGAACACGCTGGTTTGGAAGAAGCCGTAACCAGAAGGAAATGCACACTTCTTGCCCAAGTCAAGCCTCCACTTGATGGAAACTGCACACTGCACTGAAAGAAATAGTGACCACAGTTTAGGACCCCGGATCCTGCTCATTGCCGCCAAAAGATTCTTCAAAGAGTTCCTTGTAAAGGTGGCATAGCAGCCTTGTGAGTATTTCCTCAAACGTGATTTCCCCAACACTTCGTTTCTTCCCCTCTCGTTCGAAATCGGTGGTGCAGTCCACAGCCACATGTAACGACCACAACTGAAACCGACCATTCTACGACCAACGGTATCCAAACCAGACCTGAACTTTATAACGCAATCATATGCAGATATACCACAATCCTCCTTCCACTCCTTCAGTCTCCAATCATGTGTCTCAGTCACTAAAGGACGCAGCTACCTTTTGAAGGAGTGTCAGGTCCCCAAGCTGGAGCCCCCAACGTGCCAGTCTCCTCCTGAGGCGACTGTGGGGGCACCGCAGGATGGGCTCCCCCAGGAGTGTAAGCACCTTCCCTGGGTGAATAAACCTTGCTGGAAGCAACTGCTGCTTGTTGCGCCGCGTGGGCAGCAGCGACTACTGCGAAGTCAAAATCGAAAACCTTGTCTAATCAGTATAAGCACAGGTGAGGGAACACTGGTGCGACAGTCTTAATTGGAAGAAAAACGTCAATCGGAAGACACTCTGCAGACTTTCTGACTTGCAGCAGACCATATCAGCGGCCTTAACGTCTGGGAAAAGCGTAGAGGTAAGTTGTGGACGCTTTCATTAACAGAGTACGGTACTAAAAATGAAAACATCGTTGGACATCCGACGCCGATTCACCATCCACTCAGGTTGGCTGGACAAAACAAAAGGAGTGCTGTCTGTAAGCTGCCTAATAAAGCCAGCAATTGAAACGCTTTCTAAGCAGCCCTCCGAAGGGGAATGTCAACTTGCCTTTGGAAGCTTTTTGAGGATAAGGTTGTGAGGATTTGCGCTTGGGCCTTGGGGGCGGCACGTGTGCATCCTGACCAAGTTTCTGGACCTTCAGAAAATACTTCTGCGCGTGACTCCGGATCTGCAAGGGTTCCACCTCGAGAGTTGAGCTTTGAAACAAGCGCGAGAAAAGTGTCTAGCAAGATAGTGGGGCGAAACTCGGGGTTACACTCTCGACACAAATGGAGAGGGATCAACAACATCGGCATCACTTATAATCTGCACTATTTGCTAACTAGAAGCGCCAACAAACCTCTTCACATCGACGAGTTTCAGAAGAATAGACACCTGAATCAAAGCCAACAACCTGTATTGATGTTGCATATTCTCGGAAAATTGAAAACTCAAAAGCAGCTCATCTCATCATTCCTCACCTGTATGACAGTTTTTGTTCCCACGTACTCTTCAATCTTTCTCCAGTCCCTATCAAAACTGCACACAAGAAAGTCCATTAGGTTCAGGCTTTCAGGCCCCTCTCACAAATGCAAACCACTGTGGAGAACCGCAAACCAACATTTTCCACAAGAGATTTCAGTTGCCGAATGCTCAGATGGATTGCGCTTCACTAATTGAGCTTCTAAACTCTGAATGTGGACAGAACGACGGGGAACCTGGTAGAGGGAGCTATTTGCGATTAGCAAATGGAATGAGCACTTTTGACAACAGCGACAAGGGCAGGTGGACAAGGAGATATTCCAGGCAAGCCAGCTCTGAAGCTTCGATGAGAAACCGACACGACCAGGTAAAGAGACAAGACAATACACCATCCAAATTTATAGACAGATTATGCAACTTTCCGCTCCATTCAACCACCCCACACTCAGCTGCATGCACAATGGCGCATCTTAAGCTGGGCGGACAGAAGAACTTCAGAAAGGTAAAGTTTCATGCCAGTGTCAGATTTCTTCTGCCCATTTTCAGCTTCTTTGCAAATCAACAGAGCCTCTCTTGCACACAAGCAATGTTGAAGGGCCCGATGTAGACTAGAACAAGATTGTCGGACAGCAAGGAGTTCAGAGATCAGCAACTGAATGAAGCGCGGGCAGCCCGAAGATAGAGCATATTGATGCATGGCAAAAAGCCATAAATAACCTGTGGAGAAGCTGCACACCAACCCACACCTAGCACAAGAATTCAAGTTCACAGATCTGCAAGCCCATTCCAAATGACAGAATGTGTCCAAAAACAATTAGCTTTTAGGTATCAGAGAAGGAACTGCAGCACACAACCAGCAAACAAAACGCATCTGCAAAAGAGGGATACAGACGAGCTGCATACGAAGACCTGAGCAATGGGACTTCCAACCCTGCTTGCCCCCAAGCTCTCAACCAAAGCAGTTACTCACAGTTCTAGGGCCTTCAGAAACTTATTGTGCTCCTGCTCGGTCCAATTCTCCCGCTGCTTGGTAATGGTGTACGGCTTGCGGACTTTGCCATGCATGTCATCACCCTTCCCCGACAGCTCTCCCGATGGCGACAGCACGGGAGTCAACGGCCCCGCTGCCATATCCCCCGGAGGAGGACCTAGTCCAGGCGAAAAGGCGCCCTGACCAAGCATTGTCCCGGCGGAAAAAAGATGCGGCCTGCGCATTTCCGCAGAGCTTGTCTCGCATTTGCTGCGCCCTCCTTCCTTCAAGACGGTTGTGCGCTCCCCTTCCTCGCCCTGTCACTGTTGATCAGTCAGGGTGAGTCGAGGCTCTGTTCAGCATGTCATTGTTGGGCGTTCCGTCTTCCTCCGAGTCCCAAGTGACTGTGCGCGCGGAACTGTCCAAATTCAATCTGCGGGACGCCGGAAACCGGGCGGAAAAATACTGGCCGGAATCTGCATGCATGCGCCCCACACTCAATTGCGTTCCGCCGGAACTCTGAGTCTGGCAGGGCGCTTCGTGCAGCTTCGTGTGGGGCCACAGCCTAAGGTACTTCTCGGATTCCACTACCCATGCGAGGTGCGTGGCTCTTCTGCGCCAGTGGCAGAGGAGCTGGCAGCCTGGCACCCTCCTCTTTTCTTCCTCTTTTTCCAATTTTTTAGATAGATCTCAGCACCCAGCAAACGAGGCATTGAGCAGGCTCAGAAACTAGGGCGCGCACAGGAACGGGTAGCACACCGTTGAGAGGACTAAGTTCAGGTCCCAAGGCCTTACAACCAATTTAAACGGGAAGAATTCATTTGACTGCACCCTCAATTGTCCTCGTGACAGATTGTGAAGAGGACTTTATCCACTCGGAACATTGGGATCTACTCATGGCGCTTTTGAAGCTAATAGAATGTTGTCTGCTTTCGCTACTTTCTAGGCATCTTCTGAACTGATGGCAGATGCTCAGGAGGGCACCCTCTGCTCATATAGTGTCACTTTTATCAATTGTTCTGTACAGAAAGCGATTTTGGCGATAATCCCAAGTAGTGCACTGGATTGATTGCCCCTGGTTAGAATACTCAGCAAAGACAGGAGTGCTGTACAGTGATCCTTCAAACTGCGTGGAGCTAGCGCAGAAGTACTTGTCCAAGTCCTTCCACAGGCATGGCAGCTGATCTGACCCGCCTCGCTCAGGAATCCCCAGAGTGGTGCCTGGCAAGTGACGTCAAAGTGAGTGTCACTTTGCTGGCCCTTGGCTAGCGTTCTCCTAGTTGTAGTTTGAAATGCGTCTGTCTGCGGAGACCTCATGGGGCAATAGCAATATGCGATCTTTTCAAACTCTGTCATCGCATTGAGTGGTTCTTGGAAAGCAATCGTCTCCTGTTGTGTCTGAACGCCTACTGCTTGGTGTCTTAATTGAAGGTAGTTATCAGACTGCACAGTCGTGTTGCAAGGATGCGACCACTTTTGTCCTTCTTTCAGCTTCTCTTTGCTCCGTACACCAGGAATGCAACTGATCCGATCTTGCTGTGACCACGTCCAAAAAGCATTTCTTCATGATGGGGGAAGAATTACGGGGGAATCCTTTATTCTGCTACGTACTCTTTAGGGGCTAGAAACTCTCTTCTCTCCTTCTTTGTGGCAAAACATACAACTGTGGAGACATGTTAAATGTGGACCAATTGCTGTCCTTCTTGTCTGTGCCATACCACCTGAAGGCGGTTATGAGGAGTCTTTCTTTGTCAGATCAATCTAGTGATATGAGAGAAGCAACTACACAAATGGAGCAGCCAGTGCCTCATACTCTTTTCACCGATAATGTAATAAGCGCGAACAACGTCCACCTTTTCCCTGACTTCAATTGCCCGTGTCACCTTTCCTGGGTAGACACTACTTTGTTGATCCCTTTTTGAGTACGTAGTTTCATCGCTTTCTCCAATGTCTGAAGTACTCTATCACTGAGTTCGTTGTGATTTCAAGTCTCACTCTGTTGCTGCAGCTTTTAGCCTGGCTCAAGGGCTTCTCCCAAGAAGTAACACAACGCACTGAGTTGCTCACCGGCCGTATCGAAGCACTGTCCCATGACGCCTCAGTGGCGCAAGCAGACCTCCGCAATGTGTTCACGAGCCTCCACCAACTGTCCAACACGCAATTTATCGAGCAGGTAAATGTGTGGAACACCTACAACATCTCTGCAGTTCCCTTCAAGTCTTGCATCGCTTGAGTCTTTTCTCAAGCTGTTCAGTGCACCCTATGATCCATCTAGCTCAGTTCTCTCCGTTCAATTTCGCATCGGTTACTTGTTCGGAGGTGCCATCTCCTTTCCTGTTTTCCCTGCACATTCCGTTCAAGCAGGCGGGATGTTCTTGGAGGCGCTTTTATTATTTCCCTTGTTGGCCTCTATCCATTGGTGTACACTTTGCCCTCCCATCCTCTTAACTCCGATTCAGACCTTCCTTCAAGAGCATTCCCGTCGGGCCAGTAACTCAAAACTCCGCTTCTTGTATATAGGGACGGCAATACTTCGATCCACCCTGAGGACCGTCAATCGCTCCACATACAAAGCTTTTGGTTGGTGTGGTTCCGAACAGAACCCCTCTCTGGAGGGGAAGAGCGAGGCCGGGGAGGAAGAAAAGAAAGAAACAAGAAGATGGCTCCATTACGTCCCTCTCAACAAAGCTTTCCTGCTCCTGCAGCGCGTTCAGGACGAAGACGAGATCTCCGCCCCCTCGTCACCCCCTCCTCAGCGTGCATCCCGCCCCCCGATTGCGCCAGGCCCCGAGAGCTTCGAGCAGAACGTCGTACCCAAGTACCGCGAAGCAGTGGAGATCGCATGGCGGGTTCTGAAGAGTGCCGATTGCCCTTCCACAAGTCAGCCCTTAGAGACGAACTCAACGAGAGATGAGGGGTTGAGATCCGGTCCCTCGTCCACCTCCCAAACGAGAGAAGCGGGATTGGAAAGAATTCGGAGAAGGGAATGGCTAGATCGCCCGCTGCCTCTCATTCTAGGAACAGACGCTTTCCTAGCGGACGAGTTCTGTGGCCTTCCACCCCCCGACACGGAGGAATACCGCCCCCCCCTCACGGAATCGTACGAGCGGGAGCGCAGGGAAGGCCACTTTGCAGGTCCCCGGGAGGACCAGGTGCCGAGCGTTCCCGAGAAGGGGGGTGAGAAGGGTTTGGATTCGCAGTCGGAGGGAGGTGACGTCGAAGACGGCTGGACGCAGATCAGTAGTCGGAAGGACTACTCGGAAGTGGAACCAGCGGTCTCTGCTGCGCTCAACTTCCGGGCGATGCTGGAAGAGGCCTTGCGGGGGCCGTCCGGAATATGTAAGCCGGCCGACTCTGCCCTGTGATTCTGAAGGCTGTTGCGTACAGGGCCTTTCGTATGAGTGTCCTTTTCGAGCAAGTCCGGCTCGAAGAAATTTGTGGTACAACTGGTTTTGACACCCGGAAGTGTAGTACTTGTCGATCATCATTCCAGCAAGTTTGAGGAAGCCGTTAAGGTGTGGGCATTCCCGCCCGACATTATCGACTTACAGAAGCAGGAAGACGTGTCCGAAAGATTCTGCTTCGAACCGTCTCCGAAAGTTTTTAGGAGGCGTTGTCGTGAGTTGTGTTCGAGGAGACTTCGTCATGCTCCGCCTGCAAGTCGTAGCTGATGAAGTGGGTGAACTCTCGCCCGTCTTAGGACAGGCCCGGCGCAGGCCCCGAAGCGTGGTTTTTTATTGGGAGAGGAACGCCGTTTCGCGGATGCTCTTTGAAATACAAGGTCGAGCCAGGGTTTCCACAGGTTGGCGCTTTGCGATAATGGATTTTTGCACTACTGCCCTGTGCTGCCGAAGCTTGCCAAGCCCTGGGCCTTCATCGAACTCCGGTCTCCGGGTCTCCTGCCTTTCTAGATTGGCCAAGCGCGTACTGTAAGGAAGTAAGAAGTCGAAATATTAGCCAGAGTTGGACTTAGCCTATGCTTCGGGTCGACTAAGGGCGGCAGCTAGTGTTTGAAGCCCTTTGTGCTTCGCCTCCGCACAAAAGCCGGTCATGCTGAAAGGAGGAGGGAAAGAGCATTTACCCACACTTTCCTTTGCTTTTCGTCGGCAGACGAAGATGTCTCCAGCCCCTCAACGCGACGGCCCACTCACGAAGGCGAATCAGATCCTGCCACGTCAGCTTCGCATGACGAGGCTCCCGGTGCCACCAATCGTGAGTCGCATGACGCTACAAAGAGTACGAAGGATCTATTAAATAAAAGGGGCGGGGGAAGTGAAGCCAGTATGAGTAGCCGAAGCCATGGAGAGAGAAGGAGTGCGAGCGGTTTCCTGGAAGAGACGAAGCAGGGGTTGGAGTCGCAAAGAGAGGGAGACGGAGCCCAAAGCTCGGGGAGCACTGGGCCTCAAGACAAAGCAAAGCGGGTGGTGTTTTCCGAAGATGCCCACGAGGAGCGGCCTGTAGGTTTTAAGGGTGGGGAGGGGCGTCAGGCGGAGTCAGCAGAACAGGCGGATGGGCCGAGTGGGAAGAGCACTGAGCGGTCGTACGGTGCGTTTGGAGACGATTGGGACAACGAGGAGTTCAGCTTCGGGTCTTCGACCAGTAAGAAGGTGGGCGCTCAAGCTTGTACTTCACTCTCTTACATTGAAAGTGGTCAACACTGTGTTTGTCTCGGATGTCTTGGAGACTAGTCCTTGCTTCCACGTCCTGCTGCCTCCAAGAACCTGGCTCTTGGTTGCGATTGCTGCTCCCTCGCGATGGGCCAACTTTATCCGCGTTGCCTCACGATCAGCGGTTGCAATGCGTCGAAAGGAAATGCAATCCCTCCTTGGGCCCTACCTATAGGACCCTGTATGCATTCTGCAACGTAGTCTTCAGTGAGTAAACAGGAACAGACGTCAAATCCGGGAATTCCAGAACTGCAACGATGGATTGTCTTTTCTCCAGTTCCCCCTTGAGAGCATTATTGCAAGTGTTCCTTACCTACGCTGTGCTGTTGCTAGTCAGAGAGAATTCGTGACTATCTTTCACTGCTCACAGAAGACACAGCTTCTTAAGAGGCGTAAGCAACCTAGAGCTCTTGGCGGAAGCAACTCAGTGAATCCTGACCCGAGACATTGAAATCGCCGTCGGGTAGGAGAACTTTAAGACCTCGATTAAATGTTGCGCGACGGCACGCTTACTGTTAAAGGCGTTCTTTCTCTGACAGGGCAAGCCCTCGTACACTCTCGACCTTGACGACCTCTTCAAACGGAAGCCCCGCACCGCCCCGCTTCCAAATGGCTCGGATTCCTCAAGTGGAACCTTTGGGGAAGGCGCTTTTCAAGGTCCCGCAGAGTCTCAAGTGTCCAGCAACGGGTTAGGATGGGGGTTAGGCGGTAGTTCACAAGCTTCTGGAGGAGTAGGCCCACAAACCGTCAAAACGGGGTCAGGTGTGGGTTTGGGAGGCAAAAACGCGGCAATGGATGCGGTTACGGCAGCCCTTAAGCAGCGGCAGGCGGCGTCCAAAGGTTCTCCTGAAAAGCCCTCTGAGAATTGGGTTAGCCAGTCGGTTAGTGCAGACTGGGTTAGGACACCTTCAGCCGACGTGCTTGGGGAGCCGGTTAGCGTTGATTTCGAGGATGATCGAGCGGTTCTGGACGAGACGGGGGTGTGGAGTCCGAGCCTCACCAACCCCCCGCTTCGAACAGAGCTTTCGTTTGGGCCGGTGGAAGACCATACGGAGGGGGGTGAGGCTACTGGCAGGGAACAAGACAGGAGCGGGGCGGAAGAACCGAGCGATGTTCGGAAAAGTGAAGACTTGGGGAGGTTGCGAAACGGAGATGATTGGGAAGCGGAAGCAAGCGACGGGTTTCCAGCGGGAGGCGGTCGATTGCACGGGCGTTTGGAAGCGGAAACGGAGTCTGTCAGGGCGGCGGACAGTGCCTTGCGAGAAGGTGCGGGTTTCCACAAAAAGGGCGAGGAAAATACTGAAGCGGACCGGGCGAAAATGCGCAGCGAGGACACGGGAGGGAAGGGAGACAGTGAAACGGCTCAGGTAACGGTGCGGGAACCAGGGGGCAATGGCGGGGAAACGGGGAGTGGCCGCCTTTTTGGTGTTAGGAACGATCGGGCAGAGACTAAGGGCGGTGAAGCGTCCACTTCGGGGGGGCAAAACCTCGGGTTCGGAAAAGGGGGGGCGAGGTCGAAGTTGTTTGGGGACAGCGACGAAGAGGATGACTGCGGGCTGCCGCTCTTTGGGGGGAAGCTCGGGCAGCGGCCGGGGGGGAAAAGGCGGGGTCTGTTTGAAGATAGCGATGAGGAAGCGGGGGGGTTAGGGTTTGGGCGACGAAGCACGGGTTTGTTTGGTAATGGGTACGGTTTGGCAAAGGACGGTCTCGGTGGCCAGAAGCAGAGCACCGGGCTCTTTGGAGACAGTGAAAAGGCAACCGGGGGACTGTTTTCGAGCGACCGGGGGGAAGGTGATGTTAGCAGCGCGAGGGCCGCGAAGTCAGCGGCTGAGGGATCCCCCAAAAGCGATGCGGCCAAAGCTGCGAGGAAAGCCGATGAGGGCTTGTTCGGGGCGCCGCAACAGCAAACGGCTCTGAGTGCGGATCTTTTCGGCGACGATGAGGAAGATGGGGACCTCTTTGGTCTGAGTGGGCTTGGTCGCCATTCGCGTGACAAAGCGGGATTTGGGGAGGCGGGCCCAAAGCGGACGACTGGGATCAGCGCTTTTCTCGAGAGTACGTATAGCAGCGACGAGGAGGATCCGTGGGAGGGCCGGTTGGCCAAGCTCAAGGAAGGGCAGGACTGAAGATGGGTTATTGAAATGCACCGCTGCGTTCACTGCGCCAGAATCTTCAGAATTTATTCCCACAATCGATCAAGTTTGACTGCGTTCGGATTCGAAAGCGACCTTAGTCTGGCCAAGTTGAGAAGGTCAAGCCAGACCAGGAAGCTCGCGCTTTTGTGATGGCGGGGTTTGAATTGATCATCGACGCCGCGGCCTGCCAGCTTCGCGATCTGCATAATAATTGCAATGAAGCGGATCCGCATGACGACACATGTGTATAGGTACGCAGTACCTAACGTTATAGCTATAGCTGTAAAAATGTATTCAGTACATGCATTGAATGTGCATCATGGCGCTGCCGGGCGGCGGCCTCGAACGGCGCGGATGCATAACAAATCTCGCAGAGACGGCCGTTTCCTATTGTTGTTCCGGGGCGGCCCAATTATAATTGCTATACTATAAATGCATTTCCCGGCATGCACAATCAAATATATGGATATCGTGCCGCACTGGGCATGCGAACCCAATCGTACGATGTAGACGTCCTCGGACTAGTCTCTCGGACGTCCGGCGCCGGTTCAGCCAGATCGCGATCGGCCGGGGCCGTCGGTTCAATGCATGCGCGCACACCTGCTCAATGTGAATGGTCACGGTAGGCCTTAATGACCAAGAAATCGTTATACATATGTGATGGTGAAGCTATGACCGTGGGCCACATGTTCTATGGGAGCCATGGGTGACTATATCGAGTATAAGCCTTGAGAGGGAAACGAAAGTCAGCATGGTCGGAGTATCAACCCGGAAGCCAGCCGCGCTCAGCTATGCTGCATGCTCTTCGGAAGGCGCTTTAAAGCTAAAGACATGCAGGGGCTGCAACCATGAGCACTCGCGTACCATCTCAGTACGTTTATCGGACTTTGCATGCGAGGCGCTGCTGCGGGTGGAACTCGTGTTGTGGAGGATGGCCAGTGACCTAGACTCGCGGCCGCGGCGCGCCCGCGCTCAAACGCTCATGGGTTATGGTCGTCCCATCGTCGACTGGGGTTGATATCTTACGCGTCTTCGCTCTCGTGCAAGAGAAGCGCGAGTGTCACTAATCTCATTTCCAAACATGCCTAAAAGGAGGCATGCAAGCAGCAAAGTGACCACTTTCTGAGGCCTTGTCAGCCTTTGTTCAAACGTTTTCTCCTTTTAGAATTGCGTCGAACTTCACGCCAGCAAGGCCGCAATTACTGTAGAAGATTCTGCGATTGGCTTGATCGAATTTCCGAGCGTGCACGGCGCATGATCTTGGTGTGTCATCCTTCTCACGACTTTTTGGACGTGCTGCATCTAGGTGTTCTACGTCCAGCTCTTTCGTCATAGGTACAGGGTGCCCTTCGTAGCGCGTTCGAGACTTCGAGTCCGCAGCCTTCTTCCTTGCGACAGCAGACCACTTTCTTTCATGAAAGCACATTGACGCCATGGCGGCCGCAACGGTGTCCGTTTGCGCAATCTCCCTCTCCTCCGCTGCTTTCTCTCCCCATCCACCGAGCGCTCTGCGCCGCCCCGGACGGTTCTCTCCCCCGGTGCATGCACCCGGTACGCACCGCCCGGGGCTCTCCGCCCCTCCCTTCGGCCGACCGACAAGTGTACGGTGCAGAGTCGCCGGCCTTGACGCTGGTGACGCCAGGCCCCCCGGGGATGCGCGCGCGCGCGATGAGCGGAGGGACGACGACCGCCCGGGGGGCATCGACCTGGGCAGAATGGACAGGGGGCGGGGTGATGAAGGAGTGGGAGAACGGCTGGGGAGCTTGGCAGACCGGGTGAGTGAAAACGGAGACGCCTCTTGACGTTGCTTGAACGACTTTTTGTGGAGGCAAATGGGAATAGAAGGCCTGTTTACGTTGCTTACAACGGCTATCTGTTCGAGACGCACATACACGGGACTTATAGAGAGTGAGCATGCCCGCTTGTCGCATTGCATGCCGTGTCGGGGGCTGGAAAGGCGTTGAGACGAATGAATAGCGATGAAGGCCAGCTCTGAGTTAGAAGATTGAAGTACCTTGGAAAACAATCAGTTCTCCACATTATCTCTGCAAAGGTTGGAGCAAGGGAAGAAGGGACAGCGCGGGTTAGAGAAATGAATTTTAACAACGGTCGCCTTCTTCGGTCCCAAGAGCTTCGAACCCCTGTGGAGTAACAAGCCCCGTTTTCATCTTCTCCCTGCCAATCCAACCTTGTTCTGGTTCTTATTCTTGATTCCACCATTTGGATTGCATGGCTTATGGTTGACTGCCACGTGTCCTCACAGCCCGGTGCGCTGAGCCCCTTCGGAGGTGACGTCATCCGGGTGGGCCGCCGCCACCCCGAGGTGCGCCGCGCGCGTCGGCTGCTCAAAGACACCGGTGAGAGGAACCATAACGTGATGACCTTAGTATATGTTGTTCCCGACGGAGATCTTGAAACGGTGTATAATGGCGACAAGTCGAATACATATATCTTCGAAGAAGCAGGAGTGATCCTGCACTTGATGCATCGCAGACTGGCCGCCGTTGCAAGCCGCTTCAACATTTCGTATAGTACCAGAAAATGCGTGTGGAATCAGGACAAAGGAATGGGTGACGGAGCTCGTTGTAGCTGCACACTTGGATCCGATAATTGGGAGGCTACAAATCCAGCCAATCTACGTTCTCCTCCCTCAAAAAGAGGGAAAATGATACCCGTTCGATACGCTTCATAAGTTTGAAATTTACCTCATAAGCGCATCATTTGTCTCCTTCGTACGCAGGCTTCCTCAGCCGATACGCCGACGACACGGACCTGTTCGACCCCGCCATGCGGGAAGCAGTCCGTCTCTTCCAGGTGGGTTTGAAATATCTATAAGGAACCGTGACGGGAAAGAGTCAATGATAACGGGACCAAAGCATAGACCAAACCAGGCACAGTCGAAGGGACCATTTACAAGTATCGTTGGAAGGATTAGCAAATTCAAATGTTGACTGACGGTGAGATGAGAAGTTTGCATAAGTGGATTGACAGCTTTCAAAGCCATCCATGGGGAGAGGTATTTGAGCTTCTGGACACAGTTTTGGTGGCACCTAATTTAAGCAGCGCTCAGAATAGGTTTCACTTCCTCTTGCGAACGGATCTCCGAGCATCTCAGGTCATACAAGGATGCCTCAACGGGCCATCCTTCTCTTGCCATTCATACTGCCGTTCAAATGAGAATGGTAGATTGTTTGGAACCCGCATGACTTCGATGCTGGAAAAAAGAACGTTCGCCGATGCCGCGTGCCGATGCCTGTAGACCGAAATCCTTCCAATTGTTCCCATCACTTCGACCCCTGAACTTAAAGTCCAAGTTCCAAACCTGACCAAGCCATCAAACTCTATTCTTTCAGCTATTCACGAAATGCAACCGCAAAAGGCTAACCGCAAATCGCTAACCCCGGGTGCAGGAGGTATCCGGGCTGCTGACGGACGGCGTGCTGGGCCCCACCACCAAGGACACGCTGCGCCGCGTCGCGCTCGGCGCGCCCGTCACAGACGCCGTGAGTTTGTCAGCAAACCGAGATCCGGAGATTTATCCACGTCTTCTTGCGGCTTTCAGGGTCCGAAAGGTTTGGGGCGCCCGTGACAGGTGCTGTGAGTCCGTCAGCTTAACGAGGGCGTCCGATTTTGAGCTTCACTTGTGCATCTGAGTCATCGAGGAAAAAGGTCATCCAACGGCCCACATCCCTTTTCATTTGGGAAGTTTCCTTCGGCGACCAGACTTGCGTCTTGGGATAAGTGGACGCCGGTTGGGGAAGGCGTCCCCTGACGCCCCTCTTATTTGGCTTTTAGGATCCTACGTGTCTTTCAAAACTTGGGGCGCCTGTCACAGACGAAGACAGCGCGTCAGCTATTTTAAGTTTGAGAGGTTTGATGAACACGTGCTATTTGGATTCTAGGAGCCTGCGTATCTTTGTTTCAAGAGTCTGGCGCGCTCGTGACAGACGCCCGTGAGTCTCTCCAATGTTTCGTTGCCGGGTTTGACGAACATGTGCCTTTCAACTTCTGGGTTTCTGTGTATCTTCGTTTCAAGGCTTGCGGCGCTTTCAATGGTTTGGGAGGCTTCGAATGACTGCGAGGCTTCGAACAATCCACAAGTAACCTTGCGCTTTGCCAGCTTTCTGCTCATGCCACTCTGGGCTGGAGGATGCTGTGAAGTCTAGTTCGTTGAGCAGAATCGCAGAAAATGCGAGTAGGCAGCGAGGGAACTAAACAAGGCAGGGTGCCAATACTTTGTGCATAGGCTTTCAGGTATTATTGGAAACCGGGTATTGCAGGTTTTTGAAAGCTCGGGCGCTTTTGCTGTCCAGGTGTCCGATTACACGGCGACGGTGAGCGTGCGCGACCTTCCTCCGACACCTTCCGTCGATCCCACAGACGCCGCCGTCATGGCAAGATTCCGCGTTCCATTCGCGTCCATTCGCGTTTCTTGCGCAAAAAGCTGCCGTTTCGTCCTCGAACGCCCGAGAGCCGTCAAACAAAAATTATAATCTTCATTGTTGAAGTCGTTGCAATTCGTTCTGGAATTTAGTGCTTTCTGTTCAAAAACTGCGTGTATTGCGCTTATTAAGTCGGACCAATTGAGGACATCGGATCACAATTCGCTGCTGCGCCGGAGAAGCGTCAGCTATGAGCCAGCTTTTGAGGTCGCCTGAAACGTAAAAAAACAATTTTTCGACCGATTGGGAACATCAAGCGGCCGGTTGGTAGAAAGTTTGATCCAGAATTTGATATTTTGCTTTAACGGTCTGGTTGACTCTTGGTGAGTGGTTAAGCTACTCAGGAAACGTCCACCGATGCCCAATCTCTTTCGACTGGAATGGAAGCAATACTTGGCGAAAGTGACTGTTGATCCGACGCTAAGATGCATCACTATAATCGACGACCCAAGTAACGACTCGGAAAACCTCCGCCAGGGGGCTTAGAAAAGTCAGTACGACGGTGCGTCCACCCTACTTCAGACGCAGGCCAACGCTGAACAGCTATCAAAAATTTGTCACCCGCTCTGGTAACGACACGGTTTCGTTTCAGGTGACGGACTGGTTAACGAGATGATCAGGTTCACCTAGTGGTGCTCTAACTGGTTCACTAGGTCTGGATTCCGTTCCCGATAACGGAATGATTTATCTGGATAACCAGGTTTGGTTAACGGCAGGTTTTTGTTGTGAACGCTGCAGACGCAGGCCATCTGTGCGCTCATGCCGTCTAAACTGGTTCACCAGACTCGCTTTCGTTCCCAACAACGGAGTGTTTAGTTGGATAACCCGGCTTGGTTAACGCCGGCTTTTTGTGGTTACTCCTGCAGACGCAGGCCATCTGCGCGCTGATGCTGGTGGGCGCGTCCCTCGTGGGCCGACTGCTGCTCGCGTCTCTGGCCAACACCAAAAGGTGATGACCGTTCGCTTTATAATCAGTAAGATCTACATTCAGCAAAGCTCGACGACCTAGTACGAAAGCCTTAAACCCCAGGATCGCTGCTCCGTATCTGTACCCAACCTAGACCCCCAAAGTAACCCCGTCCCTCCATGAATGACGATCTTGTTATCGCCTGCGTGAAAAGGCTTTCGAGAATATGGATCACACCGTCCCTTGCAATCACAACTCCCTTCTTCTGACCTGCACCCGACTGTCCATACCGGTTATTTAGACCCGACTATCTTGACCCGATTGCCACGGCCCGAATTTTTGGAAGTCTTTCGTATACGGGCTGCACCTAAGGTTGCAATTTGCTGTTTGGATATGATCACAAGTTGCTGAGCAGCGTTGGTGTGCTCTTGGCAATCAGTTTCCCACATCTGCTGACTCTGGTCACAAGATTCTTCGGATCATCTTGCCCAAATCTGGTCCAAACGATAGAAAGAGAAACATTTCTTTTCACGCGGCTTGCTTCGATCCATCCCGCCTGAGATCCTTGCGGCTGATGAGACGTGCCAGGTTGTCGGGAACAACGAAGCTGGAACGCTTACGCTGTCTTTCTCATCGCGCTTGAAGTCCCACAGAAAAAAACCGTATCCCCGCTGTCTCTTCGTATCAGAGAACCCTTTCTACACAACCTCTCATATCAGACCACAGGAGAAAATCAAACCCTGCTTCCTCTCCCTTTCAACCGACAGAAGAACACGTTAGCCATGCAATTGGTTTTTTTCCAAAACCCGCAGACTGAAGGTGAAACCTTTTACCATCTTCTCGTCGTTTCAAACTCCCAGAAGGAAATTGTGTCTTACCTTGCTTCTTTCGTCTCGGTCTAGTTCTCACGAGGGCCCCTGGAGCTGCGGCTGCTGGCCCTTCAGTGAACCGGTGCGCAAGATCATGTACACAACCAGCGTCGCCGGGTGAGTTCCTTTCAACCTCTCACTACGTGCACAGGGTTTAGGGTAATCAAGCATGGTGGTTAAGGGCTGGTTAGGAGATTCTGATAGTGTCCAACGATAAGACTCGAGCAGTGAGCAGACGTTTTACGTGGTTACTGCCCGTTTATTGGTCGAAGTACCGGAGTGTAGTCTGGTCACCGAGCCTCGTTAGCAGCGAAACCCTTCCCGTGATGCCACTCAAAACCCGAAAGAAAGACATAAGTAGTGAGTCTCAGCACGATTGTAAGAGCACGTTGTCCGAAATTGTCTCTTTCCCAAGTCTTTCCGTTGGTTCGATCCAAGTTACAAGAGCGTCAATGCAAGTATGCTCGAGGACGGAATAAGGTTCTCAATGTTGTTTTCTGCTCTTCATTCATCTCTTCTGTTTCCAGCGGCGTACTGAACACGGCACGCAGTAGACGAGATTCTTTCAATGCGTTGGGAGTGCTTCAATTCAAATGCTTGGCAAAGCTGTTGCTCAGGTCGGAGAAGCGCAATCAGTACGCACTTTCGAGAAGTAGGTAGAGCAGCGTTCCGCTCATAATCTTAAGAGGGGCCGCAAACGAGTTGCAAATGTCAAACCGCTGCAGACGTCGCCTTGAACACATCACAGCTTCATTGCCGACTTCCTTCGCTTCGTACACACTTCTTTTTTTTAAGGGGTAAGAACCTCTGTGATCCTTCGCCCCCGGCTGGGAAGTTTGATTCTCTGGGACTTCCCCCCCCTGCAGCGTCGCCCTGTACACGGTGCAGCTGATCCGCGGCCTCTGAGACGTGCGCAAGAAGAAACTCCCCGGCCTTCACTCGTGGGGGGCGCTGTCAACTGCGAAACCATCCCCCCAATCCAAATCCAACTAAACGTGGGGGTTCGATTCTCTCTGATTCTTTCCCCCCTGCAGCGTGGCGCTGTACACGGCGCAGCTGATCTGCGGCCTTTGGGGCCTGCGCGACCCGAACCTCCGTGCCCTCTCCCGGTGGGGGCTCAAAAGGAGTGAGAAAGCTCTCGAAAGGGATGAATTTCAAGACGAGGGGCTGAAACCTTTGTGTTTCTTCCCCCCTGCAGCGTGGCCCTGTACACGGCGCAGCTGATCCGCGGCCTGTGGGACCTGCGCGACACGGGCCTCCCCGCGCTCGCCCGGTGGGGCGACCCGATCTTCCGCCCCATCCTGCTAGGGCTTCTCGCGGTCGCCGTCACCGACGACTCCCTCGCAGTGCGGCCGCGGCAGTGGGAGCGCGCGGCGATTCACGCTCTGGGCGCGCTCGTGCGCGCGCTGCTCGCGCCGTTCCGGGCGGTCCTTGGTGTGAATGAGCCCGAGCGGGGCTTGCGCGAGGTGGAGGAGAAGGTGGGGAGGGGGGTGCATGAGGTGGGGGAGAAAGTGCTGGGGAAACGGGAAGGGGGAGGTAACGGAGAAGATAAGCGGCGGGAGGGGCGCAACGAGCGCGAGAAACGGAATGAAAACGACGAACGGCGTGGGGGTGAGAGGCGAGATGAGGGGGAGGGGCACGAGGGGCAGGGGTTCAGAATCGAGGGGATGCGACGGGGGGGTGAGCAGAGACAAGGGGGGGAGGGGCGTGATGGGGGGGGGCAAAGGGAGGGGCAGGAACGGGGGGGGCGGCAGGAGCAGAACGGACAGAACCGGGGGATCGACGAGTAGGCAGGTTTTGCTAGACGTGAGAAGGGGTGGAGTTCCTTGTGAGTGAGCTTCGATTGGCGCTTTGGTATGTCTCGTCAATCAAAGAAGGGAACGGCGTTCTAACCAACAAGAGCCCTTGCGGAGGCGTCGACACACCGTCTGTAGGTTTTACGTATCAGCGGTGTCGTTGGGCATGTAGCGATAGAAAGAATGCAAATGTCGGATTAATGAGAGGGCTCTTTGCACAGGGCTTCGGGCAGTCAGTGCAGCAATAAGCACCGCTTAACTCGCTTAGTACGTTTCAAAATTAGCCAGCTAGCATCTTTGGCATAGTAGCCACTAGGTTCGTTGGGCGCCCACCTAGTAGCGATGTGGGCGATTCGCTGCATTTAGATATCTGCTCTGCAGAACGGGCAGAGTGAAGATTTTGATATCAAACGTACTAAGCGCTCTTTGGTGAACGTGTTCGCTTGCCAGGCAACTTTCGGGCCGTGATAACGCCTTCGTTCTAGCTGCCGCCAACTTGACGTCTTTGCTTAGAATCATTCGACTAAGAAGTACGGTACTGGGTCGCTGAGCGCAGTGCTATTTGGGGACATCTCCTTTTACCTGCGACTGTTGAATATGATCAATTCTCTTCGACTTCCTGCTTAATCGGTCCCTGCTGTGCCAGAGCGGAAGAGATTGTCAATGCTATCGTTGACCTTGCAATAATTCCCCATGCGACACGTAGTGTGCACGTAGTATTGTATGAATGTCGATCTAGGAAGCTTGGAGTAACGCGCGGATGGTTTTATGTGGGAGGAAAGTCCCAAAACAGCGGGAGAGCGGGTGAACAGCGAGTTAGCTAGTTAGATTGCTCGAAGCACTAATCTTGGACGCCCTTCGGGTGCAGCCATTACGCCGATTGCTGCATGAGCCATACCAACAACACAGACTAGTCATCGTACAACTGCCAAATACCTGGAAGAATTAGCTATATCATCACTAGCGCGCTCCTTGTTCTCTGTCGCCAATTCAGCCTCATGTGAATCTGGTGCGCGTTGGAGTTTTGAGGGAGTTGCAAGGAGCTGCATCGTTGACGACCGGGTTGCAAAAGCAGTATGGCGCAACACTGTACCACTAGGGTCGTGTCGAAAGCCCCTTGATTTAATTAAGCCAAGAATAATTTGAGCCTTTCAAGAGTAGAAACTTATCCAAAAAGCTCCATGTTTACTCGCCCCACAATCGGCTTCCTCGGAGCAATCCATAAATCTACACACGTACGCCTGCACGCCAACTTCGACATGAACGGTTGATCCAAACATGTACGACTTTCTTATCTTGCTCTGTCTTTGTGATGTTCATTGTAACCGTGATGGAAAGTGCGCGCCGTGTGCGCCGACGTTTGAACTAATCACCATCATCAGATTGTCAATCAGTCCCCGGACATCAGTTGGATATATGAATCGGCGCATGGTACGGTTGATTTCAGACAAACCCTTTTTCCCAGTCCACATGCGAGCAAAGATAAAGTGGTTCTTGCAGCTTCTGCAGATAACTGCATATCATACGTCGATCAGTGCACTACTGTCTGCACTGCGCTGTACATTCCGTGGGCGCCATGCAACTCCCCGCGGAGTTGCAACGGGGCTGCAAGGACGCGCACGCGCGCGCTGGACCAGAGCACAATTACGGTAATGTCCGAAGGATGATCAGACAAAGTCAAAGATTACGTCATCCGAGGCAACGTGGCAGATTCTGGTTGCAAACGCGTACGGAGCGGAATCCCGTTATGTTGACTAACCCGGGGCCGGTAATACGTAACCAACGGTTTGCAACCCCAGAAGGGGAACCCCCTCCTCAAGCTGAGGAAGTTCAGAGCCTGCTTCTGGAAACGACGTAAGCAACTTCAAACCGCAGAGGGAGGGCTTTGAACTTGAAGCTGAACAAAAGCTTCTGTCCCTTCAAAAAGACGAGAGTGCATTCAGCTGGATTCTTGTTGCATAATCCTGGCATTCGTCCAGCTTGCTCTTTTAACGCGGCGGAAGTTGAGAGGCCAGATTCAAGGGAGCTTGCAAGGAACAAGCATTCATAGCTGTACTTTCACAACTGTTCGCAGCGAGGCGTCACTGAATTGTCGTGGGTGTGTGAGGAAGCTTGCTCTTTTGTTGGGCCCCAAACGTTGAATTTTCCTTACAAGTGCAAACAAGTGAGTGTGGGTCAACCAGTAGAATTGTGTTTTTTCCTCCCCTGCAGACGGCATTGACTCAATGAGGGTGCCATTGTGTTCAGGAGTCGTTCGTGTTATAAGGATGTTCCTGACGTGCGTTTGAGAATAACTCGCATGAGTGTTTGTGCAGTCAGGCACGATTTTACAGTTTCGTCACTGTTTCGTCACTGTACACTCATAGCTCATTGACCATGAGGCTAGAACCAAATATGACGTGACGAGAGTTGCAGGTTTGTTCGTTGAACATCTCCCTTGTTGTCTGTTGCACCGACCATCTGTCAGGGATCTGCAGGCTCACAACGATGCCATTGCTAGCTGCCATAGTCTCGCACATCTGGAGCTAACTCTCATTTTTCCCCATCTGCAGCTCTTATTTCGGACTGAATGACTGGGAGTATGCCTTGCGGGCGAGCCTGTGAAGCGAACTTGCATTTGTAGAAAGTCCTGACGCATTGTGCCAGGCTGGCAAGAATGCCGGCTATGGGGCCGCAACCCTCTGAGGAGGAGTTGAAGGTCAGGGCCACAGAAGCCCTGGAAGCGCTTGCGCGTGCTTCCGGCGCCAAGGGCCATATCTGGATGGTAATCAAGGTGAGAACTGCTGATTCTCCAGGGGAGCAGACTGAGTATAACAGATTTGTCAAGGCCGCGTTTACACATTTTTGAGGTTCACTGAGGCCAACGCCCACGATTTTGTCAGTTGAAGCCAAGACAGAAAGATTACTTTACGTCTAAGTGGAGTGATGAAATCAATTTCCAAGTTGAGTAGCTTTGATCCCGGCAATATCCCCCCTTTCAGCTGGCCTGAACCTTGTCACAAAGGTGGTCCCACTTGAAGACAGGATGATCATCCTCCTTATGAGTGTTTTGATATCTGCAACTTATGAGGAACTTTTAGGGTTCTGACTCCACAAGGTAGACAATAGTCGAAAAAGCCAATGTCAGGGATATATTGCTATGCAACGTGCCTATCTCAGAAGGCAGTTCTCTCGAAGGAGAGAGTCTTCCTTAAATGAGTGCTGGCAAGCCAAAGAACCCCATGCCGAAACGGCGACAAATCGCTTCTGCAGTGCGCTTAGAAATAGATATCAGCAGTCTGCAATGGCCAAGACCTAAAGCCAGGTGGCTAATGTGACTCAAGCAAATGGAGACTCTTGCATGACTTCTGACGCTCATCTCTGATGCAGGGGGATGGGGGTAAGATCGGGGGCTGCTCTCCGAGCCTGAGGCCTTATGGAGCTGCGCTTATGGATGAGGTGGAGAAAGCAACTGAAAAGTGAGTGGTCAGCACACAATGCGTTTGTAAAAGGTGGTAAACAGCTTCATTTTGGATCCTGGAACATAGTTGCACGTTGCATGAGCCTGTGGAGTAGAGACCAAGCATTGCTCTTTTAGGGTTTGAAATGGAGTGAAGGAGCCATTAATTTGGAAGCCTGGGCTGGAATTGGATCAAGTGTACCCGGCACTCCCTCCAAGCTGCGACAGCTTTGACCAAGCTTCTTGGGGCTCTGTTTGCTCAAATAGACCCCTCGTTGGTTACTCCAAGCACTCGCCTCGCAGCACTCCCCTCCGTGTGAATTCAGTTCGTTCAGTTGTAGGACTAAGCCCCACGTGTCTCCCCCCCCCCAAAAATGCTTAGGTACTGTGTTCATTGTGTGTTCGTAGTGCGACATAGGATTCATTCCCCATTTTATCCTGTCAAGTCCATTCAGAACCACTCTGTCTTTTGCAGTGGTTCTATCTTTTGCAACCACAGCCAAGTTCACTTGGGCTGGTGTAAGACGCAAGTCTGATATAAGAAGCACTCCCCCAAATGCTTCTTGTCCTGTCGAACAACCAATACAATTCTGCCCTCCATTGCTCCATCCTCAAAGATGGTTATTTAACCTCTTCACTCAATCAAGTTTGAATCCAATGGTACTTCCTCCGTACTTCCTGCGGAATTCATGGCATAGGAAACAAGTTAATCGAATTCCTGAAAGTAGGTGCCTGCCTCTGCAGACCTGTGAAAGCATGAGCCCTCAGACTTGCTAAGACTGCCACGTCGTTACGAAACGCACTGTCACTACTGTGGATCAACTTTGGATCAGTCACCCCGTTTTCCCCGAGACAACTGCCCTGTTGTTGCGACCAGCAATTGTGAGCCCTCTAATCTGCTGAAGCTAAGAAGGTGCTAACCCACCTTAAGGGAGTCCTTATACCCCTCCACAATTGCCCTCTTCATCGTACTTAGAGTCCTGTCTTGGTTTTGAAGCCTCGAAGCAAAGAAGGTGCTGCAAAGAACCCACGTTATCTCACAGGACCCCAATGATTACTGGCGTAAATCGCCTAACCCAGCTCTTTTCACAAACCGGTTATCGTAACCAGCAACCGTGAAACCTGGGGCCTGCTCAAAGCAGAAAAGGTGCTCCATCATCTTGAAACCCAGCTCCCTGTGACTCTTGACGCTACCCTCTCAATCAACCCTGATATTTAACCCAGGTCTTAACCTCCCCTGCAGGCCGGTTATTGTCACTAGCAAGCGCGAACCCTCGGGCCTGCTCAAAGCCGAGAAGGTGCTGCACACTCTGGCCAAGACAAAGCACGTGGAACTGCACCCCATCGTGGCAACCATGATTCAGGGCCTGAACGAGATCAACAATCACAAGCACCCGCGCGTTATGGCAATCACCGACCCAAGCACGGTGAGGCACTCCTCCTGTGTCCTTAACTTGACAAGCGTTGTGTCTCTCAGGTGATAGGCAGTAAATCTGCAAGAGGTGCTGTTTGCTTGGCTCTTGAAACTTGGGGCAGTACCCCGATATAAGAAATGCTGGGGGATGTGCTTGGTAAAAGATAGGCACTTGTGTCATATGGAAGGGGGTGGGGGTGGTTTCTGTCACCTTGGGGCCCCTTTCTGTCGGGAGACGACAAACTGTTGGTCAGTGGTCAAAGCCTTGATGTGCTTAGATCAGACGATTCCCCACAGCGTCATATCTAGCCTTTAGAAGGCCTTGGAGCGGATTTCCATTCCGTGGATGAAAGCAGGTAAGAGCATTCCTTTCCAGAGTTGGGGGCAGTGCCCCATCAAACACACCACCAGACAGAGCTCCACCTTATTGCTATGTGTGACGTTTTTACCTGTTGAACAGTGTCACCTGATAACAGCGCGGGCTTGTTTGAATTGGAGGAGCAGACAGGCAATATTGCACAAGAGGCTGAGCATGAAGCTTTTCGTAGAAGCCTGCTTTGCTGCGACAAAATAGAGCTGGCGTGTGCGTAAGGAGCTTGTGTTTGGTCCTTGTCTCGAAAGGGACCTAGTCACCCTTCTCAAGCCTCTACTGATGAGGCTGCATGGATCCTTTTTTTGCGTTCTCCTTTGGGATGATCAATCTTCCCTTTGCCATATTGTTGCGCACATATCACTCTTCTTTGGAGATTGCTGCAACCTGACCTTTCAAACGGGCCTGCATGCTTCCTTCTCTACTGGTAGTCTTTGGTGTTCTCTCTCTAGTACCCAGCGCAAGCTCTAGGTATTGACAGACCCTTCTTGTGAAGCTGGGTTCAGAAGTCTTTTGCATGCTGAAGCCAGAGCACTCGATCTGATAAGCAACTCCGATCCCCTTTTACCATTCCAAAACTTTTTCAGCTCCTGCAATTTCAATTTGGAGCAACTTAGCAACTCTTGACCTCTAGACCACAACTGCCACTTCAACCAATCTTACTAGTAGTACACGAGTCACTACAATTGCCTCAGTAAGTATCAATCCTATCGTTCTTTCTGGGCGAAAGTCTGCCTGAGTCTCCGAGGTCACAGCTGCAGCTTTCTTAACGTGGACACGGCAATTAAAATTGTTACGACCAGTAATGTCTCTGGAAAAACTCTCATCGTGACTGTTTCCGTGGGTTCTGCCCTGTCAAAAAAATCACACTGCTCAGCCACTCTGAACGTTTCGCACTTATCCCCTGCAGATGCCTGCGTGGTTCCCGTTTCCCCCGGCCGTGTACGCCCCCCGCGCGCAGAAGATGGACCTGCACCAGCTGTTCCACGTCATCGACGTCATCTTCGGTCAAGTGCGCGGCAACCTGCACGCAATCCAGACGCTCCACTCGATGCTCGACCGCGTCTACAAATCCGGGTCGTGCAGCATCGGGACGCGCGCCGGGATCGACTCCTTCTTCGAGTTCCTCGAAGACGAGGCGATCGCCAAGATGGGCAAGGTGACGTCGGGCCTCGTGAAGGAGGAGGTCCACGATGACGTCATCCCCGCGCAGGCGGCGAGCGAGACGAGCGGCGTCGGGGGCGAGGGCGACGGGGAGGCTGAAGCGGCGTCGCGCAAGCGCGCGCGGAGCGCGGACGCGCCGGGAGGTTTTGCTAACGCGCCGGGAGTTTTCCCTGACGCTTTGCTTCCGAGCGCGTCGCCCGGACACAGCGCCGCGAACAGCACCCCGGCGAACGGGGCCCCCAATCCGGACGACGAGATCGACTTCGAGAAGTACATGTCGGAGGAAGGGGGTCAGTTCCTGGCGGAGTTCGACGCGCTCACGCGGCCGCAGCCCCAACCGCCGCAGCCATTCTGGGACGCCGCTCCCGCCATCGTGCCGGCCCCGATGCCCCCGTCCGAACTGGCGGTGGCGTTCGATGCTGACGTGGCGATCGAGGAGAGCGGCCCGGGGGCGCACATCTGGGAGTACCGCTCGTCGGGGGAGCTCACGCACTCGACCGGCCAGTCGACGCTCGCCACCAACGGCTCTGACGCGCTGCAGCAGTCGAACGACGGCACGTTCCAGGCCGCCTCCGGAAATGGACACAACTCCACCCCCACCAGCAGCCGAAACTGGGCGCCCGAGTGGTTCGCGGAGCCCGGGGATCTGTACCCGCGCCCTGACGTGGCGCCACGTCAGCACGGGGTGCCGCTCCTCGGGAACGACGAGGCGCTCGTGCGCGCACGGCTGCAGCAGCAGATGAACCTGGCCGAGCAGGAGTGGCCGGCCGGGGGGCAGTTTATGGGCTACCGCAGCCCCACTGAAGCGGCGGACTTCGCTCCGGGGGGCCACAACGCGGGCTTCCGCAGCCCCCCCGAGGCCGCGGCCTTCCCTCCGAGGCTGGCCAGAAACGACGGACTCTCCGAGTCAATGCGCCGCGACTTCCTGCCGCAGCAGGGGGCCTACCCCCCTGGAACTTACAACGACGATTACATCCGATTCGGGGGGGCGCCCAACGGCATGGAGCCACGACTCCGCCAGGTGGCCATTGCAATGGCGCGCGCGCCGTCGTTCTGTCCCTCCCCCTCCCTTCAGGACAGGCCCCCCCCGGCTCCCCCTCAAGTGCCCCCCCCGGCAGCG